GGGAGCATCAAAAGTCAAGTAGGCGGCAGGCGGCGCGGGACTTGCAGCCGCGGCGATGCTCTGCCGCCGGCGGGGCTTGCGCGATGATGCTTGAGCCTCTTGAAGGGCATGGAGGTGCCTTTGGACGGCTTTGATGGCCTGGTAGATGGCAGAGAAGTGAGAAGATTTTCGCGCCAAAACGCTTCGGCACCTTCACCCCCCCTGCCTTCGCTTCTGCGTACTTGTTGCTCCCGATATTCATCTCGGCGCTTCATTCGTAGTCGTTCAGCCGCTCTGGCATTGTTCACCGGATCAAACACACTTCGTTTGGACCGAACCATCAACGATACAAAAGTTTCGGAAAAATCGATCTCACACGGCTGCTGCTCGGCCACGCAAAAAGACTGCATATGATAACAGGTGATAAAATAGGCAGGCGTATGCAATAGCAGAGTTGGGCAGTGAATAGAACTCTCAGGGCAGCGTTTCTAGAGGTTTTTGGGCCAAAAACAGGGTATAAAGCTCGTCCAAAAATGGAAGTTTTCGCTCTTCAATTCCACCTTTTCGACCACCCCAACGATTCTCGGTGCGCTACCCGCCCCAAAAACTAGACGCTACAATAAAATCGTATTGTCAACACAGTGTGGGGGTAGAGAGGGAGCCAGATCGAACCGGCTCGAACTTTTTTTCTCGAAACCGACAAAGGTCGAAAAAAGTTGGGCCAGTGTCATACCAATATCGATGGAAGATCAAGTCGATTCATACAAACAAGCAGGCAAAATCACACTCATTTCTTGTTTTTCGTGGTCGACACCTTTTCCTTTCGCTTTTTAACGTGCTTGGGGATTTTGTTTTTACGGCGCTCGCGGTTGTGCTCTTTGACGAGTTTCTTCCACTCCTGGCAACACAACAGCGAAATTTGGGGAGTGAGACACAAAGCTGCTTCAACACCAAAGTCCATCATGCAGGACATACCGCCTTTGAAACAGTCGACGGATCTGGCAAACCAGCAATCGGCTTGGCGCCCTTTTTGTTCCCGCCTTCCTTTCCATCATCGTCGGCATCATCATCGTCATCGTCTTCATCGTCGTCGTCATCGTCGTCGTTGCCGTCTTCATCGACGTGACCGGCTTCGCCTGCGGTGACCTTCTCTTCCGATGCCGCCCCGCTCTGGAGCAGCACTGGCTGCTGTTGGGCGCCGGTGAGATCGGTCTTCATGCCAGTCAACGTTTGATAGAGAATCTGCCAAAGAGAAGGTGAGGAAACCAGACGCTGAGTGACAAAGCTCAAGAAGCAATTCTGACAAAAAAAAAAGCGGCAACCCAATACCTCTTCGCCTTGGCCAAGCTTCATCTTTTGGAAGTCGCGCTCAAAGTCAGTGACATCATCCAGGGTGCGGGGAATGAAAGCTTCACGGAAAACTTGCTCTTCACTGGCCTGCTCTGCGGTGAGCGTCACGGATCGCTGAGATGTCAACTCCTGCACCTTCTCGAGATACAGGTCGATATTATCGGCGGTGATGGTCACGTCTGTGACGAAATCAAACAGCTCTCGCAAGGTCATTGTGCTAACTTGATGCTTTCGGAAAAAGTCTGATGAGCAACCAGAATGAAGGGCGAAGGAAGTGTTAGTTGCAAAACATTCAACCGAAAAAGTCCGTCACAGCAACAGACGTACCAGTAACGTTGGTCAAATCCTTTCTCAAAAAGTTGAGTGCGTGCGGATGGTCGTGTTCCACAGATTGAGAAACATCGATAATATACAGCTGACTCTTGTAGTACCTGCACACACACACACACACAAAAAAAAAAAAAAACATCCGAGCAAGCCAATATTCGAACTTTCAACAAAAAAAACCAACATCACTCGTCCTTGCTCGCGGAACAAAACTTACAGCATGTTGTACTCGCTCAAGTCGGCATGGACAAGGTGACACATGTGGTACATGTCACGGACGAGGCGGATGCACTGATAGTACAGCTCGTGCGCTTTATCCGGCGTAATGGAGGCATCTTTCAGGCGGGGTGCCGGCCAGCCGTCGTGACCAAGGAATCGCATGACAAGAACGTGATTGCGCAAGAGCAAGGGCTCGGGGCATGGGATTTTCGCCATGTGCAGACGAGTCAGGTTGCGCACTTCTTTTTCGGCCCAGACTTTGACCATCTTGCGTGGATTGTGCTTGGCATAGCCGCGACGGAAGCGAAACTCGCCAGTGACGTACTTGTCGCGGTCCTTGAACACAAGAATCGACGTCTTGTAGACCTTGATGGCCATTTCCTCGCCGTCGTCGTTGACAGCGTGGTACACGTTCGCCTCTTTGCCCGTGCTGATGCAGCCATTGATTTGCTTGACAATGTTCTTGCTCACTAACTTGAAGAGGATCATGCGCGTGCGCGGATCGAGCACCTGTTCGGTCGTGGCGCGATCGGCCTTGTCTGTAACACGGTACCGGTCTGCGTCTGTTTTCCTTTGGTTTTCGGCCAGCTTGTTGGTCGCGTTGTCCTGAAGCCAGGAAGGGGATTCGAGTGAGTGCAAGGAGTCGGGACGACGTTCTGATGCTGCAGATCTCTACAACGATCTCCACAACGAACAAATTCAACTGACTTACGCTAAGTCGGGGCCCCAGGTACATTTCTACATGAACCTTGTTTTGCATCTTGCCCAGCATTGTTCGGTCTTGGTTTTGAAAGTGGCGGCCACCGCCCGCGTTCGCTGAAGCAGGCACATTTCCCGCGGTCGTCGATCGCGCTGCAGCCAGCTTTTTCGTGAAATCGCCTACAATCAACCATGTTCGTGAGTTTAAACAAGTGATCCTTTTTCTTTTCCAATATTGACAAGTCCATCCACGTTGATGGTTTTTGTGTTGCGACGTTCATTGTATGGGACGTTCATTGTATGGGACGTTCATCGTATGGGACGTTCATGTTGTGCAATCGCTCCAATTTTGACCTCCACACAAGTCATACTGTCATGTTTTTGGTTTGTCGGCTGCTTCCGCAACAAAAACACAGTCATCCAGAATGCGACCAAGGAGCTCGAGTCAGTGTTTCTGCGCTTGGGTGCTGGTTGTCGGGAGCATGAGCATGAGCATGGCTGCGGGTGCACCCATCGTCCACATGGACCACTCACAAACACCCCCCCCAACCCGCCCTCCTACCCTCCCAATCGCTTGGTTCTAATGCAATCGCCCCTCCCTGCATATTCACAACCCGTCTCACAATCGAGCGGGGGAGACAGCGCGAGGGTGGCCAAACTGAGCAAAAGCACCAACCTCGTGTGCCGTCCCAGTCGAGGCCGCCGTCGAGCATGTCGTCGTCCTGGTCCTCGTCATCGTCGTCGCCTTCCTCGTCGTGTTGGGCGTACTCGCCGCCTGCCTCGTCATCGAAGGCAGCGGCATCGTCAAAGTCCTCGTCGTCGTCCTCGTCGTCGCTCCACTGAACCGCCTTGAACTTGTCGCTCGCTGGCACAGCGGTCTCGGCGTCGTCAAACCTGCCGCTCATAGTACGAAACGATGGTAGAAATAATAAAAAGAATGAATGAATGAACGAAACACATCAAAAACACGGGTGTGTGTTTGGAATGAAAAACGAGCGGTTGGGCATTCGAAGGAGCGCGAATTCGGAGCGCCGACAAGCAAGCACTCCAGGCGACTCGGCAATTTCGCACCGAGAGACCCAACGCACAAGTGACAAGAGTGCTGAATTGTTAAGGAAATAAGAAGGCCTCCAAGGCTGCTGTAAAGCCATGACTTGGATTCAATTTGGATACAATTGCTGAAGCGTCAATCCAGTAGAATATACGGTGCCCAACACCGAGGTACTGTATCGAAGTTCCAAGAATATTGTGCAATTCATTTGCACCACTTTGTCAAGTGCACTCGTCTTTTGTTGTTCCATTACTTGACAATGCAGCCACTGCAGATTGAGCAAGCGCTTGCCATCATACAGGGCGCGACGTCGCTCAGCCAGCTGTCGTCCGGCCTGCGCTCGCTGCTGGACTTTGAGCATCAGAAACTGGCCGCGTCCCTCAAGATGCAGCGCCAACAGCAGCAGCAGCAGCAGCGGCAGGAACAGCGGCAGGAACAGCAGCAGCAGCAACAGTCGCTGATGCAGCTTGCAGAGCCGAGCCTGCTGCTTGTCAATACTGCGCTCGCCAGCCTCGATCCCGCCGTCCACACGCTCGGCTTCATCTGGCTTCTGTATGCGTTGATGTGCTCGTTTTCCCCCCTCTTTGTTGCTTTTGACTTCAATGTGCCCCGGTGCGGTGGTGTGGTGGTGGAGCAGTCAACGCGAGATCTCAATTCGATGACGGCAGCTCAGTTCCCAGCCAGCATAGCCCATCCCATCCCAGTCCCAGCCCAGCCCAGCTCGGACAGCGGCTCACGCAGCGTGTGCTTGTTGCTGTGATTTGAGATGAGAATGCTCCAAACCGGCAACAGGACCCCCCCCTACCCGTTCCCTTTGTTTTTGCGCGCCAAATTTTGATCGTCGCTGCTGAGACAAACCAAATGCCCTCATTTTGAATGTATCTATGTGTGTGTGGTTTTGGAACAGACGCGTCAAGTTCACGTCCGTTGAGGCCGCGCGTCAAGATCCGAGCTTCATTCCGCTGCTTCATGCGGTGCTGTCGCGGGGAGATGAAGCTCAGCTTCAGTTGGCCGGATATCTGCGTAAGTTTGTGTCACAGCTCCCTCCTTTTTCTCCGGTTGGTTGCGTTGATGGTGCAGATCTATGCCTTACTTTTTGCGCTGCTTGCTCTAGTCTATGTCATTTGCGACGTGGTCGCGCTTTACGCACACGAAACGATGCAGTTCGAGCGAACCATTGCAATTCTCGTCCTCGCCATCCAGAAGGCCGCCAAGCCCGGTCTGCTCACTATCATGCATGTGCATTTGTCTCAGGTATGTGCAGATTTTTTGCAGCGTTGAGGGGCGCGAGTGTGCGAAGAGAAGCCGGGGGAGGGGTTTCGGACTTCCCCTGACCTTCCGTTTGCTCTTGTGCAGCTGGCTCAGCTGGCCCAATGCTTCCATGTGGCACATGTCTTTGATGCTGATATCGTCGAGATCTCCCCAACTGTGAGTGATTGACTCTGCGCCTTTCGGAAAATCAACTACTTTTTTGAATCCTGCAACTCACCCTCTCTTTGTTTATTTTTCCATCAGTCGACCAGTCTCAAGATTGTCCATGTTCTGTCGTACTATTACTACGTTGGCATGATTTACTGCGGACTCAAGCAATGGCGGCGTGCCATGCACTTTTTCGGGATGGTACAGTTTCCCTCTTACGCATTTTTCTTGGTTTTGATTGTTTTCTTGTCTGTGAGGCTGAGTGTGTCTGTGTGGTCAACCGCATCTGTGGTAGGCTGTTTCGGCTCCTGCAAACACTACCAGTCTTATTGCTGTGGAGAGCTACAGAAAGTATGTTCTCGCCTCGCTTCTTCACTCTGGCAAGGTATGTGTTTCGCGGCAGTTGGTTGTTGGTGCTTGTTTGCGCGGGTCCTTGGCGCCATTGTTTTTTTGTGAATGCCTCGGCCAGTGTCGCTCATTTTCATGATGTGTTTGGACGTCAATCCATTGCAGGTGGAGGATTTGCCAAAGTACACGTCGTCCAACGTTGTGCGTACTGCAAAGCAAATTTCGGTCCCGTATGTCGAGTTTGCCGCCCTGTTCGAGAAGCTGTCGCTTGCTGAGGCTGCCCTTCTTGTTGCGTCTCAGTCCAGCGTCTTTCTCGAGGTAAAGGCGGTGACGGCGCGTTCATTAGTACTTGTTGTTGTTGGTTTGGTTCTAGCTGTTGTTGTTGTTGTTGTTTGGCCCAAAACCTCACTCTACTTGCTTCGCTTTCGATGGTAGCATACAAACTTGGGTCTTGTGAAGCAGTGCATGGCCTCCCTCACGCGCCGCATTGTGCAACGGCTCACGCAGACCTTCATCACTTTGAGTCTGACGGACATTGCAACGCACGCCCGTTTGAGTTCTGCGAAGGAAGCTGAACATCTTCTCGTGCAGATGGTACGGTTTGTTTAGCTTTGTCGTTTTTTGTTGTTTTTCTTTTAATTTTTCTTTGGCTGCAAGTTGCTCATCTGCCACTGATTCCTGTCTGCCTCCCTCTTCCCTCCTCCCTCTTCCCTCTATATAGATTGAAAGCGGCGAGATCCATGCTCAGATCAGCCAACGCGATGGAATGGTCGCTTTCAAAGACGACCCCAACCGATTCGAGTCGGCCGAAACGGTCGCTGCTGTCGATGCCAAGATTCGTCGCTCCATCCAGCTCCATGAACATTTGTCGCGATTGACTGCAGACATTTTGACTTCTTCATCGTACATTAAGAAGGTACGGTTTTGGTCTGGAAGTTTCGAGTAGAGTTGGCAGTGATATGAATGTAGTGGCTCACTCGTCATGGTGGACCTCACTTATCTCTCAACACAGACCGAGTTTGGGGCTCAAGGGAGTGCACAGCACGATCTGGACGATATGGAGGCGAGCTTCTGAGCCTTTTTTTTTTCCTAACATTTCGAGTCTGCGTGTCGCGATCGTCCAAGTGTTGGTCTCCGTCTCGTCCATCAAATACATCATACATAGTCCACGAATTCGAGTTGCGACGATCAGCTGGCTGTGTGTCGATGCCCGCGCCTGAAAAGTGAGGGTTGCAAAGCGCGTCCTTCCACCTCCATCTCCACACTCGCTCAAAGCTCACTCGGCTCACTCAATACACAAAGTGATAAGGTCGACAGGGTTGCGTGTCGTGCACATCAGACGATAAATCGGGGGGACAGGGATTATATTCCAGCACAAACAGAAACCATGCACTGGAAAAAAAATTGTCGAGCTTGCTTAGACCAGAGCAGCAAACGGTTTAGTGGTGGGCAGAGGCAGCCTTGCGCATCTGTGCGAGGGCGTCCTGGAGCTCCTCACGCTTTGCCTTGCCACGAGAGTGGGTGCCGAGCTGGGTTGGGAGAAGAAAAAAAATGGGAGAAAAGTGAGACGAAGGTTGTTGTCAACATCAATAGGAGCTCCTCTTGTTTTTATGCTCCTCCCGACACTCCCCGCCTCCGTCCCAAACATGCTCGTTGACGGCCGCAGATAGCCTAAAAGCTGAAACTTACGCGGCGCTTGGCGAGCTTGAGGGCACGCTTGTCCTTGCTGACCTTGAGCAGTTCGATAATGCGACGCTCGTAGGGGGCATAGCCGGAAACCTCACGGACGATGTCGCGGATGAACTTGACACGCTTGCTAAGGTGCTGTGTTTTTTGGTTTGTAGAACAAAGGAGGTGGCGCGGGTCAATGGTGAGCAAACGGAAAAAAAAAAAAACCAAAGGCGAAAGTTGGCGAGCGGTTTTGTGTTTGCAGCGTCCTCGGTAAATTGACGCAGACCCTCGTCCTGCGACCCTCCAGCCCGCCGATGCGGTCTGAATCCGATAGAACGGATCAATGTGTATCGGATTGACGCGTCGGTGGAGGGATATCGGGCATGCGGCACCTAGGACGGACGGGACACGGAACGCAGTGGGACGACGAGCCGCTCTTCTGTCCCTTCTACTTCCCCGCCCCTCTTCCCTTGCCCTCGCAAGCCCACTCGTCCCCGCATACTACCAAACGCACAGGCTGGGTGCAAAAGCGTGCTGGCCGGCGAGACAGCACCCGGCGAGAGAGGCCGCCCCATCGACCGCGACGCCATCATTGCCCCACCATTACCCCCTTCTCGAAAACCCCTTCCTTTGGCCCTGGCGCGCCGCGGACGACTCGCAAACATGCAGGTGATGCATGGTCAGAGCAAACTTACGCCCTTGCGAGAGACAGGTCGGACGGGGCGGGCACGCGAGGTGACCTTGAAGCCCTTCTTAAGGCCGACAGAAAGAGACTCGACGGTCATTGTTGCAGAAAAGAGAGGACGTTCACCCAAAGCGGTCGAATTTGGTTTTTGTTTTTTTCGATTTCGAGTGAATTCAAGAAAGTTGCAAATCACAGATCTGGGCTACAGGATGCTGGTGATACAGCATGAGCAAGTAGAGCGCAATTTCGGGATTTTTTTTTGGTTTGCTCTGATGAAGCGGATGTGAAGAAGGTGAAATTTTTTTGTTTTTCCCTTGTCATTCACTGATGCAAACCGACGCAATGGCACGAATCCAACAACATCAAGCAGTTACAATATGTTGTATAGTCCAATCTTAGTCAACCTACAACCCCTTGCGGGACGGGTGGAAGCGTCAGGGCCATGGTTACTGCTCGTCACACGCTGAGAACTCGCTTTTGCGTAAAATGGAGTTGCCACGCGAAACAGTGAATGATCGTGCAGGTTTGTCAATCAAGATGCTTGCACAAACATTCTAATTGTTAATTGTTCAGTGAGGAATACACACTGCAAAACTTCGTTGTTGAGGAACGAGGTGAGACAAGTGACACTATCAAAAACGACCGCACCTTGTGGTTTGAGCCAGAATTCGCTGCCACCGCCGCGATTCCTTCCCCCCCCCCCCGCGCCCTGCCCTCCGCCGTTGTGCTACATAAGAATGTTCCCTCGCCGAATGCGATCACATTCTGGATCCGCACCATCATTCCGCTCTGTAGTCTGTGCTTTCACATCCCATCATTCGTTGCTATCATTTCTCTTTTTGTTTGGGTTTTTTTTTTTTTTTTTTTTTGACTTTCACTTTTTCCCGTGTTGTGTTTCAATCGTTCGGTCCAACAGAGAAAGGGGCAGACACTCGTTTTCGCTTGTGTGTTTGGGTGTGTGTGTGTGGGTGTGCGTGTTCCTGGCTTTTGTGGGCCCTTTGACATTCAACGAGAACAGCAGCACCACCTTGCACCTTTTGGGTCAGGCTTCAGGCTTGGCAGAGACAGAGTGTGTGTGTGTGGCTGCCGCATGGACTGCTGTTTCCCCCCGCTGCCTCGCCCGATCCACGCCATGGCATCCTCTGCCGGTGCGAGCCTACCGAACAGTGCAGCATCGATGTCGCCGTCGTCGTCGTCGTCGTCGTCGTCGTCTCGTCTCGTAGCCGGTGCGGGTGCTGCATCGCGCGACGACGACAAGGACGGTCGTCGAATGGCGATTCTTGCTGCTCCGATGACCGCGCCACCAGGCCAGCAGCAGTCCGCAGCGAGGCGACGGAGGCTCGGGCCATGTGCACCGCGGAGAACGCTTGTTCCACTCGCTGCCATGTCGCTCTTCCTGCTGCTGTCGCTCTTCCCGCACTGTCTGCTAGAGACCAACGCCGTTCGAGTCAACAACGGCGGAACTTTTTTCCTTGGGTATCGCTCTGCCATCGCTGTGCCCCACGCTGCGCCCGTCTACACTGCGGCGCCCAGTGCGAGCTCTGAACAGTCCCCAACACAACGCAAGGGCACCAAGCCAGAAGCCAGCGGCGCAGCGCCACCCAAGACGAAGCTCCCGTCAGCCATCCCTTCCGCTAATGAACAAGCTGGTGAGTGACTTTGATTCGTATTCTCAGACAAGTATTCTCAGACAAGTACCAACAGTACAACAACAACAACAACAACAACAACTACAAAAAAGTTCTAAAAGTACAATCCCGACTCATGCTTGTGCTCGTCTTTTTTTGTTTGGTCGCTTGACGCTTTGAACAGAGAATGCAAACGCTGCAAAGCAACCAGCGCGCAGCCAGACCCAGGCAGGTGCCAGCAAGACAAAAGCGACTGCCTCCACAACCACAGACAAGATAATACCAGCGAGTCGCGTTGCAAAGGATTGGGCGGAACAGCTTGACTTTGGAGAACCAAGAGAATTTGCGCCGTTCTGGCACGGGCTGCCGTCGAACGGTCCGGACATGTACGGGACGGTGTACCAGCCGAATGAGCCTGTGAGCAACTACTCTGCGTACTCTGAAGAAGAGGTCGTTCCGGCCATCCTTGCCCAACGGACAAAGATGGACTTGGACTTTGAGCCCAGCATTTGGACTGTGCCACACCAGCTGACGCTTGGCCGGCCGTACACAATCCGCGTTGCCTTGCACAATCTGGCGTCGGATGCCGGACTGGCGGTCGCCCACGCGGCCGTCGGGTCTGAGATAACGGTGCACTTTGCCCCTACGTCGGTTCGCCCTCACGGCCGCACGATTGCCTCCATCACGTTGCATCCTTCGCGACCTGGCGAAAATCTAGTTCGCATCATCCAGATCGACACGTCGAGGGGCACGGCGCAGTATCGAATTGTCATACCGTCCATTATCAACCCGTTCTATCTCCCATGCCTGACTCAACTCAGCCTGCCGGCTGGCCTCCGGATAACATCCATGCTCGGCTTGCGCAACCCGTATGCCGAGAACATGTCTGTGCTTGATGCCCATATCGTGGGCGCGCCTCAAGGCGAAGTTCTTGTGCCGATGAGTGAGGACTGGTTTCGCGTCACGCAGTTGTGGGACTTGCAGCCAGAGCACTACCGTCCCGTGTTGCACTTTTCATTCCAGTCCCCCCACGTCGGACTGCACTCTGGCGTGGTTATGATCAAGACGGGCCACGGGACGCTCTTCTTGCCGTTTGACGTGACCGTCTCCTCGTGGGGCGTTTTTGCACGCCCGGTGCTTCTTAATTTTGGTGTCTTCCCAGCCGACGGCAAGCCGCGCTCCATGCCGCTGCGCTTGCTCAATACCGGTCTTTTGCACGTGACTGTGCGCGGCTTTGATCAGGAGTCGATCTCACCTGCCGGGGACGATACAAATCGCATCAGCTTTGTCGACGGCAAAGACGTTGAGGTTGGCCCCGGATTTACCAAATTCACGCCTGCAGTGGAGCTTCTCTTCTCCTCACAGACGGTCGGGTTGCACCAGGGCTGGATAACGGTGCACACAGACTCTGGAGGCCAGCAATTTGCCATTCCACCCATTCCTTATCGCGCAGTGGTTTTGAACGGCCAGTTCGGAGCGCCAGTGAATGATTGTGTGTTTATCTTGGAAGACGCGCCAATCACTCGCGAGATTTCCTTGCACAACACGTTCGATATGCCCGTTCTTGTGATGGATGTGAGCATCCAGGAAAATCGGCACTTTCAAATTCTGCAGTTCAAGCCAACTGTGGTCCCACCCAACGCCACCGTGCCCGTTTTGACTGTCTTCTTTTCACCTTCGTTCGACGACGGGGTCAACCCCGCTACTGTCACTTTTATCCAGTCCTTGTTTTTGCTGACAAACGTCTCCGAGTTCTCGCTGGAGCTTGTGGCCTACACGGGTGTGCTGACTGCTTGCCCAATTGCGGCCGACCTCCCGCCATACCTCTCCGAGATAGAATCTGGGACGATAGAGGCTCGGTCGCATTCGGAAGTTTCTCTTGTTGCGCTTGACCTTGAGCCGCCCTCCGCGCTCCCCTCCATGCAAAAATGGCCGTCGTTCAAATCGTGGTTTGAGCTCAATCGAAGAATGTTGGCCCAGCAGCGTAGTCTATCGCGCGATCCGTGTGAGGGCACCACTGACTTCCCTGTGTGCATTTCCCCCGTGAACAAGCCCGGCTCGCAACTTCGTTCACCTGCGTGCGGCCTTGATGGTCTGGGCTTTGACCTGAACGAGTTGGCAGTGCGGTTTGGGACTGTCAATGTCGGGCAGACCCTCGAGCTGAGTTTCAACCTGTACAATCCAACCCCAACGCGCATGGTGATTGTCGAGATTGTTGTTGAAGTGCCCTATCTCAGTGTTGGCCTGTCGGGCGATGTGACCTTCTCGCCAGACTTTCTGCCATCCGAGCGAGAGGTGCTTGTTGACATGGCGGCTATTATCGAGCCGAACGGTCGTGCCCAGATGTCTGTCAAATTTACCGTGACGGAAGCAGCGGCTCTGCATCAGCAAGCGTTCGCTGCCCTCGAACGGCAAAAGAGCCCGCGAAATCGCAAGAGCTTTTCGACCCCCATCCAACTCCTCACGTTCGATCACCTGTACAAGATCCCCGTGTTTTTCAAGGTTGCTCGAGGCAGTCTGGCGGTCATGGATACCAATCTTGAGTTTGTCGTCTCGTGCCCAGGCATGAGTGCGCACAAGCCGCTTTGGGTGCACAACTCTGCGCGCTCTCTGCAAATCACTCGTGTCGAGTCTGCCGATCCGCGCGTCTTCTTTGCGCCGCTGGACGCGGTGCATCCCGAGAATTTGAACGTCGAGTCCAGCGTGCATCACCCTTCCACACCCATCCAGGTCCCCAAGGGGTCGTCCAACTCGCCGCACAAGGATGGTGCGCAACAAATTGGCAGCATTGTCGTGAAAGCAGATCAACTTCCCTGTTGCTGTATGCAGGGTGGCCAGGACATTGCTCAGGACGATACCATCTGTCGATTACCGGCTTCCGCGTACGACCGAGCGCCTCTCGCCGACGGCGTGCGTGCCATGCGCGAAATGCTCATCCAGACATGGAAGGTGGAGTCTGCCTTCCCAAAGTACCTTTCCCAGCTGCTTGGATTCTCCAAGGACTCAGTCGGCCCCAATGCCGCTCGTCCACTTTCTCAGAGCGAATTCGCAAAGCGCTTCGTCGACGCTGCAGCCGACGGCCGATCCCCGTTCGTCAAGCGGTGGCTGCCGTTGCATCCTATGCCTCCGCTGCATGTGAATGGCACCTTTGGCACATGTCGACATGTAAATGCGACATTCGGCGATCGCATCACCCTTGGTCTTTCCTCGAAACCGCTGTCTGAGCTCGAAGTTCGCGAATTTCTGAGCATGGCAGCGCTGCCTGCTGTGGAGCAGTTTGTGGTTCCAGTCATTGTGCACTCTGATCTGTTTGCAACGGGCGCTGTGGGCCATGTTCGGGTGACTGTTGTTCCGCCAACCATTATTCCCCCTTCGTACACGGACTACGGGGCCGCCATTGAGGAGTACCGCTATGCGCAGCTCTATCGCTGGCTCGCTCACGACATGCGATTTGGCGCGCTGCTATCAAAGCTCAATGCCAACCGCACGCGCGCCATTCGGGAACTTGAGCTGGAGTCGCGACTTCCGTGTCCGCTCTGCCATCACTCACTGACCTCCATGTTCCTAGAGACGGCTCGCGCACCCAACTCCGTTCTGCGAGACTTTGCGGGGCTCATGTATGAGGCATTGCAGGATTTCAACGTAACGACCGACTATTCCAACCCGGAAGACCTCTTCGGCGAGCTTGTTTCCTCCCGCATCGATCGAATGACTTCCACGCCCGTGGCCCCTGCGACTGCCACTGTTGGTGCTGGTGCTGGTGCTGGTGCTGGTGCTGGTGCTGGTGCTGGTGCAGGCCGCAATTCTTTTTCGAGCTCGGCGACGCAAGGCGTGTTCAGTGCCTTCATCCTGCCACCGAAGGTCCGATCGCGACTCGCCATGGGCGCTCGCTTGCACATGCCACGAACACGCGTTGGTGAAACCTCGACGCACACTCTCACCTTGCGCAACCCGTCCTCGTCTCCCGTCTTTGTCACGCTGGTCGTTCCCCGCCAAGGTGGCACACAAAACAGCGCCCAGTCTGTTACGAAAGAAGCCGAGGCCTTGCTGAATTCCTCCCTGCCATTGTTGGGATCGCACTACACCAGCGGCAACGATGGCACGTTTGTCACGGGGGCGCGCTATGGCGTTTCTGTGCTGCCCGCGAACGGCACATTGCAAGTGCCCATTCAGTTCAAACCGCGCTCGGTCGGGAACTTTTCCACCGTTCTACTCATCCGCTCCTCTCTCGCGTTGCTCGAGACGCTTCTTATTGAGGGAGAAGGCTCCTTGCCGAGCATTGCCTTCTCGGTCAGTCAGTCCGTCCCCGCTCCAGACCACGACGCGGTGCCCTCTGGTCGAAAGCAGCTCCAGGCTGCAGCCCATCTCGCGCCGACTCAGCACTCTGGGTCCACCAAGGTCAAGTCTTTGTTGCATCATCCACCGCACCACTCGTCAGCCACCCAAGCTGCGGGCGTGAGCAAGGGCATGACTCGCAACCAACTTTTGGCCGTGCATGCGGACGCGGCTGCAGACGGCCCCGCGGCCACTCTCTACCTGCGCTACTCGCCCGCTACCTCGGCCACGTGTCAAGTGGTGAATAGTGAGCGTGACGAGCTGGAACCTCGCGAGGATCAGACCTCCCTTCCTGAACATTCGAGTCTCGGTCATTTCGTTCCGCCCTCCCTCACCCAAAAGCTCACAATCTCCAACCCCGGGAATGAACGAGCTGTCGTGACCTCTCTCATGCTTGTTCGAGGCGACGGGAAGCCGCTGGGCTGTTCTGTGAAGGGCTTTACCATTTCTCCTTGCGTTCTGGCTGCCTCGCCGCTTGGTGCTGATGATGATGACGTTGATGATGATGATGGCGGCTTGAGTTTTCTCAACCGTGATGGAGATTCAAATCCGCACGAAGCGAAGCAGAGTACGGCCGAGCAGCAGCTGAACCTTGTGGGGCTTCCTGAGCCTTCGTCAAGCACCCTGTCCGTTGACCCTTCGGCAAGTTTCGATGTGCTTATCACGCACACGCTTCAAGATTTCAGCACCTGCCAAACAGATGTGCTTCTGGAGGTGAAGCTAGATGATCACCAAGTGTTCCGCGCCGCCATCCTTGCCATTGTGCCAGAAGATTTGAGAGAGCAGTGCATCATTGCGAGTGGCGACCACCACCACCACGCTTCAGGCTTTGGACTCGCGCTTCAAGACTCGCTGGCCGAGCGGCTTGTGTTGGCTGTTCTTTTGCTTGTCGTTGCCGCAGGTCTTCTTTACGCAGGGCATGAACAGTTTGCGCTTTTCCGCAGGCTGCAGAATGGCAGCGGCACCAACTCGTCGTCCGCGGCAACCACTCCGGGTGACGTCGATCGAAAGCACGGCAAGAAGAAAGTCGTCAAGCCAAGCCCCGTGGGCCCAGGAAAGCCATACACTTCACGGCGGCGCCCCTCTGCCAGCTTGAATCTTGTTTCGATGAACGAACAGTCGAGTGAAGATGAGGAGACCACGGAGGAATATCTTGATCTCCTGCGCTGGTCCGAGTTGCGCGGCCCTGGAAACCACCGCATGGATGTCGGGTCGCCTTCTCCAGCAGGCTCCCACAAAGCGTCGCCGCAGCCCACACCCAAGCACTCCGCGCCAGCTTCGCGGCTGCCGTCGGTCGCTCCTTCGCGTGCCCCTTCACAGCCCGCTTCCAGGGCTCCGACCGCCCCCGCTTCCGCAGCCTCGTCGCTTCCGCCGTCCGCGCCGACCTCTGCGAGTGTTGCAGCGACCGTGTCCAGTTCAGACACACTCGTCCTGCCTTCTTCGCTCAATTTGAGCAGCTATTTGGCTCAGGTTGGGTCGGCATTGGAGGCAGAGTTGAACGCGGCCGCTCCAGAACCGCTTGGACTGGAGGCGCTCGCCGCGATGCCTGCATCTGCTCGTCCGTCCATGTCGACTTCTGGAGATGTGACATTGCAGGCGGCAACAGTGAGCCACGAGGATGGCGATGATGATTTCGGAGTGGCCGATGCAGATTCCGTCGTTCCACAACTCCGCTCTGCCCGTGTGTTGCTTTCTGAAAATGACCTGGATCTGTCAGTGTCCTCCAGTACCGCTGACCTGGAACCGGTCTCGGTTGTTTCCGAACCTGTGATGACTTCCATTTTTGCCGCTCCTGCTGCTGTTGCTGCGACGTTGGATGACGCGCGTCTTCACACAGACTCGCCACTTGTTCCCCTCCCTATGCTGTCCCCTGTGCCGGCAAATCCGTTCAAAGCGACTGACCAGGTGCCGTCGACGCTCCTTGGCTCTCCGCTTGCCGGATCTCCTCTCGTGACGGCAGCAACAGCGCACTTGAATGTATCACTGGCTGACCAAGACGCCGACCAAGGTGCTGACCAAGGCGCTGCACCGAAAGCAGCCGCTGGTGGGCGCCAGCGACGTCGCTCCAAGTCCGATGCGCAGCTCAAGCACCTGTCCACGATCCAGCCAAACTCGTCTGGAGAGCAGCAGACCGTTGCTTCCGTGTCGGTGTCTGCCGGCAATTCTCCCGCAGCCGCTGCACGCGCTGCCACGCGTCAGCCTGGCACTTCTCAGCGTGGCTCCTCCCGCGTATCCATCGCCCCAGAGGCATCGACGATTGCTCCAGGAGCGAACAAAGCGTCTGGACGTAAGTCCCCGACAATGCGCAAGTCGTCGTCCACGTCAGACGCGTCCGCGGCTGCCTTGGTAGCGGGCCGTGCTGCCGAACCCCCTTCTTCGACCGCACGTGCCTCACAGCCAGCCCTGTCGGGTGACTCGCCGCCCACGCGTTCATCGCGCCACCGCAAGAATCGATCTGTTGAATTGCTGGAAAGTCTGCCCTCCTCCTCCTCTTCCTCCTCCTCTGCAAGTGTCCCGATGAGCCATGTCGCTGCTCATCGATCAAGCAGCATGGATTCAGCCGATGCAGCAACGGTTGGAAGTGCGCCTTCGTTAATTCGTCGACCCGTGAGTCCTGGAACTGTGGGTGCGTCCTTGGCTTCCAAGCCCTCTTTCAGCAGCGCGTCGCGTTCTGCCGAAAAGGTGCATGGCAATCGGCACAGTGATCCGCAGACCAGATCCACCGACGTTGCAGCGTCTGGCAGAATGTTTGAGCGCCATTCAGACCCAGCGAGTCAGCCGCTGTTTGCTCCAGCCACCGGTCTGCTCTCTTCGTCCCCGCCCCCAATTGCCAGCCGACTCGGTGCTGTTGGGAGTGTGTTTGGTGAGCCTGTGTCGCACTCTACGTCCGCCGAAATGTACGCCAATCCCGACACGAGCTCGTTCTTTTCCTTCTCGTTGCGGCCGCAACCACAGCACCAGCACCAGCACCAGCACCAACTGCCTCCAGCGGCGCCTGTGCCTCCGCCGCCTTCGTCCACGGCGGCGGCAGACCCGTGGTACAGCTCGTTCTCTTCGCTCTGGGGTCCTGCCGACGCGAGCAGCGTGCCGGCTTCAACTGCTCGCGAGCCCCGGATGCGTGGTGGTGGCCCATTGGGCGCCTCTCTCCCTCCTGCCATGCGCCCAGACCCGACGCATGACGTGCCGCACACCCCTCCTCCGCCTGGTTTTGCGCTCATGCACCGCGGAATGCACTCGCATGACGTGGGCAACCTCAACTATCGGCGCACGGACTTGTTCAATGCGGCCCCTGCTCTCGCTGCTGCCCCTCCAATTCCCACTGCGGCAGCCGGCACCGCGTCCAACCACACGCGCGGTGGCGTCTGGGCGTATCCGTTGTTTGCACCCGAGTCGCTGTGGAGCGATGCAGAAGCGTTGGCTCCCCCGACCCTCGTTTCTCCCGGACCGCTGGCCTCGTCCTTCTTTGTGAATGGCTCTACGTGGAATAATTCGGTGAATGGCGGCGGCAGCAGCAGCTCGGGCATTGCAAGTGCGTCGTCGGGCTCTCAGAGTGCGCCCAACGGTTCGTCGCCGATCGCTTCGCGCGCACTTCCTGCCATTTCGCCGCAGCAGTCCGTTCGTCTTGCTCCTGTGCAGGCTCCCGGTCAGCCACCGTCGTGGAATTCAGCCGACTCCAATGGCAATGGCCAAACTCTCCCGCCGCCGCCTGCTCCAACGACGGAGGAGCTTCTCGCCACGTTCCTTTCCATTTCCAGTGCAGGAGCCGCATCCACGCAACAACATTCTATGGATCGACAAAAGCAACACGAGTAGGTTGTCGAGTTTTGGTTTCTTTTCCATTTCCATGGCTTGAGTGTTGTTGTGTTTGTGGTGTTCCTTCCTCTTTGCGTTTCCTGTCACTTTTTTTTTCTGTTTCTCTTCGTTTGACGTGGATTATTAGGAGATAATGATCACGCCACGGGAAATAAACCATCGTTTTGTGCTTTATGAACCAGTTGTATTGTTGTTTTGAGGTGAACCCAAAGAGGAAAAAAACACTGGCCAGGATCACTGGAATGGATGACGGCTTCATGCGAGCATGTTGTACGAGTGATACTCGTGAGCGCTGTAGAACCAGTAGCAGATTGTGATACCCTAGAGGATGCAGGGGGAAGAAACAAACGAAAACACGAAACAACACGAAACAAGTGAGAAACAATGGCGCTGTCATTTTTTCACAACCCTCCATCCTTGGAAATGTACCTGGAACAGCAAATAGATGAACGAGCCGCTGAACTCGACCTTGTTGTAATCGGCGACGCTCGACTGCGAGGTGATGCAGCTGGACTGGTCGTCGTTGTTGCTCAAGCACGAGTAGATGATTTGACCGTTGGTGTTTGTGACGGCGCCCGCGCAGACCATCATGAGCAGGTTGACAAACAGTGCAGCAGCACCGAGTCCCGCTGAGCGGTTGACGCCGTAAAAGATGAGCGCGGCCGTGCCAACCAGGCCAGCGAGCGCAAAGGTCCACCAGCAGAAGAGCGTCGGGTTGAAGCTCTCCTTGATTTCGTCGGCGTCCCAGTCGTTGCGGAACCCGAATCCAATGCAGAATGTAATCCATCCTAATGTTTCAAGAGATGAGTGCAACGTGTGTGTGAGTGGAAAGTGAGGTGAGTGAGGTTGACAGCCCTCGTGCTCCAAAGGACAAAAGGTCAGCCTTTGTTCAACCCCCTCCCTCTGTCGGCAGGTCAAAATCGCTTCAAGACGGGTTGGCTTTTAGGTTGAGTGTCTTTTTGTTCAACTACAGTCTACGTCGCACAGACAGCCAACAGATAGTGGATACTGTTGTTTTCCTCTTTCTTTTATTCAAAGCGCAACGATGACGTGTTTTTGTGCCCCCATCACCCGTCATCCGCACTGCGCAAGTCACTGTGAACAGAGTGGGGCGGTGCTTGTCATGAAGGTTCAAAACGAGTGGTCAGAAGCTGCCCTCACCGGCGGTCGCCAGCGCGGACAGAATCAAAATGCCCTTGTTTGCCATCTTGCTTCACAAAAAAGTTGACTGATTAGTCTGACGGAATGGGGAAAGCATTGAGTTGGATTGCGGGAGATGTGTGTGCAAGTGGTGTCGTGGTTTTGATTGGGTGAATGGCGGCAAGGCGGAGATGCAAAACGGTGAAAGAAAAAGCCGAATGAAAAGCGCCATCCGAGTTGGTTTTGAGTTTTTTCAGTTGCTGGTTTTTATTTTTCTGCATGACATCGAAAATGTGCGAAAGTGCTCCGATCATTGCAATTTTCATATACACATACAGGCAATTCACTTGTTAATATTACCGCGCAGCGGCAGCGCGGAATTGTCGTCATGGGGCTCCAGTATCAAGCATCGCTCGGCTGATCTCCATCCAGACCCCCCAGTCGGGTCGAGGAAGCCCCGCTTGCTCCCACGCATCAATGGCAGTAATTCAAGCATCATATTTGCAACACTATTCCATCATGTCCGATCGGGCCATGGTCTCGCATGCACCCTCCACAGGCTGTCAAAAGTGCCACTTTAAATTGGAAGCGTGCGCACCAGTCCCTTTTTCCCACACGCTTTCCAATGGAGTTTTTCAATACTCTGGTACAGCCTTCTCCCCGTTTCCAACCACTGCTCCACTCTCAGCATCAGCGTTGCATTTTCACTGAGGAGGTGGTTCTGTGGTTTGTCTCATGGTGTGTGAGTGAGTGAGTGTGTGTGTGGTGAGAAAGATGATCCATCCCCCGAGCTGCGTCTCAGCGACCGAGACCGACAATCACAGCCAGAGAGAGAGAGATGTGTGTGTGTGTGTGTGTGTGTGTCTCTGTGTCTGTGTCTGTCTGTGTGTACCGAGCGAGTGACGAGTGCTGGTGGCCTCACACCTGCACCCCCCCTCATGTCATCTTCGCTCTTTGCTGCACAAAGTGGGCGCCACACACAATCGAGCGTTGTCTCGCCCGCCATTCGCGCTGGGGCTCGGCTGAGGCATCACCACTGTCGTTTGACTGCATCATCCATCAGCAGCACGACGACAGCGACTGGCCGACACAGCACCTCGGCACAGCAGCAGCTTCAATCCGATGCGGACATTTCATTTTTTATTTGTTTTTATTGCGATTTTTATTGTTTTTTATTTGCTTTTTAATCTTGGTTTTTCCCCCCACTTCTTCCAAGCGAATTGGCCTTTGGATTTTCGAATGTAACTCTGCGTCAACGCCATCGTGTTTCAAGCGGTGAGCATGGATGAACGAGCTTCAGACAGCAACAAAAAAAAAAAACCCAACCCGGGGTTGTGAACACCGTTGTATTGTTTCCAAAACGGGCTCCTCTCACCTGGTCTGTGTCTGAGCGTTGGTTGAGCGTTCACAACAAGCAAGAAGATCAACGCGTCTCAATAACCACCACTCACTTTCGGCTCTCTTTGATCTGTTGTCATGTTTTGTCGCAGTTGGTACGATTCGGACCCTTGGGCCGGTCTATCGTTGCCCTCGCCGTGTTTGACATGTTTGTGTGCACGGCCTTCTTTCTACTGAGCGCGGACGAGTCGAGCAGTCGGAACAGCTACTGGACAAATAACTTTGAGCACTACGACATTCGAGTGTCACTGTTTGATCTTTTGGTACGTCGCCTGGACCCTTGATTTGCTTCCAGCTGTCTTGGCATTTTTCCACCTCGGCTGTTTGCATCTGTCTTGGCTAACTTGAGCATTCCGTTGTCAGGCCTTGTCTGCTGCACGTGCCCTGAGCTTAACCGCGTGCTATACCGTGCTCCGCCTCGTTCACTGGCTGCCGCTTGTGGTAAGGGAGATTTGCGGCATGCGATTGCACCTCACAAACCACTCATTGATTTTCTTTATTTGCTTGCTTTCCTGCATATTTATCACAGCTCGTTGCGAGCGTGTCGCTGGCATTCACTGTGGCGAAATTCATCCTCATTCAGCACTTTGGGTCTGGCAACTGGGTCCCGCTGTGCTTGTTGATTCTCTCCCTGATCTTTCCTTGCATGGATATCTGGCTGTGGCTTTCACAACGACACCTGCAAGTTACCTTCCTCAAGCTGAACGCACACCAACCGTCCGAACGCACACCCCTTCTCAAGAATGATAACTCGACCATCAATGTGGTCGTAGACCGGTCCAGTTCCGAGTTGCCGTCCGGCGCCATGTCGCCGCCAAGAGACGTGTTGCCGCCAAAAGACTTGCTGCGCAAGCCAAGCACCAGCTCCGTGTCCGCTCTTGAATACTTTACCCCTTCTGAGGACTCATTTGACGCGCGCATGCGAAGTCGGTCGTACGCTCAGCAGGAGCCAGAGCACGAGGCCGAAAAAACAACTCGCGCTGTGCCAACACCAGCCAACACACGCTCTGAGCACCGTAACAATGCAGCCATCGACGATGATGGTCCTTCGTATCGGTCCCCGGTGGTTTCGCCGGTGGATGGACAGTCCTTGAGCCGCTTCCCGCCGTTGCGCACTCGCGAGCGATCAATGACTGTTTCGGACGCTGATCTCCTGGCCGCCGGAAGCGATGGCAGCGACGTGGGTATTCGGAATGCGCTCCAGATGGCTATGCAGCGAGTACGGAAGGACGCATTCGACACACGCCTCTGGGAATTTGTGACTGAAGAACTCGACGTATCCATCTATCAGCATAAATCATCCGACTCGGTCAAGCAAATGAAGGTACAGCCACAATCTCTTTTTGAAGCTGTCGCGAGAGGTTTGGCGCTCATTGCATCCACCATTTGTGTTTTTGAAATCACAGGGCGTCTCCATGATGCCACATCCTCCGCGCAAGGTGCTCGAGTGCATCATGGCACTCGAAAAGCAGCGCGAATGGAATAGCACAATCGAGTCTGTTGAGTTGGTCACAAAATACGACGATCGGTGTCAGGTTGTCCACGCTGCCTTCAAACCGACATGGCCTCTCAAACCGTAAGAAGCAAAACCAACCAGAGTGGTGTACTTTGTCTAGTATGGAAGGAGGCCATGTTGTCCACTCACTTTTTTGGTTGACTCTTGCTTCCTGCAGACGTGATTTCGTCTACGTACAAGGTTGGACCGAGTATGGCTCCGAAAGTGATGGATACCTCATGGCCTCGCAATCGGTTGTCGTCCCATCCGTGCCAGAAACGGAGGCGTACACCCGAGGCGACATTATTGCCAGTGGATTCATCATTGAGCCGCTTGCTGGAGACACCAATGCATGCATGGTGGTCCACATTGTTGCAGTCAACGTCAAGGGCGCCATTCCCCAGGGCATTGCTGGTATGGCGCTGACGGATCGACCACTTGTGCTGGCAGGCATTCACAAGCTGCTCGCTGCAGAAGAAGAAGCAGAGGCAAGTCGTGCGCAACGCGTTGCCTTTGCGTGAAAGTGTTTCATTACCTCGTGTTGGATGATTTGGCGTTGATGCTACAGTGGTTCTCGTTGCGCTGCCTTCTTCTGGTGTTGTTTGGATAACATGTATTGTAATAATTATGACAAATCTTCATCGTCGTCGTCAGCGTCTTGGTTGTTTCTTCGTGCTGGCATGAATGTCGCCCACTTGGAAGTTCGCTGAGCAGGAGGCGCAGGCTCTGATAGTTTGCTCAGATCGCGCCGAGCGTCCTGTAATAGTCGGGTGACGATACTCGCTGCAGCGGCAGTCGATCCAGAATTTGAGGCAGGTGGTGTCATAACCTGAGCTGTCGAGACGCCCGTTCTCCTTGACTGAGATCCGATATCTGTGGCTGCTTGTCCGAATGAATGACTGCCTGCTGCTTGATGCCGAGCGATGGATGCTGGTTGCCCTCGCGCCCGACACGAGGAGAGGTTGTACGATTGCGACGGATCGTCAAACGTCTTCGCTCTCCACCGAATGGCCATTGCCACCACCACCACCATGCTGCTGCTGCTGCTGCTGCTGCTGCAAGTACGAGCTTGCGTCAAGTACGAGCTTGCGTCGTGGGGCTCGGAGTACAGCTCGCATGTGTCGTCTGGCTCGGCAGCGGGGACTGCTTGCTGATCGCCTTGCGCATGTTCATGGCCTGTGCTTGCGCTCGACAGGCAGGAGCAGGCCCCTCAAACAAGACCTTCTTGAGCGTCTGTTTGGCTCCGCACACAACGCAGGTCCACTTGGTCGACTTTTTGACTTGCTGGACTTGGTGCGTTGCGCAGCCATCCGCGTAGCACTTGAGCACAATGAACGACTGCACCATCAACCACAACAGTAAAGTAGACTGAGCGTTTTGTTTGTTAGTGATGTTGAATCCGACGTTGGCGTTGACTCTCGTTGACTCTGAAAGAGCAAGGAGACAAGGTTGCACGCAAGTCAAAAGTTCAGCGTTCCTGGCATTCTCAGCCTCTCAGCTTTCAACCGAACAATGCTCGTTTTGGGATTCTGCATTGATGCTGTATGTTGTACAGTCACTTTCATACAATAATGTCAGCGCCGCTCGTGTCGGCGTTCAAGCGGAGGTCGCCTGCTGGAAGTGCTTCAGCGCAGCCACTCCAAGCAGCAGCAGCAGCAGCAGCAGCACACCGCCAACAACAACAACAACAACAACCACAGTCATCACAGCGACCAGCGCAGCTACCGCCTGGCACACGCCCGTCCATCCACAACGGCCAGCTCCTCGTGTCGACGGGCGTTCAGTCGCTCGACGGTGAGTGACTTGTTCATCCTCTCTCTCTCTCTCTCTTTCTCTCTGACAACAACCCTCACTTCTTGTGCTCTGTATGGCATGTCTATGTGAACCAGGACTGCTTGGCGGCGGACTGGCGGTCGGAACGCTCGCGCTCGTCGAGGAGGACGCCAACACTGCGTACGCCCAGGTCCTCCTCAAGTACTTTCTGGCCGAGGGTGTTGCTGCTGGTCACCAAGTGGCCGCGTGTGCAGTGCCGGACGGTGCCGCTTCCGCCGAGCTCCTGCGCTCGTTGCCGCACATTGCCGGCACCGAAGTCCAACCATCACCACCTGCAGCAGCTCCGTCATCCTCCACGAGCCTCGTCGATGCAAAGGCACACGGCGCACACAATGCGAAAGCAGGGAATCAGAATGCGAATGCTGCTGCTGCTGCTGCAGAGACCGCTCAGTCGGATCTTGTCGCCGATGACGAAATCCCAGGCGAAAGCAAGTCCGGAACTGCTCAAGACGCGTCCTCGTCATTGAAGATTGCCTGGCGATACCAGCACTTGCCAAGCTCCTCAAGCGATGCATCTGCATCTACTCCTACATCGTCGTCGGGAACCGCTGGCTCTGGCGGCGGTGACGGTGCGTTTGGTCACGAATTCGACATGTCCGCCAAAGTCGCCAGCCACCTGGTTGCAGAGTCGATTGAGCGGCGTGCCTTTGCCCCACACAACGGCTCTAGTACCAATGCACAGCTTTTGGCCTTTATCGAGGACCAGCTTGCTCCCTTCTTGTAAAAAAAAAAAAAAGTGTTTGTTTGTGGTTGTTTGTCCGAATTTTGGTGCTCATGTGCTCTTGTGCTCACGTGCTCATGGCATGGACGTGTCCCGTACACAGAGTATCTGCAAATGTCGCCTCTGGCGAGCGCCGCAATGTTCTGCGTATTGGAGTTCAAGGAATTGGCTCGCCGCTTTGGGACATGCAAACGCTCCAGAAGCAACCCGCCTCCTTGTCAGCCACGGTAAGCGGTTGGTTGCGCTGTAGTTCTCAAGATTCTTTTTTTTTGTTGTTGTGTTGGCCCCCTTTTTTCCTTGTTTCACTTTGGTCTCCTGAAACAGATTCCAGCAACGGCTGCCACATTGTTTGCCATCCGAGCTCTGGTCCGCCGCGCATACGCTGTATGTGTAGTCACGCTTCCTGCCTTCTTGTTCCGTGCCATGCCGGAAGGAGTGCAAGCAATTCGTCACATGGGCGACACGGTCGTTGGCTTGGAGGGCTTTGCGGGCACACCTCGCGAGACCCATCCCGTCTACAAGGACTATCACGGCCTGTTCCGCATTCACCGCCTTCCTCGACTCAACTCTCTCATGTGCGCCATGCCAGCATCCCTTGATTTGGTTTTCAAGCTTCGCCGCCGCAAGCTCGTCATCGAAACGCTGCATCTGCCGCCGGATTTGTCGGAAACGGCCAGCCGATCGAAGGAGGAGAGCGTCGACTCCTCCCGCACCACCACCACAGGAGCAGGAGGAAGTGCATCCGCGCGACGACATCGCGGGCCGGAGCACACCCACGGCTCTGCCGGTCATAGTCATGGCAGTCATAGCGACGCTGTTCACTGCGGATCGACGACGCCATCGGGCAAGCTTGTGCTTGATTTTTGACCAACCGCTGCCATCTGCTTGCTTTTTGTCAGAGTACACAATTTCACGCGATACAGTTCGAATCTCTCATTCAGTTTAATTTCTCCGTGTCTGTCAGTGTGCTCAGTCCACCCAATTCAATTTCATCCATGTGGTCGAGTGACTCGCAGAGCCACCTGGAGTCGTCTCCGCCGTCGTCCGGCAGCAGCAGCAGCACCCCCGACATTGCTGCCGCGCCAGACCAGCCCCTGCTGCACCACCACGCAGCCGCTGCAGCAGTGACTGAATCGACCCCGGACGACCAGCAACGAGCGGGAGCGCATTCACCCGCCTCAAGATTAAATATCCGCCCTCATGGCGCCACCACGACTGAGTCTGAGTCTGGAGCTGAGCCCACATCGTGGTCCACTGCTACTGATGCTGCTACTACTAATGCTGCTACTGCTGCTGCTGCTGCTGCGGTGGATCGTCGACCGAGCGACACCCAAGCGACGCGACGCGCCCCGCAAGTCACCATTACCATCGAGGAAGCCGAGGACGATCATCATCATCACACAGTCGGAGATGATGACAATGACACACACACTCAGTTGGGCGACTTTCGACGGCGCACAGTCGACGACAACGACGAGGGCTTCGATCGACGCTCGTTCATCATGGCGCTGGATGCGAGCAATGCCGCCGACGCGCTGTCCATGCTCGATTACCAGGCTGAGGTGGACGGAGGGGACTCGACCGTCATCAAGTCACACGTCCCGCCACCACGGCCCCACGTCGCTCTGCAGCCAGGCGTGCTGTACACGCTGGTCCCAGCGGATGCCGGTGGACAGGAGCACGGGGCGGTTGATCAGGGACACGTCGACACCCAATTCAACCAGTCGCGTGACGCCATCCCGCTTCAGGATCTGACCAAGAACAGCTCACACAAACACCAAGGGCAGGATGAGCACGCAACGGATGCAAAGCAGCAGCAGCAGCAGCAGCAGCAGCAGCCAAGAAAGCAACGACCAAAGAGCACGCTCGATGCTGCAGGCTGGTTTAGCGTCTTTACATTTGCTTGGATGAGCGAGTTGTTCCGGCAAGGCAAGCGAGCGCCGCTGGAAGACGAGGACATCCCAATGCTACCTCAGCAAGACACTGCTGTTGATGTGACAGACAGGCTGCTATCGGCTTGGGAAGTCGAGCGCGAGCGTGCCAAGGCCAAAGGGCGCGCTCCCAGTCTCGGTCGCGCCTACATTCGTGCATTCGGAGGTCGGTTTGCAGTTGCCGGGTTGTACTGCGTGCTTGAGGTACGTACTACAGAGTAGTGAGTCATGATGAGGTCAAACGGGCGACAGCAGTTGGCCTCATCGGTTTTTTGTTTTTTTTTTTGGTTTGTTTGCAACTCTTGTAGAACATTTTCCAGATCGCCCAACCTGTATTCCTCGGGTTTATCATCACCTTTGTGGCGGATCCCGATGCTCCACTTCGAGATGGATTGCTTTATGCGCTCGGTCTTTTGCTATGTGTTGCCTTCTTTGCCGCGGCTCATCACCACTACTTTTTCGCAACCATGCGGCTGGGCATGCAATGCCGCGTTGCTGCTGTTGGTGCCATCTATCGCAAGGTACATTTGGTGTTGGTGACTTGTGCTGAAAAACTCAAACGCGTCCAGCGTCTCGACTAACCGCGGTTTTGGCGTTTTTTTCTTGATTCTTTTACATTTCAGACTCTTGCCATCTCTCAAACCTCACTGGGTCGAATGACCACCGGTGAAATCGTCACCATGATCTCTGGTGATGTGCAGCGATTTGATTTGACGCTGCCATTCTTGCACGCCCTTTGGATGGGCCCGGTGTCGAGCGGCGTCATCTTGTGGCTCACTTGGCGCGAGGTGGGCCCTTCGGCACTGGCCGGCATCTTTTCCATCTTCTGCTTGCTCACACCCGTTCAAGCCTTTTCGGCCAAGCTGTTTGGGCGCTGGCGTTCCAAAACCGCCAAACTCACGAGCGAGCGCGTCCGCATCATGAGCGAGGTCATTTCGGGCATGCGCGTTGTCAAAATGTACGCCTGGGAGCCTGCCTTCAACGCAATTGTGTCGGCCGTGCGAGGGCGTGAAATGAAGCAAATCTTCAACGCGGGCTACATGCGCGGTGCGAACATGGCCTTCTTTTTCGTTTCGCCGACGTTCATTGGCTTTATCACCTTCCTGGCGTACACTCTGTCCGGCAACTACCTGACATCCAAGAATGTGTTTGTGACAGTCTCGCTCCTCCAGGTGGTGCGCATGAACATGACCCTCTTCTTCCCCGTCGCGCTTCAGGGCATCTCGGAAACGATGATTGCCTTGCGTCGCATCCAAGCCTTTCTCGAGATGCACGACTTTGGTGAGCAGAAGCTCGACTGGGGCACCTCGCCCGAGGCGCTGGCGGCCACCAAGTCCAGTCAGGTGCCCCAACACAGCAAGTATGACAAGCTTGCCAGTTCAGATTCAGTGCAAACTCCCGACCTCGAGGCGGGTCTGCCTCTCAAGTCCCGCACCTCGTCCGTGCTAAGCCTGGGCTACACACCGGCCGATTTCCCTTCTGGCGCACCCGGTGCAGAGGTGCTGGCCGAGTACGCACACGAGCCGCGGTTTATTCACGTCGATCACTTGCTCGCGTCGTGGGACGAGACTGAGGTTCTTGTGCGACGCGGTGAAATCAAGCGAGCTCGTGCAGCTGCCAACAAGACTGCGCGTCTTGCCAAGGCGGCGAGTGCGTCTGGCGATGCAAAGCCCGTTGTTCGCCGTAAGAGCAGCAAGTTGCTCCGTTCGAGCAATCCAAGCACTGGCGATGCCGCCGACAAAAGTAACGCGGGCACCGATGACAAGAAGACAAAGTCGTCCGATCCTCCGCTGCCCGTAGAAGGCGAGTCTCGCGTCACGCTTGAAGATGTTGGCTTTCATGTCAGCCCCGGCCGTCTTCTGGCAGTCATCGGCCCTGTCGCATCTGGCAAGAGCTCGTTGCTGTACGCCCTTCTCAATGAGCTGCCCGCAGTGGCTGGTACAGTGACAATCAAGGGTCGGATTGCCTACGCTGCCCAGGAGTCGTGGATTATTGCAGGCACTCTCCGCGAGAACATTACTTTCGGTCTGCCTTTTGACCAGGCCAAGTTCGACCGTGTTACAGCAGCCTGTGCGCTTGACCGCGACATTGCGTCGTTCGAGAACGGTGATTTGACTGAAATTGGCGAGCGTGGTGTCACCCTGTCTGGCGGGCAGCGCGCGCGAGTCTCGCTCGCTCGAGCAGTGTACTTTGATGCCGACGTCTATCTGCTCGACGATCCTCTCAGTGCCGTTGACGCCCATGTGGGCCGGCATCTCTACGAGCACTGCATCAACGGCATTCTGCGCGACAAGCCTCGCATTCTGGTCACGCACCAAGTGCGCTTCCTCGAAGACGCCGATGAAATTCTCATGCTTCGCAATGGCCAAATTGAGGACATCGGGACGTATCAGGATTTGCTTGCGCGTGGTCACGATCTTTCCGACACTGGTACCCAGACGCCCAACGTGCATTCGGAAGTCCCCGAGGAGGCTGCGAAGAGTGCTTCCGCTCCGCTTGTTGCGGCTGTGACTTCCAAGCTCCAAGACAACAAGGAGGCCAGCCAACCGGCCGCTGGATCTGGCCAGCTGGTTCAGAAAGAAACCAAAGCGACTGGTGTTGTGTCGTTGAAGGTCTACTGGGACTTTTTCCGCGCAGCTGGTCCTCCGATCGTGTTTTTCAGTCTCATCTTGATTTGCATGCTGGCCCAAGGGTTGCTTATGGGTGCGGATTACTACTTGTCGTACTGGTATGTCAATTCGTGTGTGTATGTGGTTTTTTTTTTTGCGTGGCGGATGCCTTGTTCCTCCCAAACGCTCACTCTCTTACTTTCCGTATGCCAGGTCTAACATCCCCGTGGCAGATCGAAACAACGACGAGCATCTTGGAATCTTCGGAGGGTTGCTGTGCGCTGCAATGGTGGGAGCGGTTGCTCGCGCCGTCTTCTTCTTCCATGTCACGCTGACTGCATCGCGCAACTTGCACGACTCCATGTTTGCACGACTCTTGCGGGCGCCCATGAGCTTCTTTGACACCAACCCGACGGGTCGTGTGCTCAACCGATTCTCAAAGGACATTGGCTTGATTGACGAGACGATGGGCCTGACCTTTTTCGACTTTGTCCAGTGCTTGCTCTTGGTTGTGGGCTCCTTGCTCCTCGTCGCCGTGCTGAATCCGTGGGTGTTTATTGCGATGCTTCCGCTCGTCCTCGGTTTTGCCTGGCTTCGCGGCTACTACCTCGTGACTGCGCGAGAGATCAAACGCATCGAGGGCATTACTCGCTCGCCCGTCTTTTCTCATTTCTCCGCCACCATCCAAGGCATCTGCACCATCCGTGGCTACAACGTCACCAAGCCATTTTTGGCAGACTTTCAGCGGTACCAGGACGGACACACACGGACGTGGTTTGTCTTTTTGGGCTCGGCGCGTTGGCTCGGATTCCGATTGGATGTTCTCAGCATCCTGTTTGTGGCCGTGGCCGCGTTCGCAGCCGTGTTGGCACGCTCGTCGCTCGATCCTGGCATCGTGGGCCTGTCCCTCTCCTATGCCATCCAGCTGAACGGCATCTTCCAGTGGTGTGTGCGACAAAGTGCCGAGGTCGAGGCGCTGATGACCTCGACCGAGCGCGTGCTCGAGTACACACGGCTCCCCGAGGAGGCGGAAGACGAAATCGAGGCCACCAAGCCCGCCCCGGAATGGCCGCCTGCCGGTGGAGTGTCCTTCCAAGGTCTCACCATGTCCTACCGCCCTGGCCTTCCGCCCGTGCTTCGCAATCTCCAGTGCCGGATTGCAGGTGGCGAGAAGGTTGGTATCGTTGGTCGCACTGGTGCTGGCAAGGTGAGTGGTTTTTTTTTTTTTTTTTTGTTTTTTTTTTTTTCAGTGAGTACCGTGGTTTTTGCTGGTGGCTCACTCGATGCGTGCTGTGCAGAGCTCTCTCATGCAAGCCCTCTTCCGACTGACCGAACCCACTGAGGGCTTGATTGAAATCGATGGCGTCGACACGAACAAGCTCGGATTGCGACACTTGCGGTCCAAAATTTCAGTCATTCCGCAAGAGCCGGTGCTCTTTAGTGGCACGCTTCGTGGCAACCTGGATCCGTTCAACCAGCACTCGGATTCCGAGCTGTGGGAGGCACTCGAGCATGTTCAGCTCAGCACCGCAATCAAGGAGCTGCCCGACCAGCTCAATGGTCGCATTTCCGAGGCTGGTGGAAACATGAGTGTCGGTCAGAAGCAGCTCATTTGCTTGGCGCGTGCCATTCTCCGCCGCAACAAAATTCTCGTTCTGGACGAAGCCACCGCCAGCGTGGACCTCGTCACGGACGAGTTGATTCAAAAGACCATTCGAGAGCAGTTTGCGGACTGCACAGTGTTGACCATTGGTAATTTTTGGCTGTTGTTTGTTGTGATTGTGCTTGTCGTCTCGTGGTTACTCACTGGGTTTTCTCTCTGATTCGCCTTGTAGCCCATCGTCTGAACACTGTGATGGATGCCGACAAGATCTTGGTGATGGATCGCGGCCAAGCGCTCGAGTTTGACGAGCCGCATGTTCTTCTCACACGTCCCTCGGCCGAGGGAGGTGTCTTTTTATCTCTTGTCAACGAAACCGGCCCCTTCAATGCACAAATCATCAAGCAAGCTGCCCGAGCCAAGCACGAAGAGCGCAAGATGCAACGACAGTAACTTTCTGAGGGCCCTCTTGTCCTTCCTCACCGCTCGCAGCCGTCGTCTTTCTTTCAGAGCTTAGATAATTTCCCCACCCCCTCTGTTTTCCTCTTGAGTGTACCATTGTCTCTGTATTATTACTACAAGTGTACCATCAGTCTATATCCGCAATCGGTTGTCGTTCAGTCCTTTTTGTTTTTTTTGTTTCTTGATTCCTCCCGCACGCTCCCACTATGGCTGAGGACTTTACCACAGTGTTCCTTCGCGAACTCCAGGCCAACCCAGCTGCGGTGCTCGGTGCGATCGTCTTGCCAGCTGCTGGCGGCGTTTACGGATCGCGCATCACCCGCGCCAACCTCAAGACATGGTCAGTCCACCGTTCCCGCCACCTTCGCCTCCAACCTGACTCATGGGGCTCTTAAGTCATCGATTCATGGGTCGAGCACTGTGTGTGCTTGTACGGGGGTTTCCAAGCCCGACTCTTTACGCCTTTTGGAGGTGGAAACGGCCTATGTGCGAAGTGGAGCGACGACGATCGCCAAGCCATCCGACAGACCGGGTCCCTCACTCAATGCGGCTGGATTACTCTCAAACGTCCGTGTCTGTGTCAGTGTGTATGGAGAGAGAGAGACAGCTGGGGAAGGACGAGCGTGTGGTGTTACGTCCCACCCAAGTAAAAAACGCTCCACGCTTCGCTTCGTCGTTCGCCTTGCAAGAGCTTTACAGAAGGGGACGCGTTTGGCATTTGACTACCCTCTTATTGTCATTGTTGCCAATCGGATGGGGGGCGGGGGTTTTGTGCAGAGAGCACTACTCTGTTCCCGCCTTTTTCGCTGCTGTCCATTCTGAGCACGGCGCACATGTTCAGTGCTGACCGTTTCAGTGAATCTGAGACATTGCTTCGAATGCTGTCATCCTCATAAATGCTGGGTTTTTTTTTATTGTTTGACTTTGATGTGCTTGGCTTTGTGTGCTTTTTTGCAGGTATGCCAAACTCAACAAGCCTTGGTTCAACCCGCCAAACTACCTGTTTCCACCCGTCTGGATGATTCTCTACACGCTTTCTGGGTTTGCCTCGTACTTGATATGGAAGGAGGATCATGTACGTCCGTTGACAAAGTTTGGCTTGGTTTGTTCCGGCTTGAGCTGCTTTGCTCGCTCGCTTGCTCGCCCAGCGAATGTCTGTTTGTATCTGACCTCCTCGTCTGCCTTGTGTTTGGTTCTCTGGATGCTGCTCTTGCAGATCTGGCCGCTTGTGCCCTATGCAATTTCAATCATCACCAACAACCTCTGGACGCCATTATTCTTTGGTTTCCACTTGCTCAATCTCGCCCTGCTCGATCTGCTCGTTTTGTGGGTGTCGTTGGCGTCCTGCATTGCGCTCTTCCATCCCATCAACGAGCTTGCCGCCATGCTGCTTTTGCCCTACATTGCCTGGGTCTCGTTCGCCGGCGTGCTGAATTTCAGCATTCTCTTGAAAAATCCCAGCACAAAGCCTTCGTCCGCAGCAGCAGCAGCAACCACCAGCGATGCCGGTGCTTCCCAAAAGAAGCAGCAATAGCTTTGGTTTCCTTCCCCTTTTTGTGTGTTGTATGTGTGTATGTCTGATTTCGTGTTTTCTCAAGCTGTTCGTGGGTGCGTTTGAGCTGTTTCGCCTTCAATCGAACTCATTCTTCATTCTTCACTCTCTCTCTTGGCTGTGTTTTTGCTTGTCGGTCATCACGATCGCTCACCACTCTGCCTCCTTTTCCAGAATCTGACGTGGCTGTTTTTCTGAGCTCAGTCTCTCTTTTTTTTTTTTAACACTCTTCTCCAATGACTTCGCTGTTTGATCGTCCGCTGCCTTTCGAGGCCTTTGGACAGTTCCACAACATGTGAGTCAGCAAGCACCATTTTCGCCATTCAACACACGATGAGCTTCCTTTTTTTGTGTTCATACGAATGTCAAGTCTTTCGCAAAGACGGAGCAAAAACGAAATTCTCGCTCTTTTGTGCTTTCTTATTTTTCCGCTTTTTTCGCTACTTTTTGCCTTCGATTGCGTGAGAGTGAGAATGTGAGCGAGTAAGCGTGAGTGAGAATGAATACGAAGTGAGGAATACGAGCGAAAGTCAAGGGGGAGAGTCGATCGTAACAGGTCGAGGAACGACAGGCAATTCGAAAGCAATGGAAAGCAATGGAAAGACACGTCACTGCTTTCGTGAGCCCTTGATCGACGTCGCACTCGTTGACTCTTTGAATATCAGTATGAGAATGAGTATGAAGCTGAACAAGAGTATGGCTCTGTTGAGAGATCGCGCTGGTTCGGCCACTCTGCCCCACTTTACCATTGCGCGGAACCCGCCCTCCCACTTCACTGACCTTGACCTTGATTCTCTGTTTCTGTCTCTGTGTCCGTCTGAACAGTGACGCCAAGGTCCAGTCGCACCTCAAGGGCGTCTATGCCACGCTCGCTGCGTCCGTGCTCATCGCCGCTCTCGGCGCAACGCTCGGCCAGCGCTTTGCGTTTGCCTTCGAGTACCCGTACCTCGTCTCGTTCGCCTGCCTTGGCTTTGTGCTGTGGCTGGCCATGAACCCAGAGGGCTCGTCCACGTTTGGCACCCGCGCGGCCATGTTTGGCGGATACTCGTTCTTCCAGGGCGTCGCCTTGGCCCCGCTCGTCTGGTTGCTCGCCGAGATTGACCCGAGCATTGTCTCGACTGCCTTCCTCGGATCCGTCGCCATCTTTGCCTCGTTCTCACTGACCGCCCTCTATGCCCAGCGCCGCGTCGATCTCTGGCTCGGCGGTCTGCTCAGCTCGGGCTTGTCTGTGCTCTGCTGGACCAATCTGCTCGCCTTCTTCTTCCCGAGCATGTTCTTCTTTAACATTCAGCTCTACCTGGGTCTGATGGTCTTCTGCGGCTATGTCATCTTCGACACTCAAGTCATCATCTTCAAGGCCACTCGCGGCGACCGGTAAGTGCAATCCAAATCTGGTTTTGTTGGTTGGATGAGTTGGTTGGTTGTACTTTCGCCCGTTTCTCTTGCTCATTGTCATCTTCTGAAATCTGGTGTTTGGGAACAGTGACGTGATTATGCATTCGCTCGAGCTCTTCCTCGATTTTGTCAACATCTTTGTCCGCATTGCCTCCATCCTTGGCAAGGACAAGAAGAAGAAGAAGTAAATACGCTTTGCTTTTTTTTTCCTCTGTGCCTCGTTTTGTTTCGGTTTTCCCCAGATTGATTGAGAGCTAGTCATTCTCATATACCATGTAAAGTCCATCAATTTGATGAATACAAATAAATACGTTTTGCAAAGCACCATTGACACTGCGACACGAACAGCGTTGGGTGTACTTTGTCGCCAGATTAGTCTCATCTCGAACTCTCATATACCATGTAAAGTCCATCAATTTGATGAATACAAATAAATACGTTTTGCAAAGCACCATTGACACTGCGACACGAACAGCGTTGAATGTACTTTGTCTCCAGATCAGTCACATCTCGAACTCTCGTGGAAGGCCGAGGGAGGGGGTACTCGAAGCTGACTTGATTGGGCGCTTACACTGGCGAGTGCATGCCCAACTTGGTGCCAAACAGCAACTTGGCCCGCTTTTGGAAGCGAATGAATCGTTTCGTGTCGTGTTTCTTGACTTGCTCGTTCACGAGGAGCAGAACAATGGGCCAAAGCAGCCCAACGACGTACACGTACCACCGAATGTCCGCAAAGCCAAACGAATACACGCTGGAGTCACCGGCAAAGGACACTGCAAAAAAGATGATTTGCAGGACAAGACTATCAAAATGAAAACAAACATGGGTTGAATGTGAGTGACAAGGGTGCAGCAGACCTTTGGCGGCCAGGCGGGAACTTACGCAGCGCCTGCACTTCCCAACCATGCCTTGTTCCTCCACAAGCGCAGTTGGAAGACGGACTGAGTACGGTGCATAAAGGTGGCGCTGAGGGTGACTTTGACCACAAGAACAACAGAAAAAAAACAAACGTCAGGTCACTGCCGCCTCGCACAACAACAACAAAAAAACAACACACAATCTTTCTGCCATACCGAAATAGAGGACGAGGAGAAAGAGAGCCACATTCTGTGCAAAGTACAGGCCGGTCGAGAGAGAGCTCGACCAGCCATTCCACTGCTTGGTGCCAGTGGTCAGGGAAAAGGTGGAGGGCGACACGACCGTCGGGCCGAGCAACGCGTTGCATGAAATGACTGCAGTGCCGGATGCCAGCAGCTCCGACGAGAGGTGGAGACAGAACGAATTGAGGGTCAAGAAGAACAAGACCACCACGACGATGGTCGAGGGCACAAAGCGAAGGCAGAAATAGACCAGGAAGCGCCGACGATCTTTGACGTGGTCAACGTTCTTGGCGGCAATCAATTTCATCGTGTTGGGTTGGCCCGCGCGGGTGAAGAGTGGGATGGAGAGCAGAGGAACGATGATGACTTCCAGCCAAATGAGATGAATACCGTTGAAGATGGGAGGAAGCAGCAGGCAGTACGAGAGAAGAATGAGGAAGGACAGCGAGAGTTGGCAGCCCATCATGAATGCGAGCGTTTGGCGCAAGGACCACGATAGGCGGCGAGCCTCGCGAATCAAAAACAGCATGGAACGAAGGGACGTGTTTCGGTGCAGGGTGACGGTGCACGGGACAGTGTTGAGTTGCGAGGCCAGGCTAAGAAGTTTGTTTGACTCGACTATCAAATGCAGGAACAAAAGCAACCAGTGAGCTCAAAATAGCCACCTTCTCCCCACCCTCCCACATGCACACACACACGAAATTTACACACGAAATTCAAAATTCAGCGCTCACAATCCCGCGAGTCGGCCTTGCTGTTGTACAGACACTCATCGCTGCGCAATGCTAATGTTGGCCCGGGCAAAGCAAGCTAGACTGTCGCTGTTCAACGAGGTACCCAAGCACAGAACTGTAAGGCCGTTCTCTTGCATGATTTTCATCATTTCCTGCGAGAATTTGACAACAGGCACGGGAAGATTTGAGTACAAGCGAGCTTTCAACAACTAGTTTCTCCAGTTCCAGGGTCCATCTCACCTCCGTGGCCTTCGGCATGCTCTCCGTAAACAGGGGGACGAGCAGTGGAACATCATCGACCTTCTCAAGATGCGGGCGGATTTGGCGAACGCCTTTGGGCAGGCGAGCCTTGTTGTCGGCGTAGGTTGGCGACAAGTCCAAGGCCGTGTGGAGAGCGCGTTTGTCCTGGTATCCCAGCACGGGGGTGCGAGGGGTAGACGGCGTGTTTGTACCACTTGGAAGGCGGAGGGCTGAACCACCAGCACCAGCACCCGCACCGAACATGGACACTTCATCCTCGGCATCGTCTTTCAACGAAATGTGGCAATTCCAGCCAGTCTCCAGACCCATGCGAGTTGCAAAGGCCTTGGAGCGCATTTCTGACTCGGACGAAAAATAAACAAAGCGGATACCAGCGGCGAGCAAGTGCTCAATCACTGGGACGACTTCCTGCTTTGGATGGTACTCAGAAGCAACCATGCCAATGAAGATTTGATGTTGTTGAAGCCTGTCGGGGGATTGAGAGGAGGAGGGGGGGAAGAGCAAATCAGGTGAGAGAAATACAGTAACTTGAACCACCCACACTTTGCAAACACCGAGCAAGCAACGCCATCGACAGTCCCAGCTTACGCGACGAGTCGGGCCTCTTTGCGAATTGCGGATCTCGGGCGAAGCGGATTGAGAGCCGCGCGACTGGATACTCGAGAAGGCGCGCTGGTGTCGGCTTCCTCCTCTTCCTCCTCCTCCTCTTCGTTCAGCAGATTCGCCATGCTCGTTATTTGCGTCCGCGAGTTGACGCCTCCTGCGGGCAGTGTCGCGGCGGAGGTGTTCATCTCGGACACGGTCGCAGTGTCCGTCAGCAAGGATGTCAGGGAAATGGCATCGAACGGAGTGACAGCTTCACTTCCCATCGTGTCCTGGAACACGGAGACGGTGTCCGCCATGAAGGCATCCGCATTCGAATTGTTGATGGCGACAGACATATCCATGGCAGCTTCGTCGCCAACAGCGTTGAGCACGATCGTCTTTTGCTTCATTTCAATGTAGTGGTCCTGCTCTGGCGGCGCGCACATGGTTTGCGAGGACGGGGCCCGCTCTGGGAATGGATTGACCACTTCAACGGGCTTGTACGCAAAGCCACTGCAGTACATGCTACGAGATGCATTGGTATAAAAGTTGATGAGCCGGCGGCGATGCCGCGGAGTCATTTCGCAAATGTCGTTGCCATCCCACAGATCGGTGCAGCGTTCCTGCACCATTTCGCCGTCGCCTTCCGAAAACAGCTGCAGGCTTCCTGTCGCCGTGTCTTCGACCAGGATGGAGGAGACGTACTGCACAGGCGTCTCGAGCAGGGTCGAGGCTAGATTTCGCTCTGCAGTGCCGCCAGGCGATGTGGCAGTCAAGACCTTTCGAGGCACCGAAAGAAGCGGAGTCGCCGAGCGTCCTTCTGCTGCAGCGGCCAGTGTCGCCTGCCGCAGCAACGGGCGAGTATCAGAGATACCCTTTCCGCTGTCACCCGTGTGTTGTTGGTTGCCATTCTCGAGTGCCGTCAACGCCAACACAGACGACACGCGACGGGCTTCGTCCGTCATGTGCACCGCTGTGGTCGAAAAGGCCGTGACACGAATGTGCTTGACAAACGTTGCCAGAGCTGCATCTTTGAAACCAATCTCTCGGGCCAGCGGGCACAGGCAGGAGCGCAAGGGGCGCGACGCAATGCCACTTTCGCGCTCGCTCAAGTACTGCCAGTAGGAATCCAACCGAGCAGCATGGGTCGAGCACCCTGGTGCATGGCCAACGCCTGCAGGTGGAGTTTCGGCACATTGCGAGCTCAGCAGAATGTTCAAACCGAGTGGTTTCAGTGCAGGCAGATACTTGACCCAGTCTGTTTCATCAAAGCGGATTCCGTTGGCACGGTTGTTGTCCGTAGAAACATCGAGAATGGCCGAAGCGTGGCGAACGGCGGCACTTTGTTGAGGGTGCAGCGCAATTGGAGATGGCGGACCATCCTCGTCCTCGCTGGCGCTCTCTTCGCTGTCGCGATCGTCGTGTGCAAGTGGGAACATGGTCTGGCCCATCGGCGAGAAGGTAAAGACCTTTTCAGCAGTCGGCCGGGGCATGGAAAGCAAGCCGACCTTGTCAATGCAGCACAGAGTGGTGATGCCGCCGAGCGTGTTCATCAAGCTGCACGATCGAGGCAAAAAGACAACATCGCGGCACAGGAGGTGGTCTAAAAACACCTTCCACTCGTCTCGAACGGGAATGTCGACGGTCATTTGTGTGGTTTGAGGTTGAGTTTGCAATAAAGATTCTGCAGAGAGGACATTCGGTGTGTGTGCGTGTGTGGCAAAGAAAATAAAACAGGAAAGCGTGAGATTCAACTGCAAGAAAACACGGGCGAGATTCACTTTGGCAGACTTTACGCAAGCTGGACTGGCTTTCGTTGAGGCGAGGATCATCCAGCTGACGCGCAAGCAATGCGATTCTCGCAGCGCCATACGCGTTGGCAGCAGCCCAGAGCAGCGGGAAGATGAGAGGGAGCAAGGGAATGAAGAGATAAACCAACTCGACGAAAAACATTTCCATCCATTCACCCTCCTCGTCGTTGAGAAGGCCGTAGCGTAAGGCGTTAACGAAAATAGCGGCAAGAAACAATGGGCCCAAGATCATCTTTCCCAGGATGCGACCGAGAATAACAGAGCGCTCGTTCTCAAGCTTGGTCAAGGGACGAGTCTTGTAGGCGTTCAGCGGAATGTCAAGGTGCCGAATGAACGGCGTCTCGTCCATGACATAGAGAACGGGTTTTGGCTGCGCACAAAACTCGGGCTGCACGCAACAATGTACACCAAAAGTGAGCGAAAAAAAAAAACAAAAACGCTTCTTCAACATCATCCCCTCGTTCTCGAGCACGAATGCGTGCAAGTACCTCTGTCGCTGGAGGAGCTCGTTGGGACTCGACAGAAGTTGATGGGATCTGCCCTTCCGATAATACGCCGGCCACCGAAGGATCGTAGCTGTGGCACAATCCAGGCGCTGGCACGCCTGGCAAGAGCTCCAACAAGTCACCTTTTACCAACAACACGCGAGGAATACTGACGATGCGACCATCGCGGATGGTGCGCGCGACGGAAATGGACGGCGAGATGAACGCATCCGAGGCGCAAAAGTCGTCCAGCCAAACTGGATCGGGCTGGAGCGCTGCCTGGTGGGATTGAACAATCGACGACAGCGCGTCAGCAATCTCGTTGGCGCGGCACTTGTCTTCGTACCATCCCAGATACAAGTTCCAGGCAGCAAAGGCTAGCAACAAAAGCGCCTCAATCAGCACGCCGGTCAATCGGTAGTGCGAGATGGACGGGTCGGCTTTTCCATAAATAAAGTAGACGAGCAAGAACACTGCAAGAACCGCCACCAAGCCAGAGGTCCAGAACCATTCGCGTGTTACGAGGCTATACAACAACAGAGTCAAGCAGAGTTTACGGTGAGCCGCCACTTACTTGGCTTGGACGTCAACTGTCCCAACTCTGTACGACTTGCGTGGAAAACCAGCACTTACGAAATTAACTTTACAGATTGGGTTTGGCGTCGGTGTTCATCCGCGCGGGCCCTAATTTCATCAAACAAAAGTCTCGTTGCCGCGGATGTTGCGAGCCCTTGAGCAGGTGGTGGCGCAGAGGTGCCGGCACTGCGATCATTGACTCTTGCTGACGGAGCTGCCGAGGTCTTGATGCGCGTCATTGGGATGGCTTCACCGCCACCCACCATGGCGGGGTACTGTGCAGCCGAAACTTCTGAGGGTTGTCGACTGTGTGCCACAGAATCCACGACAAAGACTGGCCGTTTGGCTGGCGATGGCTGGAGCAACGGCAATGTCGACGCACTCTGCGCGATCGCCGCAGCAGTCGCATCAGTAGCATCAGTAGCATCAGTAGCATCAGTGCCAGTGGTAGCCAAGTCCTGCGGCGTGAGGGTGAGATTGGTCGTGGACGAACTCGCAGCAGCGGCGGGTGCCATTCCGGCTGGAGCAGCAACCGATGCCAACGACGCGGCCGACGCTGCCAGTGATGACGGCACAGAGTTGAGTGCCACGCCAGGCACAAACCGGGGCACCTGGGCTTCAGGCGGCGCCGTGATCGTCGCGGCAGATGCAGCGGCCCCGAGCGCTTGGAGCGGCGACGCAATGATCTGGACACCCGGCGCCGCTGCCAGCGCGGACAGCGACGCCATCGACTGCGATCTGTTCTGGGACAGCGTGTTGAGCCTGGTCAGCGAGTGCGATGGCGGCAGCGCTCCCGCCTTACGGAGGATTGCTGGGCTTCCAGTCGGAGTGGCGCTGCTGGCTGCGATTGCGCTCTGTGGGTGCTGCTGCTGCTGCTGCAGAAGAGGGAGTCTAGTCGTGATGGATGGCTGTGCGACTGGTATTGGCTGATGAGATGGGATGGCGGTGGATTGGGACGGCGCAGCATCGCCGTGTTCATGATCACCATGATCATCATGACCATCATCATCGCTGTAATGACGACTATGATTGTCGTGCGCTGCTGCACTCAGCTGCATGGCCGCGTCGAACGAGTGGAGCGAGCCGCGGTCGTAGTTGTCGTCGTCGTCGTTGTCGTTGCTGCCACTCATCGTCGTCGTGCGACTCTCAGATTCTGAGCCAATAATCAAAACAATGGAATTGTTGTTGAAAAAAGCTTTTCCTTTGAAAAAACTTGTTCAATGTAAAATAAGAAACGAAAAGAAACGAAAAGAAAGAAAAGAAAAAATGGCGGGAAAACAAAAACGACTGAAACACATTGTTTGAAATTGAAATAAGAAGAAAAAAACAAAGAAGAACAAGCTCAGAAGCAATAAAGTATCAAAGCAATTCCATCCATCATTCTGCACAATTGTGTGGATGGCTCTCCTTGCTTTGATCCCGCTTTGATCTCAAAAAGAAGAACAAGAAGAAGCGGTTTCTCAGAAGCAATAAAGTATAAAGGCAATTTCATCCATCATTCTGTACAATTGTGTGGATGGCTCTCCTTGCATTGATCCCGCTTTGATCCCGCTTTGATCCACTCATGCCACCATAGCTGCTCAGAGCGTCCTTCTCCTCTCACCCTCTGACCCTTGTCTCGATCCCATTCATTCATTCATTCATTCATTCACTTTTCTTTCATTCATTCAGTCCTTTAGTTTTTGTTGAATTGATTCTGGTGGCTGTTGTGTTTGCATGCTGGGCGCTGATCGCAAGTTCGGTCTCAGTGAGCTGCAGTCGCTTGCTGGAGCACTCAAGGCGCTGAGTGGCGGCGGTGCTGCTGCTGCTTCGGGGCTCCAACTCCCTGCATTCCGCGAGCTGCTCATCCAAGTAAAACGAACCTGTTCTGCTGCTTTGCATTGGGCATTGAACTCGGAATGATGTCGCGCGTGTGTGTGTGCTCACAGTACGAGGTCGATTGTTCAAAAGGTCACTCTGGCGCTCGATCCCCAGCCGCAGCCGCAGCCAACTCCAGCCCATGCGCAAAGCTCATCAAGTAGCAACAGCAACAGCAACAGCAGTTTGCTGCCACAAGCTCAGGGGCGGCCGTCGCAGGACGAAGCGACCACGATCGCCGCTCTCGACGCTCTCACGTTACTGTTTGTGCGCATACCAGGTGCTCCATCCAATGCTGGACAGTTGCATCAATGATGCAGGATGAACAATTCAACAAAAAAAACTCACATATATATATGCTGGATATGCGCGGTTTGCAGATGCAAAACAACGTCAATTGCACCCAAGACTGCCGCTCATGCCACCACTAGGACATTGCGTCTATATCGTGCTCGAGCTCGCGGCGACACATCGCAACATGCACGTCCAAGTGAAGGCGCTGAATGTGATTGAATTGCTTCTCAAGGGCATGGATGACGGTGAGTTTCACACATCATGGGTCGCTCCAACAACATCGCTTCCCCCTCATCATCTTGCTTGCCTTGTGTCGTCCACAGCTGCGTTGCTTTTGCCATTTCTGCCGGGCTTGTCGAGCCAGTTATGCAAGGCTGCAACAGGCAACGTGCTTCAAAATCACAACGTGACTGTTGCGGCTCTGCAAAGTCTTGGCCTGTCACTCGCCAAGCTGTTTGGAGATCGCGCCAACGCCACCGTGCTAGAAAGCGTGAAGACGAGTGCGACAGCAGCTGGGGCATTATCCCAGCTGCAAGCCCTCGCAACTTCGGTGGCCGACGCTGGCCAACTTCCCACGGACGACCCGCCTCAGAACGAGAGCCCCACAGCCTCTCGCGATCCTAGCGGTCGGCCGACCTCAATGCCCATGGTTTCACGAACCCTTACGTGGTTTGTGACCGCCGCAGGAAAGCTGTGCGCGGTTGTAACGCGTGTCTGTTCCACCCTCTCTGCACACTCTTCTCCCGAGGTCAGTGATTCAGCTTTTTATCGTTTGCAATGTTTTTTTCGTTCAATCGTGTTCTGACTTTGTGTGCTGTGGCCTTGTTTCGCGCTCGGAAACTACCAGATTCGGTTTGCGATGGTCACTTTCTGCGATCGCCTTCTGACAGATTGCTTTTTTTCCTTGGAGAAAGTCATGCCGTCGCTCATCGATGTATGAGAGCTGTTATATGCCTTGGGTCTATCGTTGTTGAGTGACAATCGACTCATTGCTGGTTTTCGTTTCTGAATCGTTAGGCCCTGGTCGGCTTGACCGTCGACGACTTTCCATTCGTCGCCGAAGTCGCGCAGCAAGCCGTGGAAGCCTGCGAAGTTGCGTTGAACGCCGGTTCCAAGTCACGTGCGCTGTCCTCCATGCTCGAGGTTGGCACATGTTTTGTTCGTTTCAGAATACCTGCGGCTGCCTCGAATATCGTGCTCTCACTTTTCAAATCTCGTGGCCTCTGCAGGAAAACACCTTCCAAACTCTAACTTCTCTGCCTCGGTTGATCCGTGGGTTGGACGACAAGAAGCAGTTGCTTGCGCTGAGTCGCTTGCTGGGCTACTTTACCATCCAGAAACAACACATGGCTGACTTGTTTAATTCCCAAGCAGTTCTAGATCGATTAACAGTAGCTTTGTGCGAGGTGAGTTACCTTCGTCACATCATTGGAGGTGGGGGACAACTGTTAATGGCTGGGTATATTCACAATGTCGGATGCTGTGTTGTCAGGTGCTCGAGTTTGCGGACGACGATCTGGCCCTCATCCAAGAAGGCGCCGATGCTTCACAATACAACGAACAGACCATCATTCCCGCAGCTCTTGCCGTGCACACGACTGTCGATGTGCAGATGCAGCTCGCAAGTCCGTTCCGGAAACGGTTTGTGCACTTCACCAGCCCGGCAATTCTGACAACCGTCCAACGCCTTTGCTGGCTCCTAGGACAGCACGGAGGAGCTCACGCGCTGGTGGAGCATTTTGCCACTGCGCTTCAGAAGCAGGCCAAGTCGCATAACTCGACGCTCTTCCGGTCGACGCAACTCCAGCTTGTGCTCATTTTGAACGAGCTGCTCGTGGGAGTAGCCAAATCCGACCTCCCCACAGAGGAGGGGCTCCGAATACGGCGCCGGGTTCTTGATTTGTATCTGACGGAGGACGTTTGGCGTGGGGCAAGTGAGCTCGAGCCATTTGAAGACCTGTTTGAGGCCTCGAGCGCGAACGCCAGCGAAAGCAGCAGAACTTCCGAGCTCGATTCAAGCCAGGGCGAGGCTGACTCCATCCCAGTCGTTCCTGCGACCAAAGTGCGCCGCCGTGTCGAAGGTACCATCCTCTCTGCGCTTCTACTGGAGGGAGTGGCGATGATTGCGACCGGATGCGGGCTCGCGTTCAAGGGCGAGATGCTGATGGCGGCTGTTTTTCCCATGGTTGAGCGTCTGGCACACCCCATTGCCGTCGTTAGTGCGACATCCGAGTATTCGTTGCGTGTTGTTTCTTTGGCATGCGGCTATCGGTACGACTTGCTGACTCTCCTGGGGGGTGGGTTGAGAAGGTTGCGTTTCTAGTGCGATTGCTAACCCCCAATTTCGTCCTCCCCTTCGCCCCTCACTTGGCAAACTCACAAACAGGAGTACTCAACACATGATTTCGGCAAACGCTGATTATCTGATTAACAGCGTTGTGCTAAACTTGCGATACTTGCAACTCCACCCCGCCACGCCTGTGGTTCTTAGCACCATGCTCCGCTATTGCGACGCCAGTATATTGGAGCTGCTCCGTGATTCTCTCGCTGAGGTGTTGGATGCCATCGACAACAACCACCACTTGCTAATGTATGAAGGAGGTAGTCACAGTCAACAACAACAGCAACAACAACGAGGCTCGCTTTTGGATGACAACGCTTCAACTTACTTTGGGGATCAGGCCGTCTCCGTTCGCTACTCGCCGCTACGACCGAGACAGCCTGCCTGGCCCGGGAATGCGCTTGTCACTCCGCCATCGCAGTTACTGTCTATTCTCGCCGCCATGGTTGGTGCTCTTGCACGGTGGAAGCGAGAGAAGGCGCTTCCTGGGCTGAACGAACCCGTGGCGGGCGTAAAGCCAACACTGGTGGCCAACCCCAGCAGCAATCCGACCGAGCATGAGCAAGACGATAGCTCTCCCACAGCCGGCAGACCCGATACCACACAGGATGAGCGTGCCGCCAAGTGGCGGGCAGCCATCCAAGAAAGCAAGCAAATGCGAGGCATCTCGTCGGCCGACGGCGGCGGTGACGAGCAGCAAGAGGAAGACGACGAGCACCCGTATGCCGATACCGAGCCACCAAAGGTGTTGACACCCAGCCAGATCAGAGCAGACGTCGCTCTCAAGCTCACCGAAGCCGTACTCGAAAAGTGCGCTCATTTCATTCCGAGCTCGTTGCCTCCGGTGCGCATTGCAATGCTCATGGCAGCTCGCGATGGGATGCAGGTACTTGCGAGCGACAACACACGCCTCCTGCCGATGGTGCACAAGTTGTGGGGCAGTGTTTCGCGTCGCTGCAGGGACGAAGACACCGGCGTGCAAGTGGCAGCGTGGCAGTGCGTCTCGGTCATCTGCGCGCTTGGCGGTGACTTTGCACGGTCTCGGTTTTTGCGCGAAATTTGGCCAGCCATGAACTCTGCGCTTTCTTCCCCTGACCGCGCTGGCTGGCGGCCATTGACAGAGCTTCAGCAACAAGCGCAGCGCGACCAGCTCCAAGTCGGCGCCCGGCGTGGTGGGAAGGGTCTTCTCCTTCCCAATCAGTCGGACGATTCCGCGCAGACCCAGTCAAACAGTTCGACCGGCGCATTCGCTGGGCGGTACTTGAGGACAGCGGCATACAAGGTGCATATTGCCATGCTTGAGGCTCTGCTCTGCGTGCGGCATCTGAAGCTCGAGAGTCTTGACGTTGTCGCAATCGCATTGGCCTGTCTGCCGTCTCTTGGCGATCACCAGCCGCACGAAGTGCAGATGGCGGCCGGTAAGTGGAACTACTTTTCAAGCGTGCAACGAAGTGTTGTGGTAGTGGTGGGGGGGGTGGTTGGCAGGGTCAAAAAGTGTCCTCACTTTGAGTTTTGGGGTCATTTTGATTGGAACAGAAAACGCCCTGGCAGCTCTCATCGAAGCAGATGCTGACGCAGTGTGGCAGCTTTTAACTGCCGCTCATCCCAAGCGACGGACAATGGTGACCAGCCCAGACGATTCACCTCCATGCATTCTTCCGCTCAACACTGACGCCTTGGATCGTCTGCTCGCGCGCACAATCTCTCTCTTCCCCCAAGTAATGTGATTGGTTGCATTTTATGTGCGCAGCAGAGTAACTGGAAGTTTGTATTGGGACATAATACAGCATCACTCGAAGCACAGGAGCAATGCAGCAAAAATCTAGACAGAGACAAGGTGAAAATAAAAGAGCAAAAACAAAAGTCAGTGAACAAAATCGTAAAGCACGAACGACTGCAAGCAAAACGAAAAGAAGAAAAGATGGAATACGCCCTCAGAAGGAGCCAATCAATCAAGGAAAGAAAAAATTGAGGAGTGCATGGCAAAGAACAGAGAGAGAGGGCTCAGCAGCAATATTGCATTCTTTTTCAGCAAGCGTTCTTCTCGAAAGAAGTTCGTGCTCAGGTAATGTAGGTAAAGAAATGAGTTGCTCATCGTTGCAAAAAAAATAATAAAAACCAAGGTGGCGAAAAAGAAAAAAAGACAAAGAAGACGGAAAAAAAAAAAGACATCATAAAACAACAAACAAAAAAAGAGGCTTACCGAGAGGAAAAACACCCAAACTGGTAATGGCAGATTTGGAATGCTTTTACTTCTTTGCGCCGACACCGACGGTGCGGCCGTGACGGCCGGTGGTCTTGGTGTGCTGGCCACGGACACGGACACCCCAGTAGTGACGGAGACCACGGTGGGCACGGATCTTCTTGAGGCGCTCAATGTCCTCACGAAGCTTGTTGTCAAGACCGTTGGACAGGACCTGGGAGGTCTTGCCGTCGACGATGTCCTTCTGCCTGTTGAGGAACCAGTCGGGGATCTTGTACGAGCGGGGGTTTTGGAGGATGCTGAGCAGGCGCTCAACCTCAGCCTCGTTGACCTCACCGGCACGCTTCTTGAGGTCGATGTCAGCCTTCTTGCAGACAAGGTTGGAGTAACGGCGACCAACACCCTTGATCTTGGTGAGGGCGAAGGGGATCTTGACCTTGCCGTCAATGTTGGTGTTGAGCATACGCAGAATGTGCGTGAACTTCTCAGGAAGGACGAGCGACTGTTCAAGCAAGACACGGGTATTGAAGTGAGAAGGCGGGGGAGGTGATAAGAGTGGATGGGACAAGAGAGAGACGCGAGAGCGAGGGAGAGAAAAAGCGAGAAGCACCAAAGGTTCAAGGTCGAGTTCCAGCAGTCCTTCGCTCTCATGCAAAACCATTCACAGAAATCGACCAAACTCGTGGAATCGAGGCAAAGCGCACGCCAACGGCCGAGCGAGGAGCGACGGCGAAGGGCATGAAGCGAGCAGCAACGAAAATCAATCGTTCGGCTCCCTTTTTGCTTTGCCACTCCAAACGGCGCCAGTGTGCGACCTTCCTGACCCGCTGATGGAGCGGTCGACACTGCTCTCCAACCAGAAACCGGGCTGCATAGGCTGGGCGGCAAGGCTGCCGGGACGAGCGGCGGTTTCTGAGCTGAAAGACCGTGAAAGTTGAGCCGTCCAACTTTGTCGCGCAAGTCCCGCCCTTTCCAACCCCTGTATCTCTGCTTTCTCCCATTGCTACCCCTCTCCCTGCTGCCGGAATCTCATAGAGCACATCGTTTCACATCGGATGCGCGGGGGCTGAAGGGGGTCGCTTTCGGTGATGTCGATTGTTACCATCGTAAAAAAGGAGAGAGAACGAGCGACAAGTCCAAAACCAAACCTAGATGAAAAATCCTTCCATTGCCATTCGTTTGAAATCCCTCTACCGACAGCCACCAGTCAACAAAACAAGCTAGCAGACAAACGAACAAACAAACAACACTTTCATGGGGGTACAAACACATTTAAATCGAGGTTGGAAGCGGAAGCCGATCCTTGCCAATGCAAATCCATAGCAATTTCTGATTCACCAACTCCAAGCACTCCAAGTCAGCCATTTTCTCGCCATAATCCAGTCTCTATTCCTATTTAGATTGATAGCTCTATTATTATTTTGTATTCTGGGTGCAATGTTGCGGCTGAGTGTTCACCAACGGTCGCTGTCGTCTTTGTGCGGTTTGGCACATCGGGCTGCTGCTGCTGCTGCTACTACGGCTCCCACGGCGACCGCTGCTGCCACTCCGGCCCCACAAACCATCGAGATTGTCAGGATGGGACCTCCAGACCACGTCACCAACCTCCGCCCGTTCGAGATCATCCGTGAGTGGGGGAGGGGGTTTCTCAATGCTCGTGTGTAATTTTGTGTTCCGTCCACTCGCACTCATCCTCTTTGTTCTCTGACTCTCTTGCTCTCTGTGCCTGTGTTATGCATCTAATGTGGATATCAAATCCGACCGCCGGCGAATCATCACGGTTGTGCTTTGCTCTGCACACGGCAGCGGCCGCAAACGAATCTGTCGCCGAGCGCGAGTACCGCGAGATGCGCATCGCCGCAGCGCAAGGGCACGATCGATTCTGGCGTAGTAACAACACGCGGTTTGTACAAGAAAAGGCAGCATTCGAAGCAGAGCTGGCACGCACCCAGCCGGGACAGCCCATCACCGCAGAGACGCTCTCCGTGTTCTACAAGCGCTTCCTCGATCACAACCTGCCACTGCACAAGGCCTACAATGCCGAGTGGTGGCGCATCAACATTTCCATGCTAGTTCCTGCTGCACGGGCAACGATCGCCAGAGTGCGTCGCCAAGTGTTTGGATGAAGCGTTTTGCCAGTCGTGTTACTTTTTGGCAAAGCTGCTCTTATGTTAACGACCCCATTTTCCTTAATATCTCATGTTGTTTATTTTTCTTGTTTCAAGACCATCACCATGTTTGCTTTCGTCAGGATTGTTCGCGGGTGACAGGAGGCTGTGGGGAAAGTGAAACGCTTGGATCGTTGGCAGCTCTTTGTCAGTAACCGAGAACCCCACTGCATGAGAGCGCCACAACTTGCACGCAGCAACCTCTCTTTTGCAATTCTAGACTCGAACACGCACCTTCGACAGCGCCAAAATCAGATGGTGCAGAGCAGACCGAGTTGCGTTGAAAACTGTTCTCCCGCCACCACTCTGAAGCGTCCATCACAAATGCGTGCCGAGGTCTGTGCCTTTTTTTTTTTTGGTTTTTCCGACAGTCCCCCTTGATAAAGGACGTGCATCTCCCGCAGGTGCTTCTTGCTCATGACGTATGACGTGCTTGTCCCAACGGAGTGCTTTTTGCTCGTTGAAAAAAATCAAACGTTTTCGCTATCTTTCTTTACAAGGCAATAAAAATAAAAATCAAAAAAAAAAAAAAAAAAAAAAAACTTCAGTTTTTGTTTGTTTTTTTTTTTTTTGATTTTTTTTTTTTTTTTTTGATTTCCTTTCCTTAGTTTTTTTTTTTCTGTTGTTGTTGTTGTTGTTGTTGTTGTTTTCTTGTGTGATTTTGATTTTGCCAACAACTCACAATCAAAATGGCTGCAACTGCATCTGCGTCTGCATCCCTGCCAAAGCCCAGCCGCGGCATGACGGTGGACGAGGTCGCAGACTGGGTCGTTGCGCTCGGCGGTCCCAGTCAGGCGTACTCGCCCTTTGCCGCTCGCCTCCGCGCTGCGGGCTTTGATGGCGCGCGCCTGTTCGCCCTTGCAGAGACGTCTGCTGTTGCTGCAGCAGCAGGCACCGCGACGAGCAGCGGAAGCGGCGGCGGCGGCGGCGCAACTCAACAACCTGCTGCTTCTGCTTCTACTTCCGCTTCGGCTCTGGCGCTGAACGGCACTTCGGCGGCCCAGCTCGAGGCGCTGCTCGCGGCGGCGGAGGGCTCCACGGTGGACAGCACGACAGGCGCCGCACGCACTCCGCTGGGGCACCGCGAGCACCTGCTGGCGGTCGTGACCGAGGCCGCGCTCGAGTTGTCCTTGCGTGATGAAGGCTATATTCAACGGGAAATGGAGCGCTGCATTGACGGCGTCATGCGGGCAACGGATGCAGACAACCACGACGCCAGTATCGAGTACTCGATGGCGTTTGCCAACTTGATCCGTCGGGCCGTCGCCGCCTTGGACCCCATCGTCCTGCCAATTGGCGACCGCTCCGTCCTGCGGGCCCGCCAGCAGACACTCGCCCTGTTGTCCGAGCTCTGCCGTCTGTGCGATGCCGTTGCTGTCGACGGCACACACGAAATCACCACCTCGTCGGTGAACGCGTGTGTGCTGACTCTGGCCGAGGCAGCCGGAAGCCTGTTGCTCGCCGGACACATTTCCGCCGCTGATGTCCAGGATGCGTCCGAGCTGTCGCCAGAGATTGCACAGAACCTGGAGGACGATGAAGGCGAGACCATGACGCCGGGGGCCATGACTCCAAGCTCGCCTGTGCCCACGTCGCCCCGACTCATCCCGCCATCTGTGCGTGCTCCGCTGCCACCGCAGCAGCCCCCCTCAAGCGACAGTCTCGGCGGCTCTGCGACCCCAAGCTCCGAGCTGAGCAGCTTGAACATTCCCGCCGGTACCAGGCTGCGCGAGACTGCGCTGGACGATCCCGAGTCTGAAATTTCCATTACGTCGCCCACGTCTTCGAGCAGCTCGCCCCTGCCACCGAGCGACAAGAGCGAGGAAGATCGCCTCGAGTCGCTCCAGCTTCAGGAACAAGAGAGCCTCTATGCACAAGACCACAAGAACAATGCCAAGATTCCCACACACAAGGTGGCGCTGACCAAAAAGTCGAGCGAGCGCTTTGGTCTTGCCATTGCGCTTGGTGGCGCCTACAACAACCTTGTCGTGGTTGGCAAGCTTCTTCCAAACGGCGTGGCCGATCTGAGCAAGCAAGTTCATGTGGGCGACGAGATTGTTGCCATCAACAGCCAATCTGTGATTGGTTTCCAGCCCGAGAATGTCAAGACGCTCATTATTGTGGCCGCAGATGCTGTCACGCTCGAGCTGCGCACCTATCCGCCAGAGCACCCCAACTCGTACCAAAGCACCAAGAAGGCGTCGGAGCTTCGTGCGACCATCACCTCCAGCGTCACTGCTCAGCCGCACATTTCAACTGCCACGAAATCTCCCGCAAACACTGCTGCCAAAGTCGCGCGGTCGGGTGGCAAACCCACCCTCCAAACTGGACCAATCGCGAACGGCGCTGCCTACGAAACGCACGTTGCTGGCGGAGTGGTTCTCCGCCGCCCCGTTGTCCAGACTGCCGCGTCCATGATTCCAGCTGCCTCTGCCGATCGCGAGCCGCTCAAGCCAGGTGAGTTTCCTTGATTTGGATTGTCTTTGCCTGGTTTGTTGCTGTTGTCATGTTTGTCTCATTCGCTCTTCTCTGGTGTTTCTGTTCCGTGCACACCACACAACTTGCAGCAAGCAAAACTACGGACGACCTTGCCCGCGAGCCTCCAGCACCCCAGCGCAAAAATTCGGCTCCTACCCTGCATGCAATTCCGGCGCCTGAAGACGTGTTGGTTCCCATGCCTCCAACGGAGAATCTGCCCACGGTCGACATGCCGCACAATGTGCCTATCGCGTGCCGTGATTTGATCAATCCTCGGTGTTCCGGCTGGCTGTGGAAACTGGGTGGCAGCGGCTTGACTCCCAAGAACTGGCGTAGGCGCTGGTTTGTTCTCCACGAGTGCAACTTGTACTACTTCAAAACTGCATTTGTAAGTTTTTTTTTTGGTTTTTTTTTTCTTTTTCTTTTTTGGGCCCATGGTTGGCAACACATGTTGGCGAGATGCTGACCGCAAATGTGCTTTGAACACTTTTTTTGATCGTTTGAATGCAACTCAGGATCGTAAAGCTCTCGGCATGATTATTCTGCCCTCGTTTAGCATCACAGACGCTTCTGAAGTCAAGAAAAAGTTTGCCTTCAAAGCTGCTCACACAAACATGCGTACTTACTACTTTTTCGCCGAGACCCGCGAGGACATGCTCAAGTGGATGAACTACATGAGCTTGGCTGCCATTCGTTTCTTTGCCGATACTGACAACATGAGTAAGGAGAGGATGGGAGGTGTTTTTTGGGATCAGGGAGAGAAACGCCAACGCAGTAGCCCGGTTTTCGATCTGTTGAGCATCTCATCATTCTGAACATGTAACCCTTCCATCACAGCACCATCGTATCAAGTATTGGCACCATCCAAAGGCCTGGCGGTGTCTGATGGCAGCGGCGGTGCGGCAGAAAAGTCGTCCACCAAGAAGTCGATTCGGAAGCAAACTTCATTGCCAGTTGAAAAGTCGGACGCTAAGAAACAAAATTCGCAGCCGACAGACAAAATGAAGAAGCAACGTACGTGTTGCACTGCAAGTGCTGTTGAAGTCGGGGTTGTTTTCTGATTTTGCGTGTTTTCACTCAATTTTGCGCAACGACTCCGCCTGCCCCTTTCCCCCGGTTTTTTTTCAGCGAGCATTGATGAGTTGGCCGAGTTCAACAACCGGCAATCCCTCTACGATCCGAACTTTGGTCTTCCTCGCCCTGTACGTCCCAAGTCTGTTTTGGATATTCTGTGTGGGACATGCAGAGTTACTCACTGTCCTTGTTCTGGCGTTATTGCGATTCAATCTCCTCATCAGGGCCGTGATGCAGCCCCCGTGCAACCCAAGTCTTCGCCAGCAGCCGTCCTCGCGAGCGCAGATGACGCGAATTTGCCTGCAGCCGTGATTGCAGCACGCAACGCCGCTGCCAGCAAGGCTGCACAGCCAAAGCGTGTCCGAATGCAACACGAGGAAGCCTCGCTCGATTTGCAAGGAAAGGCAAAAGCTCTTCGTGAGCGACTGGCCAAGAAGGAGCGGGAATTTGCTGAATTGTGCAATCTGTTTGGCTCTGAGATTTCGTCCGAGCGGTTGCAACAGTTTATGATGGCTGCGCGTCAACGCGATTCCATCTACTTTGGTCTCGACAAGGAGACTCTGGACACGCTGAAGAATCTGCCATAGGCGGTTTGATTTTGGCGTTTTGCTTGTGTGTACGTGTGCTGTTGTTGCTGTTGTTGTTGTTTTTGTTGTTGGTGCTTGCCTTTCCGTCATGTGTGCTATGCAGGCATGGGAGATGTACATTTCTGTTTGCTTTTGTTTTGTTTTGTTTTTGTTTCAGTGTGGTTTGTAGTCTGATCATTCGTGTTCCTTCTCTTTCTGGCTTCCTCGCTTCCACCTTTTCGAGTGGCACATGTTGCTTTGTTATGGATCTCGGATAATAGCAACCTCTTGAACATCTCAATCCACCATTGCCCCGAAAGACCAGGACGATTTGAGTACAGTAATTAAGAAGTACAGCTCACACAAATCCCACCAAGCCAACAGCAACAGCGCACTTCGGCTTTCAGTTATTGGCATCCTTGGCCAGAGATAGCTTTGAGAATCGCTGCTGCAAGCGATCGAGACGCACTGGAAGCGTAGGCTCGAGCAAGATTGTGGCTGCTGCATCGAGAAGCTCGGCGTGCGTCTTGACGTGCAAAGCGGCGTCGGCCAGCTCGGGTGCTTGGGCGGACTGGATGATCAGAAGCGATGGTCGCCGCTTGGCGTTCTTTGCGCAAGCATCCGTCAAGAACGCACAGCCCTGGCGCGCCTTGATGATGGAGTGCAACCGAAGAGCGTTCCACAGCAGGAAAATGTTGGGTCCCGGCACGACCGACATCATTGCGGTCAACGGGACGAGCGCCACGTACATGGCCATACGCCGATCCAGCCGTTTCCGATAGTCTGTGGCAAGCGAGCCCAGATTGTGCTGGATGGCGCCAAATTCGGCAGGTTGCTGCAGCGGGTGCAGAATTTCCACGACATCGCACTGGCCAAACACTTCCGGGACGTCGGGAATGTGCTTGTGCGCATGCGTTCGTGCATGATGAATGCGGACAGAGACGTCCTTGAAGAAGAGCTCGGCGGGATCGACCTTGGACTGGAGCTTCTGAATGATGGCGTACATGCGACCGCGCATCGACTCTGGGGGCGCCGTCTCCATCTCGTGCCACTGGTCACTCGCGGCGTTGCTAATGCGCTGTACGATGGTGACCTTGGCATTGCTGGCGGGAGCTTGGTTGTCTGAGAGCAGGTTTTCTGCAGAAGTAGCTTGCTGCTGCTGCTGCTGCTGCGGGGTCTCTGGCTTGCTCGTCTCGTCGCCAATCACCGTGCGATCCGTGAGGCAATGAAAGAGCCACGACGTGTTGCCGCTGCTCGTCGCTGGCTGGAGGGTCGTCAGTGCAGAGGGCAGAGCGACAATCCGCGCGACCGTTCGCTGGACTGGATCCGCGGCTCCATCCTGGCTGTGATGGTGTTGCTGATGTTGGTGTTGATGATGTTGGTGTTGCTGGGCGGACGCGCGAGCCAAAGTGGACAGGGAGCGCAATGCTGTTGTTGCTGCTGCGGTTGGGTGGCTTGTGAACGAGATCACCAGTCGTGGAATCATTGTTGCTGAGAGCGAAAAAGCGGCTAAGAAGCAGAAGAACAAGAAGAAGATGGACTGACACTCGACAATAATCCGGTCAGAATGCAAAGAACATTGGCACAAGATAACACCAAAGACGACTCGTCATTGACAATGTCACTTCGTCTTCATTCCAAAACCAAAAATCGCCAGGTACAGTACACAGTTACTGACAAGGTACTGCAGCTGTTTGTTGAAACGTAAAAAGTCTTCCTAGTATTAACGGTTTTCATTCTGAATAACAATGCAACAAGAATCAACGAATTGGCACAATCAAACAATCGCAGGCACCCTTGGCCTCCCACCACTTCTTTTTACAAAAACTTGGGCGAGTTGAGCATCATGGCGTACAAAAGGCCGGAAAGGAGGCCAGCGCAGGGAAGGGTGATAATCCACGAGAAGAAGCACCAAGCCAAAAGCTTCCAGTTGATAGCACGAACGTCGCCATTGCAGAGGCCGACAGCGGCAGTGGCGCCAGTGATGCAGTGAGTAGTCGAGACGGGCAGACCAAGCTTGCTGGCAGTCAGAACAGTGAAAGTGGCGCCGAGCTCCATCGAGAAGCCGCGGCTGGGGGTGTGGTCGGTCATCTTGTTACCAAGCGTGCTCATAATCTTGTAGCCGTAGGTGACCAGACCAATGTTGATGGCAATGCCACCAACAGCGAGCAGCCAGACGTCGACGGGTGTCTTGTCGCCGGCAATAGCGGCGTGTTCCCAAATGTAGTAGATGGAGGCGATCGGACCAATGGCGTTGGCAACGTCGTTGCTACCGTGGGCGATGGACGCGGCAATGCAAGTCAGCAGCTGGCAGAATTGGAAGGTGCGCTCGGCGCGGCTGGAGAACTTGGTGGAGCGGGCGTGCAGCTCGGCAGTGACATCGCCAGCCTGCGAGTTGACAACATCGACATTCCATCCGTAGGCCAGGCGGCCCCAGACTTTGCGAATGCCATTGCGAATGACAGATGATGGGGATGATTTGCCAACGGCAATCTCGGCATTCGAGCTTGCCTCGGAGCCAGTCGCATCGTCATCGACGTTCTTTACGAGAATGTCGTCCGTGGACGAAGAGTCACCAAGCTTGGGGGCACTGTTGGTTTCGCGCAGCTCCATGTCGGACGATTTGGTGGCGGCAAGCTCGAGCTCCTTGAGGACGCGAGCATCCTCGGCCTGTCGTGTGCGAATCTCTTCCTCCTCCTTGGCAGCCTGCTCCTCCTCGGAGAGCATTTGGGAGCGACCGTAGAAGCAGCACAGCACATCCTTGTAGAGCGGGCGCGAATTGGTGCCTTCAATGCGTTGACGAATGATCGGAACGACCACAAAGTAGGCCAGCAGGCCGCAGCCCACGGCAAAGCCAAACACGGCGCCGAGGATGGTTCCGAGCGGGTTCTTGTCCAACTTGAGTGCGGGAGAGCCCTTGTAGACAATGAAGAAGGCGTTAACGCCGATGGTGACAAAGGCAAGGATCGGGACAACCTTGAGCGAGCGCGAGTAGGCGTGCGGCGAGCGGAGCACTGCAAACTTGATGCTCAGGTAGATGAGGCTGGCAATAATACCGGCAATAATGGGCGAAAGGAACCACGAGGTAATAATCTTGCCGACGCCATCGTACGTCCAGTCAACCGCATCCGTGCCAAAGGCAGCAATACCAGTGCCGATGATGGCACCAACAATGCTGTGAGTCGTCGAGACGGGAGCGCCAAAGCGGGTGGCAGTCAGAATGAACGTGGCCGAGCCGACCAGCGCGCACATCATAGCGAGCATCAGGGTTTCGGGTTGGGCTGCGAAGAGGTGGGTCTTTAGGATGCCATTTCGGATGGTTTCAGCAGTGTTGGAGCCTGTGCGTGATGACAAGGAGGGCAGGTCAGAGTGAGACGAAATCGATTTTTGTGAACCATTCTTCACCGACAAACGGTCGCATCAGCAAGACTTACCGAGAAGAACAGCGCCACCAAACTCGGTAAAGATGGCAACCATGCAAGCGCGGCGCAGAGTGAGGGTTCGGGAAGCGACGGAGGTGGCAAACTGCCAAAAGCAACAAAAAAATGACAAAGTTAGAAAGTTAGTGTGAGGCACACACACATGCTGATCACACAAAAGCGACTTACCGAGTTTGCGACATCGTTGGCGCCAATCTGAATCACACAAAATGGGAGAAGGAACGATGATTGAGCAACATTTTCCAAAAACAGAGAGCCCACAAGTCATGTGGTTTTTTGAATCCAACATGCGAATGAAAAAGACAACAAAAGCAACAACGACAACAACGTACACCATAGGCGTCGAGGAGGGCCAGGAAGAAGCCCAGGCCGAGAATCCAAGTGTAATCGTGCGGATCCATGATGTTGGTTTGAGGTTGAGTGGTTCTTTCGAGGTAGAGGCGTTCTGTAAAAAAAAAAAAACCGCGGAAAAAGGGGGTCGTCGGGTGTCGAAAAGTCAGTCTTCTGAGTCAAGTTCGGTGACCCCCTTTTGTTCCCCTTTGGTTCCCTCTTGGTCGTCCTCGCTTACGCTTGTGCTTTGCGGCGTTGGTTGGAAATGACCGAAATGCAACAACTAGAAAGAAAAAGTGGACTGGCTGATTCCATGTGGTTTGGCAGGGGTGGCTTTTATAGCGAACGTGAAAGTAGAAAACAAAAACGAAAAAAAGAAAAAATAAAGAAAAAAATCCATCCAACCAAAATGCTGGCAATGCAAACGTGGCTTTTGCAGCCAAACCAATGATTCTTCAGAGATTGCCCTTGAGGACCGGTTACCCCTTTAAAACCCGAGGAACCAACAACACAAATTGGCTGGTCAAATTGGAAAAGAAGGCAAAAAAGGAACCGCGGTTACCAGTCACGGTGGCAAAAGACTCAAATCCGGGGGTCCACAGCGCCCGGCAAAAAACGTCAAGTTTGGGTTGATGGGTTGAATCAATGTTCATCCTCTTTCTGCTGGGTTACGATGCAGTGCGAAAACCTTAAATCGAAAAAACAGGAGCTTTGTGAAGCGAATCGACGAGGCTGAAGCGCGCGTGCAAAAGCATTCTCACGAGTGTGAAAAAATCCAACCCTTTCGCGTTCGCTTTCGCTGTTTGTTTTTTCCCCCAAAGCAGTCGAATGTGTTGTCACTTCATGCATGCACGACATTTCCACTCCCATTCGTCCTTTTCAGTCTTCTCACCTCGATTCGTCGACATAACATTTCTCCATTTGTTCACAAACCTTCAAAAACTGACTCAAGCGTCGGAAGCTGCTTATCCAGCACCAATGGTTTTCTTTTTGTGATTTAAAAAAATTTCTACTGTGTACTCAAAAGTAGCAAAAGGTGATTTTTTGTTGTACCACAAATCGTGCGATCGAGATGACAAGGGACAAGGTCCTTAAGGAACAAACTTGCGATGCTCTCGCACACAATCAAGCGAACAATACACGTACGACAGACGCGTGAACGGTGGCAAACCCGCAATCACAAAGTTGCAGAAGGAGCAGCGGGTTGGGGGCGGGGTTGCAGGTGTCGGTGCCGACACGTTGCCGCTCGAGGTCGAAGGTGGCTGTTTCAAACGTGCTTCGGCCGCTTTGAGCCGCTGGAGACGCGCTTCGTCGGCGGAGGGCTGGGCAACGGGGATGGTCGGGGGCCGCGGTGGCTGTGTGCGCGAGGCATTGGCGGACGAGGTTGTTGTCGCTGGCCGTTGAGGTGGATTGGCCGCTGATGGAGGTTGATGGGTTGCAGTGCGAGACCCGCCAGTGCTACCTCCGCGCGCCACCACCGACGCACCTCGCCCAGCACCCGGGCCGCGAGCACTCGAAGGGGTGTGCGGGCGACCCGACTCGCGTGGTACGGGTCTGCCAGACGGCGGCGTTGACCGCGGCGGCTGCTGGGCATGGTTGGCACCGGCGGCTGGCGTGAACATGGCAGCAAAGCGTTCGCGCGCAGCCTCCCGCATTGCGACATGCAAGGCTTCGTCGTCCGCGTCCACCGCATCCGCAGCACTAGGTTTTGGTGCAGCAGCACTGCCTTTGGGCGGTGCTGGCGTGTCATCGTCAGAACTGTCGTCATCATTGTCCTCTTGGTCACCCGAGGCAGCGGCAGCAGTTGAAGAGCCTTGCTTTCTTTTGGCCTTGCGGCGCTGGCGCTTGGCGCGCTCGCGCTCGAGGCGTTTACGCTCCTGCTCTTGCTCCAACTCTTCGGTAAGTGCAGTGGGAATGGACGACGCAGCATAGTCCCACGAGTGGGGATTGGCGCCTCGGTAACGGCGGAAGGCATCCCGCACGGGCTTGCTCGAGGCGACAATGTAAGGGGTCCGTCCCAGCACGTCTTTTCGCGTCGGATCGGCGCCTTCCACAAGCAGCTTGGTCACAGTCTCGGCATGGCCGTTCGCAGATGCGACGTGCAGGGGCGTCCACAAGTGCTCACCATGGACCGAGTGGAGAAACAGGGTCAGGTCGTTGTTGAGCGGCGTGAATTCGGGCTGCGCGTCGTGGAACTCGACCACATCCGGCGTGGCAGCGGGCGTGGACGACGCAGACATGAACTCTCCTTGTTCCTTGACAATGTCAATCAAGGCAGCGATAGTCGAGACATGGCCTTTCTTGCAGGCAATGTAAAACGGATCCTGCTCATCCTCGTCCACCAGGTCCTCGAGACTGTCGACATCATCGTCGACCGATGCTGCGCTTTCGTTGCCGTTGTTGTCGGCATCGCCACTGCTGCTGTAACTGCTCTTGGTGGCATTACCACCAGCATCCGTTGCAAGCGCAGTCTCGAGAGCGGGCTGGGCAAGTTTGGCCACATCGTGCTGAAGAATCATAAAGAACTGCGAATGGAGTCGCTCAGCCTCCTTCAATGTCGGCCGTCGGGTCATGAATGGGACCTTTCGCACACGCGGGTCGTCTCGAGCAATCGGTGCGACGGACTGCTTGCTTGCTCCAGGCTCAAAGAAAATCCTGCGGTTGGCACCAGGCGCGTGCACAATCAAGTAGGCGCATTCGGTCAAAAGCAGAGACCACTCTGCCATCAGTTCACGGATTTCCTGCCGTGGGGTGGATGCATTTTGTTCAAGATGGGGGTTTGGGGGGGTGATGATGAGCCAGTGACTTGCAACTTGAGCGAACTAACTCACACACTCACCTGCTCCAGGGCTGCCTCGTTGTAGCGACGAAGCGAGGCGCCTCCAGACTTGGGGGCATGGCCGCCGCTCCGGCTGTCCATTGTTGATTGGGCTGTACCGCGTTTGGCGCGGATGGTATAGCGATGGAATGTCTTGTGAGCAACAATGGAATTGCCATCAAATACAATGCCTGCGAAATGACCCGAGCTGCAAAAACCCAACAAAAATGAGACATGGCTGGTGTTGTTTGGGTCGAGTGAAAATGCATCAAGCAAGCGTTACCTGCACATCAAGACGCAGGACTTTCGAACAGCGGGGGTGGCAAGCGCCAAAATCGACGCCTCAACTTCCGCTGCAGGGGTGTCAACGAGGTCTCGAAGCGTCATCTGGGCACGAGTGTGTGCGAGGGCGGCACGATACACTGAAAACACCCTGTTGTCGAGGTGCTGAACCGTGAAAAAGACGCGGGGTCCGCCGTGCGTGGCATCCTGGTCGCCTTCTTCGGGGTTGATGGCTTCGTCGTCGTCATGATCGCCGTCCACGGATTGTGTTTTCGCCACGAGGCTCTTGTTCTCGAGAGCAAGCTTTCGCTTTTCTTGCCTGTCATCTTCCGAGTCAGAGTCTGAGCCAGAAATGCTCGATACATCCGAAACGGCTAGCGGCAGCACAAGGCGACGCGTGAGTTTGATTACACCTCCTCAACCCCATGTACATGACTAAAATATTGGCTACAAAACAAAAAGGTAGACTCTTACTCGCGTCGTTGGCCAGCATCGCCTCAAAGGCAGCAATCGTCAGAGCGGGCAGCGATCGGATTTTGCGTTTCGCGTTGAGACGGTGCCAATCTGAGCGAAAGTGCTCTCTCTATATCGCAAGCAACGCAATATCAAGCAAGTCAGTGACCACGAGTTTTGCACACCATTCGCACTTGTGCAACGCCAACAAAGTCGTCAGACTTTTGCTGAGCTGTTATGTAAGCACTGCAAAAATGGTTACCTGAGCATCGAGCGACTCGAGTTCGGCCGAGCATGTCGAGCACGAGTACTGCGCTGCTGGACTCGCATCCGTGCTTGACAAGGTTGAATTCGCTGCTTCATTCAGCGGACTCCGTTGCTGCTGGGCTGGAGTGGAGTCCGCAGCAGCAGCGGGCTTTGCTCGAGCGACGTGTGCGCGATCGACGAGCAGCCCGCCGTCAACGGACTTGGCCAAGCGCACAATGGCAGTGGGTGTCGCAGCAAAAGCAGCAGCAGCTCGTCCTCCTTCAAGAGAGGCGGCAGCAGCAGCAGTGGGTTTGAACAGCCGCTCGATCGGGACGCGGTCAAACACGGTAAACGCACAAAACCGATCCATTGCCCCTGAGCTCTCTTCAACACAAATGGAAACTGTAATGCTGTAATAAAGACTGAGAAAAAGTGATGAAATGAATGTGAATGGATGATGCGTGTGATGCAATGACAACATGCTGCAAGAATGGACGGTCGATACTGCTGCAGTGCACCTTTCGTCGATTCGAGGCTTGACCATGGTGGTGGTCTTGTGTTGCTCTTCTTGAGCTTTTCGTTGTTGTTTGTATCTGCTGAATTGTCTGTATATTCAGCGAACTCTTTCGCTCGTTGCATCGGAGGAACGGGACCTCCGAATCTTCAGATCGATTGGATTTTTGAAGTTTGGCAAGACACGAGTTTGGTTGGCCTGTACGACCGGACAATCGGGCACAACCCGCAATCGCACACCTCTCCACGCCGAGCAAATATGGTTGCTCGTGTAATTTGACCATGAATGGGAGGTTTGTAGGGGTCAGGTGGCGCGTTTCAAGCACCCGGCGTTTCATCCGGATAAAAGTTGCCTCTCTCACACAAGCTCGCTCAACCCACTCCATCATTGCTCCATCGTCGGGTAATGCTCAAGTAAACACTTGGATGGTTTTTGCGAGTTGTGCATTCATTGTATCATTATTGTTTCCGCCAACACGGGTACAAAGGGGAAAATCAAAAACCAGCAACTAAAAAAACCCAAATTCAGTTGAAATCGTCGACAAAATTTGAGATTTCCATTTTCATCGACTTTCTTCAGCAATAGCAACACGAACTGCTCGTACTACTCTGTGATGCAGAGAGCGACGTCCACGCGACACCCCAGAGCAAGAATGGGGACGAAGGAACAATGTTCACGAAGCAGCGATTGGCGAGGATCTGAGAGAGGAAAGTCGGGCACGCCGGTGTTTCGCGCGCTGCAGATGCGAACGATGTAATTTCGTGCTGAAATCGCGCTGACACCGTGAGTGAATCCTTCCTTGCCGCATGTCGATATCGGACGGGATCAAACGCAGTCCTCTTGTTCCATTCTCAGACAAACTCCGACGCCACCCCTTCGGACCATCTTCCCCCCCCCGCTCACCTCTCCCTCTCATGACGCTGGCGACTGTGCGTATTGCACTCTTTGCCTGCCTTGTTCTACTCCCGTTGGCTGCCTCGGCCCGAGACCCCGACGAGGTGAGTTGCGCAAGCCAATGTGAAAGTCTGTCTGCAATGTGTATCCCTCCGCCTCCGCCCCGCAACGCAAGCCGGCTGCGCAGTGAGCCGCTTGTTGGTCGGCGAGCTGCTTGCCCTTCGTGTGTTGTTTGCCTTTGCGATGGTGGGCGGCGGTCGCGGACACACTGACTTTGAGCCACCTGTGCGACAATTTACAGGATCGTAATGTCACCGAAATCATTCGCGCGCGTGGCTTCATTGGCGACGATCACAAAGTCGTCACGGAGGACGGGTACATCCTGACCATCCAGCGAGTGCGTGCACCAGGCGCCACAGCGTTCAAGGGCGCAGTGCTGCTCCAGCACGGATTTATCGACTCGAGCGCGACCTGGGTCATGACCTCGGAAACCAACGCGACCAAATCGCTGGCGTTCTACCTGGCTCAGAGTGGCTGGGACGTGTGGCTGGGCAATTCGTAAGACCGGTTTCTGCTTTGTTTTGATGGGTTGCTTATCAGAGCGAGTGCTGCTGTCATTGCGAAAACACACCCCTCCGCGACCAAAGAAGAAACCCCAGCGTGATGTTCCAAAAAACGAAAACCTCAGTGTGATGATGCTCATTTTTTTGGTGCTTTTGTGCCATGCTGTTGAAATCGAATGGCGACAGGCGAGGCAACATCTATAGCCGTGCGCACACAACTCTGTCGCCATCGGACGATGCGTTCTGGGATTTCACGTTCGACGAATTCGCTGCGTATGACGTCCCTGCCAAGATGGAGTACATTCTCCGGGTGAGCGGGTTTAGCTCCTTGTCCTACATTGGACACAGCGAGGGCTGTGGCCAAGCGCTCGCCGCCTTCTCGTCCAACAAGACTGTTGCGGCCAAGATTGACACGTTTGTTGCCCTGGCCCCTGCCGCATTCCTGTACAACACTGCCACCAATCTTTCTCGCGCTTTCGAGCTGTTTGTGAGCGATAACGACATTTACAAGGTGCTCGGTCGCAAGTCCTTCCTCGAGTTTAACAGCACGGACGATCTGACCACAGTTTGCAACGTGATTCCGGCCGGTGAGTTGACAGATTGCGATGTGCTCGTGTTTTTGGTGCTTGATGACTCAATCGCTTGCTGATGATGCGCCCCCCCCCCCTTGACGCTGATTCGCCGCTACACTCGACAGTCTGCGAGGACGTGGTGTGCGCTGCGGCAGGCTGTCTGAACACGTCCTCGGTCGACCCGAAGCGCCTGCCAGTCATTCTTGCGCATTACCCTGCAGGCACCAGCGTCAAGGATATGATTCATCTGCAGCAAGGAACCAAGAAGAATGTGTTTGCCAAGTTCAACTACGGCATCGTTGAGAACGAAAAGCGTTACAACAGCACACAACCGCCGTCGTGGGATGTTGAGCACTGGACCGTTCCACCGCTCGCCGTCTTTTACGGCTCGCAGGACAAGGCCGCTGATCCCCTGGATGTGCAGCATTTGCTATCGCTTCTTCCCCCAAGTGCTCTTGTCTACGTTGAAGAAGTCCCTAGCTTTGGCCACGGTGACTTTGTGTGGTCCATGTACGCGGCCGACCTCATCTACGCCAAGGTGCTGTCGCTGCTGAATGCTGGCCTCTAGAGTGGTGCCACAAAACCTTCTCTTTGCGCAAGGATGCGACACGCGAAGGGCCCTTGGCCGTTGCAAGCCGTGCTTTTTTTGTTGAGAATACAGTAGTTTGTCGTTGCTGTTGCTTTGTTGTTGTTTACGATTGTCGATCATCGGTGGCATCGTCCAATCAGGCTTGCAGAGCTCGTGTGCTTGTCGATTTCTCTCAGGAACCGACCCTGGCTGACTTTGCTGCGAAGGAGAAAGCGAGCGAGCGAGTGAGTGGGCAACATCTTGTAACCCCAACTTGGACCTGCACGGATCATCCCGTTGTTCACGCTCCACTGAAGATCATTACAGCATCACAGATCTGGCTTGAACGTGCTGGTTTGGACCGGGAGCAACGCGCTTTCTGTCTGTCGCGCGACATGACTTTGCGCTGCTTTTGTTCCGGTTAACAAATGCTCCGCGGCGAGCGAAATGGAATGTGGTAGTAGCTCGTTGTGAGAAGCCCCAACTCGTGCCAGCACGGTACCATCCCGATGCTCACGCTCCACTGAAGATCAACACCGAATCACAGTGAAACTACGCGCCCTCCAAATCGCATCCTGGTGACATAAAATGCCACGCATTCACCAATCAGACCGCTCCTGAATGTTTGAGCTTTTTGTTTCTTTTCTTTTGTTGAAGTTTGCTTTGGCCTTGTGGCATTCACATTCACAGGCTTTCTTTCTGCCTCGAGCCATCTCAACCTGTCTCACTTGGCAATCAGAAATCCGGCAGCAGCACCATGCGACCAAGTCTGATCGAGTTTTTTTTATCAGAACGTGCTGTTTTCGTTTTTGTTAATTTATGTTTTTTTTTTTCGCTTGTGGTTGGAAAGAGAAATGCTCCGCTTGTGGGCATCGCACATTGCATGCTGCAGCCACTTGTCGCACTCGCTTCTGGCCTTTTCCTCGCCTGCGACCCCGCTCCACAAGTCTGTTCTCTTGCCCTCTTGCTCCATTCTCGTCGGTACTGCAGCGATGGTGCGCCTCGACTTGCGCTACATACACAAGCAGGCGCATAATACGCAACTTCCTGTTTTGTCCACCAGCCAGTCTTCTTTTTGCTGCAACTTTTGTCCACCGGCGTCGGTTTCTCCGCATGATCCGACCATCCTTCCGAATGAGTGAGCTGATTCGCTAGCACTAGAGCCAGAGTACCCAACAGCGGGACCAGAAGCGGAGGAGCACTGATTTGGCCGAGAGATGCCGAGAACAACAATTCACACTTTGCACTTTGCACTTTGCCACAGCGTGCCGCACCTCCCAAATCAACCAAAATGCGCAGCATCGTTCCTCCCCACACCTCGTTCCCTCTCCATTCCAATCCAATGCTGTAGCACTGGCCAAAGGAAGGGTTAATCTCAACAGAACAAACGAGAAAACAAAACAAAACAAAAAACAAAAAAAGAAGAAAACCCCTCGGTCGAAAAAAAAAAACAAAAAAGTACCCGCACCCAGATTCTTTTGGTCAGCCGACATGTGCACCGCGTCTGGAAGTGGGAGGGGAGCGGGGGATGAAGGAATCGAGCGTATAAAATCACTACAGAATTAACAGTGAGGAAACAGACGAGGGCTTCTTTCGAACAGGGAGAGGCGGGGTGTGAAACAAACCGAAAGACCTCGGCCGCAACAAAATGGGCCTGCTGACGCTTTTTGTTCGCGCCTTCTCGCTCTTCTCTCTCTCTCTTTTTCTCTCGCTCTCTCTTCCTCTCACTATCTCGCAGTATGGACCGTCCTGAATTTTGAGTGAACGGGGATCGAGATGGATCAAGCGCTCACTCACAAATGAAAATCCGCAACCGCAGAGATTTCAAGCCTGACCTGGTTTTGCGTTGCGGTTGCGGCCGTCTTGGTCATCCACGGCGGCGTGTCGGTCTCCGCTCAGTCGGCGTGCGGAACGTCTGGCATCTGCAGCTGCCAGACGAGCAATACGATTGTCGACTGCAATGGAAAAGGCTTGTCATCCATATCGACCATGACCTTTCCGAATGGCATGATCAAACTGTACGGTTGGTTCGAGTGTCCATCTTGAGTGGTTCTTGTCGCTGTTGGTTTTTGAAGGCCTTTTCAAGCCATTAGAAACGTGCATCAAACTAACAGATTATTATTTTCCTCCCCCCGCCTCCGTTGGTTTTGTTCGGAACAACAGAGTTTTGAGAAACAACGCGTTTTCCGTCATTCCAACCTTCACCTTCTACATGATGCAACTCAAGGAACTGTAAGCCAATGCAACTCGCCGGAATGTTCTCGCAGCTCAAATACCGGGGCCAGGCTCAGCTCACTTCCAACAACTTTGGGGTTGATCCTCAGAGATCTTTCAATCAACCAGCTGACGTCCATCTCCAGTTCGGCTTTTGGAATGCTGAATTCGCTGACCAGTCTGTAAATGCAACGCAAATCCTCCATTGTTGTGGCCACCCCACGCTTGTCTGACATGATCGTTTGGTGCGCTTGGGGCAGAACTCTGTCCAGCAACTACATCTCTACAATCGCCTCCGATGCATTCTCAAACCTCGTCATGCTCCAAAATCTGTGAGTGGCTTGCTTTGCGAAATGGTTGGCACTGTTTTGGTTTGCAGCAGTCTTGCATTCTCACCGACTATCGATTTGATCAAATGCCCAGAGACTTGCAGACCAACCGGATCCCTGGGTTTACAGTCCCACTCTTCTCGGGCCTTTACGCACTAAAAAGCTTGTACGTTGCCTTCTTCAGAGCTTTGCAAGCCGAATTAGAGCCCGCGCTCACACGAAATTTGATTGCAGAAATTTGATGAATAACAAACTGACCAGCATCCCCACCGATGCCTTCACAAGTATTGGAACCTTGACGTCTTTGTAAGTCAATACATGGGCGCACGAGTGAGGGAAACGTGCCACTACGCTGGACCTTACTTTGGTTTTGTTACGGTCCAATTGTCAGGAACATGGGAACCAATCTGCTCACGACTCTCCCGCCTGGATCGTTCTATGGTCTTACCACGCTTACCGTTCAATCACTGGCCAGCAACTCGTTTGGAGGAATTGTGCCTCCGAGCACTTACGGCAGCGCTACGGCCCCCACTGGTAAAGGAAGCGACTTGTGAATGGATGGTCGAATTACATTGCCTTGTCTAACGCTTGATCGCTTGCAGCGTGCCACTACACTTGCAGAACATGCTTTGGAGCAGGCTCCGCTGGCTGCTGCAGCGCGAACTGCCTGAGGTGCTCAAGCGGCTCTCTGTGCACGCAATGCGAAAATGGCTACCTGATGGTCGGAAACGCTTGCTTTGACGCAAATGTCATCTCGGCCTCGATCTCCAGCGTGTCTGCTGCATCTGTAGCGTCCGTTGAATCGGTGGCTAGCGTTTTCCGTGCCTCAACTGCATCCGTTGAATCCGTTGCTTCAGTCGAATCGGCTGCCTCTGTCTTCCGTGCCTCCACTGCATCCGTTGAATCAGCCGCCTCTGTCGCTTCTGTCGAGTCTGTTGCTTCTGTCTTCCGCGCGTCCACAGCTTCTGCTGAATCAGCCGCATCGGTCGCTTCTGTCGAGTCTGTTGCTTCTGTCTTCCGCGCGTCCACAGCTTCTGCTGAATCTGCCGCCTCCGTCGCTTCTGTCGAGTCGGCTGCTTCTGTCTTCCGTGCTTCCACTGCATCCGTTGAATCTGCTGCATCGGTCGCTTCTGTCGAGTCAGCTGCTTCTGTCTTCCGTGCCTCCACAGCTTCTGCTGAATCTGCTGCCTCCGTCGCTTCTGTCGAATCTGCTGCTTCTGTCTTCCGCGCGTCCACTGCATCCGTTGAATCAGCCGCATCGGTCGCTTCTGTCGAGTCAGCTGCTTCTGTCTTCCGCGCTTCAACCGCATCGGCTGAATCGGCCGCGTCTGTTGCCTCGATGGACTCTGTTGCATCTGCGTTCAGTGCTTCCACCGCATCGCTTGCGTCCATGGCTTCAGTCGAGTCTGTTGCTTCTGTTGCATCCGCCGAGTCAGTGATTTCAGTGTTCCGCGCCTCCACAGCCTCAGCAGAATCTGTCGCCTCAATTGAATCCGCGCTGTCCGTCGCTTCCGTCGAGTCAGTCGTAGCATCACTCAGTGCCTCAGTTGCCTCCGTTGAATCAGCAGCTTCCGTTGCCTCGGTCGAGTCCATCCTTTCCGCTGACTCGGCCGCTTCCGTTGCCTCCATTGCGTCGCTCGAATCAGCTGCGTCAGTTGCCAGTGTGTCCGCAGAGTCTGTAACGAGTGCTTCCTCAGCATCCGCCGCGAGTGTATCCGCGGCGTCTGCGCGATCTGTTGCATCTGCTTCCAGCGCCTCGGCAAACCGCGGCTCCGCTTCGGTCACGGGCGGTCATCATGCTCGGGCTGGAAGTGGTGGCACATCTTCTGCTGTCATTGCAGCAATTTGTGTGACCATCGGGCTGCTGATTTTGATTGCATTGGTGCTTCTGCTCGTGGTTCGCGGCCGTCGAGCAGCCGCACAACGAAAGTTCATCTACTCTACGACGGCGCCTGCACCCATCATGAGTAATCCCCTGTATAATACCCTCCACACGCATTCCAGCTATGCGGAAATCGACGCAAACACCTATCAGGACGTCTCGTCGGCGTTCAAGCTGCAGTATGATGAACTTCGTCCTGCAGAGTCAACCTACGCAACTGCCGGAGCGCCAGTGTACCTGTCTCTGAACGACGGGTCGCAGCCAGTTTACACCGACACTGCCGCTGCAGGACGCTCAACGGCCAACCAAGCAGCGACAGCGCCCGTTGCCAAGACGCCCTATGCTACAATTGTTTCTTTGAACGACGTGTCTGACAAGTCCAACCAAGATCAGAGCGCCATCTACGACACTGCTGACCAACCCATCTATGCTGATACTGAGGTGGCTGCGACTGCAGGTGATGGGAAGCACCAAAGTCCTGGAGAATCATCTGGCCAAACCACGTATGTGGCCATTGCGAACTGCGATTGAGAACGCTACTAGTTTCATGTGTCGTTTTTCATTGCTCATGTTTCTGGTGCCTGTATCCGCGCGTGAGCATGCGAGTGTGCACCTTGGTGTGTTTTCGAACTCCTTTGGAAGGAAAATCCAGTTGTTGTCCGTGTTCCATTAATACATGTGCTTCTGAGCGAATGTTGCTGAGCTGTTTATAGTATTTGCACTGAGCAAGATGAATCCTCAGTCCTCTCGACAACAGACAAACCCACGCCCGAGAGGACTTTCAAGCTTCAATGCAATAGCTTCACCTCAATGCAATAACTGAACGATCCTTGGCATTTTTGTCGGAAGTTCATTGATGAATGGTAATAAATCCTTTTCTTTGAATTGGCATCTGAATATGGTTTCTCAGTCACTAAACGTTGTCCACTCACTCAACTTCCCACCTCTTTCTACTTGCCTCCGCGCACTGCCACCGCGCTTCTTTTTGCCTGCGCTCGCCTATGCTTTTGCGCTTTTGCCTCGCTGCTTGTCGTCCTGCTGGCCGCGCACTCGCCTTGCCCCACTCTGTACCCCTTTCCAGATTCAGCCAGCGCTCAGTCCACCAACTTGCATTCGCCACTGCTGCTGCTTCTCGCTCGCCGTTCTGCGCCTTGTCTGCAGCGTTCACCTCACATCCATCGTCATCATCATCAATACGATCATCACCACTTTCAACCCTCGCACAAATGTCCAACCCGACCGATCTCGTTGAGAAGGCCAAGAAGGCCGCCGCGTTCGCAGCTGTCGACGAATACGTCAAGGTACGGTAACGTTACCCCCCCCCCACACTCTGCTCTCCGATGCCAGCTCTTCTTGCTTGACCATCGCCATCAACATCACTATCAGTGCAGTATGTGTGATGTGTATGGGAGACATGGAGTGAGAGTGCGATTCCTGCATCCTCAAAGTCTCCAACTATCCTTGCCCGACGACTCACTTGTCCTGCGTTCTCGTTGTTCCTTCTGGTGATTCTTTTTTGTTTTGCCTCCCCTCCCTTTTTTTCCAAACACCTTCACCTGGCATAGGATGGCATGACTATCGGCGTCGGCAGTGGCTCGACCATCGTCTATGCCGTCGAGCGCATTGGTAACATGTGTTGCGATTATCGCTGTGGCCATTTCACACTGCCATCCTTGTTTCGTCTCAGTCAATGTGTACTCACTCACTCACTCACTCAATCGCTCACTCAATCACTCACTCAATCACTCGCTCGTTGTATTGCATGACGGCTCTCTTCGATATTCATGGCTCGACTGGTGATAAAATGCAATAGTCGAGCGCGTCAAGGCTGAAAACCTGAAGCTCGTCTGCATCCCGACCTCCTTCCAAGCCCGCCAGCTGATTGTCGAGGGCGGACTTGTGCTCAGCGATCTGTCGCGTCACTCTGCAATCGACGTTGCCATCGATGGCGCTGATGAAGCCGATGTGAGTTTGTTGGGTTTTGCAAACGTTGTGTTGATCCTGAAGGTTGTGTGCCGAAAATATTGACCACGCTTGCAACCAACCCCTGTCTTGACAGGCTCAATTGAACTGCATCAAGGGCGGTGGCGCTTGCATGCTGCAAGAAAAGATTGTCGCCTACAATGCCAAGCGCTTTGTTGTCGTGGCCGATTTCCGCAAAAAGTCAGAGACCCTCGGTCAACAGGTAATGGAAGCCCCACCCGCACCCCTCCCCCCTCCAGCCATTGATGTGGTGTAGCCCTTGATGTGTCTCGTAGACTTGATGTCACACCGCCTGACACCAACCATCTTCGTTGTCTGAATTTTGTTCTGGTCGACGGTTGTTTCTTCTTTCAGTGGAAGGCTGGCGTTCCGATTGAAGTTATTCCGCTGGCCTATGTGCCAGTGCTCCGCAAGCTCGAGTCTTTCGGTGGCAAGCCTGTGCTGCGCATGGCCAAGGCAAAGGCTGGCCCTGTTGTGACGGACAATGGCAACTTTGTCGTGGACTGCGATTTCGGCCTGATCCAAGATCCCGCGGCGCTGGACAAGCGCATTGCCAGCATTCCCGGCGTTGTCGAGACCGGCTTGTTTGTCAACATGGCCGAGAAGGCCTTCTTTGGCATGCAAGACGGCACTGTCGAGACTCGCACCAAGAACTAATCCAGGTGTTTTTTTTTTTTGGTTTCTTGCTGTTGTTGCCGTCGTGTCTGTGTTTTTGTCCCCGTGTAAGATCCACCCATTGAATGCCCCTTCCAATCATCCAAGTCTCTTCTCTGTGATGCAACGAATGGATGTCTTTTCATTTGAGTTTTTGGCTGTCGTGAGCTGTTGTTGATGTCATGGCTGTTTTATTCTCATGTAAAAATCCCACCCACCAAGCAAGTCTTTTTTGTTGTTGTTGATGTCATGCCTGCTTCGTTTCACCTCATCCAACAACCACCCATTGAACACCAAACGCAAACTCCCAATGGTTCAGCCTGCCATTCCCCATTTTTTTTTTTTTTTTTTTTGTATTTTCAGTATGGCTTCCACTACTGCTGCTTCCACTGCTGCTGCTGCTGCTGCTGCTGCGCCTGCTGCCGCCGATCCCGCCGTCGCCAAGCTCAACACCCTCATCAAGGACCAAGGCGAAGTTGTCCGCAAGCTCAAGGCCGACAAGAAGGACAAGGCCGAGGTGAGCCATCATCCATCCCCGGTCCATCTTTTTTTTTTTTTTTTTTTTTTTTTTTTTTTTTTCCATGTGCTGCTGCTTTGTTTGCCGCTGATGTCATTCACCATCACCCCGATTTTGCATCGTCGTCTTGCCCTTGTATTCTAATGCATTGCGCCTTTGTGACATTTGACTTTGTGTGCCAGATTGACGCCGCTGTTGCCGTCTTGTTGCGGTACAAGGCTGAGCTCAAAGAGCTCCAGGACGAGCACAGCAAGGGCTTTGTCCTCAAGGCACCCAAGGTGACATTCATCATCATCATCATGATTATTATTGATTTGTTCTGGGACATGCATTGATGTGCAGTCGCAGGGGGGCGGATTCGTGATGCGACGAATCCATCCACTCTTGCGATTGCTCCAACCCCCCTTGCATTGCTGTTGACACATTGACGCCAAACTCAACCCCATTCCGTGCATATGTGGCATCGTTACAGGGCACCCAAGACTTTGACCCCACCCAGATGGCCATCCGTGAACGTGTGTTTGGCACCATCATTAGCGTGTTCAAGAAGCACGGCGCCGTGACGATTGACACCCCCGCTTTTGAGCTGAAGGTTTGTGAGATTTGCTTGCAAAGGGAACAGGCTGTGTGTGTGCGTGTGTATGACATTGTCAGGTGTAGATCGCAGCCAGTGACTGACGGTCGCATTTCTTTGGTTTTCCCCGTTCTCCGTAGGACACCCTCCTCGGCAAGTACGGCGAGGACTCCAAGCTCATCTACGATCTCGCCGATCAAGGAGGCGAGCTGTGCTCCCTGCGCTACGATCTCACGGTGCCGTTCGCACGCTACGTCGCCATGAACAAGATTCGCCAAATCAAGCGTTACCACATTGCCCGCGTTTACCGACGAGACAACCCGCAGATGAACCGTGGTCGTTTCCGCGAGTTTTACCAATGCGTACGTTTTTGTGTTTCGTTCGGTGGTTCCTGTTTGAGCGTTGGCTGATTTTTTTTTTTTTTTTTTTTTTTTTTTTGCGTTGGCAGGATTTTGACATTGCCGGCGAGTACGACGCAATGATTCCCGATGCCGAGTGCGTTGCCGTCGTGTACGACGTTCTGTCTGCTCTCCAACTCAACAACTTTGTGATCAAGGTGAGTGGCGCCGAAAGACGCAAATGCACTCGTTACAGTAGCTCTTCCGAACGCTCACGCCAGACTGTCGATTCTAATCACAGATTAACCACCGCAAGATTCTCGATGGCATTTTCGCACTCTGTGGCGTACCAGCGGAAAGCTTCCGTGCGATTTGCTCTGCCGTCGACAAGTTGGACAAAGTACGTGCTAACGAACATTTTGGAATGGCGATTTTGCAAGCGTTGTCAACTCATGCCGCCATTCCTGTGTTGTCTCTCGTTGTCTTGACTTTTGCAACAGGCTCCGTGGGAGGAGGTTCGCCAGGAAATGGTCGGGGAGAAGGGCCTCGATCCTAAAGTCGCCGACAAGATTGGCGAGTTTGTGCTGCTAAAAGGTGTGTAGTGCTCGGTCAGGGTTGAGCAACGGGAGCCTCAGAGTATCTCATTACAAAAACCCAACGCTCTGACTTTACAGGCGGCCAGGACCTCATCAAGAAGCTGCTGGAAGAGAGCGAGTTGAGCAAGAACGAAATGGCCAAGGAGGGTCTCAAGCTTTTGACCACGCTCTTTGAGTACTTGGAAATCTACAACGTGCTCGACCGCGTGTCCTTTGACCTGTCGCTTGCCCGTGGTCTGGACTACTACACTGGCGTCATTTACGAGGCTGTTCTTGAGGGCGCCCAGGTTGGCTCGGTTGCTGGCGGTGGCCGCTACGACGACCTTGTTGGCATGTTCGCGGGCAAGGGCAGCGTACCGTGCGTTGGTGTCTCGCTCGGCATTGAGCGTCTCTTTGCCATCATTTTGGCGCGTGAGACCGGCAACGGCACTGTGAAGGTCAAGACCAGCTCGACGCAGGTGCTCGTTGCCTCGGGCCAAAAGGGCCTGCTGAAGCAGCGCATGGACCTGTTGTCCGAGATGTGGAAGGAAGGCATTGCTGCGGAGATTCTGTACAAGAACAACCCCAAGATTCTCGACCAGTTCCAGTACTGCGAGGACCACATGATTCCCCTGTGCTTGACGATTGGCGAGGACGAAATCAAGGCTGGCCAAGTCACTCTTCGTGTTGTCGCCACCCGCCAGGAAACCAAGGTTGCGCGTGCCAACCTTGCCGAGGAGGTGCGACGAGCCTTGCGCGAGTTGCCTGCTGCGGCTGCAGCTGCTCCCACTTCTGCCGCAGCTGCTCCTGAGCGTGCTTAGGATGCTTTATCTTGTGCTCTACTGTCTGTGATTCGCCAATGGTTTTTGTTTGATTGCGAGTTTGCAGTTGTGCATTTTGTTTTTTCGAATCACAACGGACGAAAGCCATTCCCCCCCCCCCTTTGTTTTCGGTTCCTGCTAGTCTTCATTTTTTTTTCTTTCACTGTTCAATTTTTTATTATTCAAATGGCTGATACAGTTCCAGTCAACCCCGCAACAGGCGGCCCAGCAGCACAGAAGAAGCCCTTCACGCTGCTCGGCTGCGGCCTCTCGACGCTGACCCTTGTGACGGGTGTCTTTGTCGCGCTCTGTAAAGATACCGACCCGCCTCCTCCCCACTCTCCGAAATCAACCATCGTCACAGCAACAAACCATCGTCATCACGATGCAGCGTCGAGCTTCGGGGCCTCTGTCAGTGTGTGTGCATGAGGACCGAGCCGTGCGTCACCGTCCGCCGTTCATTCCACCCTTCGCTGGGGAGGGGTCGCTTTTGCTCGGCAGCTCCTTCACTCTCGTAGTAGTGATGCTGAACGCTAGAGAAATGAGAGAATGGCCAAACGGTGTCCCGGTTTGTGTCGTCTGACTGGGCCAATGCAGCAACTGGAGTTGGACTGCCGTGCTTTTTTTTTTTTTTTTTTTTTTTTTTTTTTGGCTGGAACTGGGATTGAAGCCTGGTTCCAACAATGCTCAAAAGTACTTGCTGGTTGCTGCGATCGGACGTCGAGCGAGTGCTTGTCAGAGTTGAAACAAAACTCTCACGTTTGTTCAGCACTAGCAGGATTAGATCGGATGTGGCGGATGAGTGAAAAACAAGGGGATGAAGGTGTGGATGAAGGTCAACTCAGCGGCTGAGCGCGGTTTGATTGCGCCGCTTTGGCACCTGAATGCAGCTCAAGTTTGCAACAACTGCACTCAATGTGATTTTCAATAACCATTTGGGGGTTTGACCTCGATCTTAATGCATTGTTTCTCACTATGATTTTCTCGGGTCGTTCTTTGAACAGTGACTATTCTGTGCGGTGTCATTACGTGCATCGGCATCGATGGAACATGTCTCGCGGTTGGCATCTACATGGTGTAAGTCCTGAAAATGTATCATGTCTGTTTGGGGGTTTGTAATGCTCAAAAACCGTCGTTCTCGTTCACTTTCACGTTTTGCCAGCTTCTTTGGTGTGCTGCTGTTGGGCATCGAGGCGCCCGTGCTGTTCAACTTTTCCAACCCGACTCGCAAGATTGGCGACTTTTTCCGCAAGTTCAAGCACTGGCATCGTGCCATCCTCATCCCAATGTAGGGCTATTTGGGACGTCGTTGCGATTCTGTGTTTGTGTGTTGCATTTGTTTGACGCCAATTTTGGTCTCTAACCGATTGATTTCCACTTTTTCTTGTTTGTTGGGGATTGTGCAGCCTGACCATTGTCATCTTCTTCTGCATTGGCGTCGCCTCTGTGATTAGCATTGTTCTCTTGCTGCTGCTGTGCATGCTGCACGTCTTCACAGCCCTGGGTCCTCGCGGCCAGGACGCGCCCTCCAACTCGACCGCCGTTTCTGCACCAAGCACGCGCGGCTACAAGCAACAAGCCGACCTCGACGAAGAGGAAGGCGGTTTGTAGTTTTTGATGTTGATGTTTGATTGCATCTTTCCTTTTGTTCGCCCAGTTCAAAAAAAAAACCCCAAAACGTTTGTCATGATCTCTCCTTCTCCTTCTTTTCCAACTCTATGATTCAAGCTTGACAGTTTTTCGGTCTGAGCTTTTTTGATCTACCTACTCTTCATTTTTTGGTGTTCCATTATTATTCGATAAGCCGTTCTCCGCCAATGTCCAACATTTACCTCGACGATCGCATGTACGGCAAGGCTGATGTGCGCCTGCTCCACGTCCGCCGCGAGACTCGCTTCCACCATGTTGTGCACGAGCTGCGCTGCCGTGTGCTGATGCGCCTCGCCTCGGAGATTGACTTTGTGACGGGCGACAACCGCGATATCGTCGCGACCGACACGACCAAGAACACGGTCTTTGCCCTCGCCAAGAAGGTCAGTCCCCCGTCCCCACCCCCGTCCCTCCACAAACACGCAAAAGTTGAACGAGCAGCCCGTGCTTGTCTCGGCTCAAGTGCTACGCAGTCCGGAGAATGCGGCAGAAGACGGTCGCAGACCGACCAACGAGGCATTTGTGGCGTGTTCGATCTCAATGGAAAATCACTCTTTGGATTTGCCTTCTTGCACTCAAGTGCGAGAACGAACGGCTCCAAAAAGCTCGATCGCACAATCGCACACATGAGGACAGAAGAATCCGACTCCAATTGTAGTGATTGAGTTGAGTTGAATGTGTGAAACTCACCACCCACCCCCGCTGCTGCTGCTGGTTCCGGTTGGATTCCAGGTGGGAGTGACCTCGGCCGAGCAGTTTGCGTTGGCAATCTCAAAGCACTACTTTGACCAGTACAAGCATGTAAGTCGCAAAATTGTTGTGCAACAGATCGCAAATCAAGCACGCTCGGGCATCACGCTGATTGGTCTCAATGCTCAATTTCTGCTTTTTTAGATTGAGGCAATGGATGTCAGCATTGACGAAACCCGCTGGACTCGCGTGCAAACCTCCGAGCAGCCCAAGCCCCACTCGCACGCTTTCATCAATGCCCGTGAGTGCGTGCGAACCATCTCCGTCACCCAGACGCGCGGCCAGCAGCCCGTTCTCACCTCGGGCATCAAGGAACTGGAAATCATGAAGACCACGCAGTCTGGCTTTGAAGGTGATGCTCCTGGTGTTGTTGTTGTTGCTTTTGTTCTTGTTGAACAAAGCACAGCTGCTTTGAAGGTCTGGCTAACGTTTTGCCCGCTTCTTTCTTTCCCTTTTTCAAACAGGCTACATCAAGGACGAGTACACCACTCTGAAGCCCACTGCCGATCGCGTCTTCCGCACTGTCGTCTCGTGCCAGTACACTTTTGACCCGGCGAACGTGCACTCCATCGACTACGAGGCCGTCTTCCAAACGGCTCGGGATGCCATTCTTTCGGTAAAGCTTTGGTTGTCTCCCAATCTATTTTGTCGTTTTTGTTTTGTCATCCTAACGCTGCTTCATCCCTTCTGATTTAATCGGGACTTTTCTCGCTCTAGGAGTTTGCCGGCCCTTCGGAGCAGGGTGTCTACTCGCCTTCCGTCCAAAACACCATCTACTTGGCCCAGAAGCGCATCATTGACCGCGTCGCCGCCGTGTCGCGTGTCACCATTGAAATGCCAAACCGCCACTGCATCTTGGTTGACTTGTCGCCTTTCAAGCTGCAAAACAACAACGAGGTGTTTGTCGTCACTGGCGAGCCTGCTGGCCTCATCCGCGCGTCCATGTCTCGTCTCGGCAGCTCGATCAAGTCCAAGCTTTAAGAGAATCAGCCAACCGTTTGTTTTTTCAATGCTGTGTGTCTTATTCACACGGTTGCGACCGCATGTCTGAAGCATTGAATATGAACCACTTGCATTTTGCAATAAAAGTGTAGTGAAATGAATGGTCCTGGGAGCTGCACTGGGCACGAAGCTCCACACCAATCTCTGCAATCTTCACCAAAGGTGTGGGTCAGCACCTTATCAGATCGTACGAAAAAAGCCGAATTTCATTGGAATCAACACAAACTTTGACACTCGACATACAGCAACAAGAGATAACGAAAAACACTCAACAGGCAAAACTAGAGCTCCATGCGCTCCAAGAAGTGCAGGCCGAGATGCTCGGGGATGCGCGTGTTGTGCAGGACAAAGCTGCGGGCTTTCAGGTTGGGTGGCAAAATGACGTCCGATTCAGTCACTACGAGCGTGGAGGCCATGGCGGCGGCGACCTGTTTGCCGGGGGACATGACGTCCACCGAAGGAGCCACCTCTTGTGGCTGGACGCCACGACGCGTTGCGGCGTTCACGGCGCGCTGAATGAACGAGCTCGAAACAGTCTCATCAAAGTCGTCATGATGGTAGGCCTGGAGCAGCTTTTGCAGCTGCATCGGGTTGAGGTGGGGGCAGCGTTCGCTCATGGCATCCATGTCATCGAGCGTCTTCTTGCGGAGCTGCAGCACCATGGCCGCCTCGCGCACATGCACCAGTCGACCCCACGACGACTTTTCAGGCAAGCCGTTGGACTTGGCCCACAGGCGAAGCTGATCGAGGTTGAACTCAATGTGAATACCGCGGTTGAACGTTGCCAGATCACGGCGCAGCAAGAGCTTGTTGACCAGGTGGCCATCCACATAGGTGAAGATGGTAGCAAACGCCTGCACCATGATGGAGGGCTCGGTGTAGCTCGATTTGAGCACGGCAAGCTTCTCCGACAGGAACTGCAGCAATCCATCCATGCGTGCGAGAGAGGACGGATCGGGCGTGTTGCGGCGGAACAGGCCAAAGAAGGACGTGGGCGCTTTGGACAGCGGCACGCCAGGCGCCTGCTCGTGTTCAATCACAGCCATGACGAGCGGGCCAATTTGCTCTTGCAGTTGCTGAATCATGCGCCTAAACCAGCAGAACCAAAATAACAGTGAGAAGTCTAGAACAAAACTTTGAAAGGAGGAGGGAGGAGGAGGAGGAGAAGCAGACGACATACCGGTAGGCCTTGGCGATAATCTTTTCGAGGTCTTGGACAAGATCGGCAGTCGAAATGCGCACAGGCCCCTTGTCGTTGGTAAAGCCGAGGAAGAGGTGGATGCAGTTGGAGAGCCAGAAGGACGTTTGATGGAAGTCTTGCTCCACCTCCTGCGAAATCCGCCCATACGAGAAAAGACAAAATGAGTTGAACAAGAAAAGTCGAGTTAAAAACAAAAATATCGAGTTGGTTTCGCATCGTCCCTCGCTTCACTTCATCCAATTCTTTTCTGCTTCATCCTACGCCAGTGGCACCATTCCCCTTCCTTTCCACTATTCGCCAACAACCTACCGTAAGCTTCTTGTCGAGTTCTTCCGCAATCATGGGCATAATCAGAGCCAAATTCTCCGGACGGTTGAGGTACACGTCAAAGCGCAGGCAGTGCAAAAGCACTTGTGCAGGGACGGGCTTGAACTTGACCAAGGCCGGCTTCATGCGACGAATAATAATGTCCAGCAGCAGCTGCGCATCGTCAGGGTCGTACGACAACAGGGCAATGGTGGTCTCAAACTCCTCCTCGATCAGCTGGCCAAGGGACTCCGATTGCGCCGATAGCTCGTCTGGGAGTGCAAGGGAATCGGTTCGGCGCGGGCCGACAGCAGCCTTTTGCGGAGTGATCATCGAGGGAGACGTGGGGTCCAAGCGCAGGGGCGTCATGGATGTGCCAACATCGTTGTTGCCGCCAGGGGTCTTGACGGGCGTGTGGGGCAAGTCGGCCTGGTGTTGCTGGTCCACATTCTCCTTGTTTGCGAGAAGCGACAGCTGCTGCGACACCGAGGTCGAGGGGGTGAGCGCCTGCAGTTTGGCCTCGCGCTGTTCGAGTTCTGCCACCGATGTCTTGAGGCTGGCGTTCTCGGTTGCAAGGTTGGACTTGTCCGCCTCAAGCGCATGAACGCTGTCGTGCAACTGCTTGTTGGACGCTTCCAGCAGAGCGAGTTGGGCAGCAAGGGCAGCCTCGCGCGCTTTGGACGCAGCCAGCTCCTTGCGCAGGGTCTCCAGCTCGGACAGGGTCTCCTCTTGGCTGGTCTGGGCCTCCTTGAGCTGAGTCTTGAGCGCGCGAGTCGCCTCGGTAGTCTCAGCCTTGCTCTTCTCAAAGCCAGCAATTTGCGCTTTGAGCGTTTTGGTGGCCTCCTGCAAATCCTTGCCTTCAGAGGTCTGCGAGTCGAGTCGCTGCTGCAGCTCAATGACCTTGTTCTCAAGCGTGTAGTTGACTTGGACCAGACGATTGACCGATCGAGCCTCCTCACGCAGCGCGCGCAATTCGCGGACGGCGCGGCGGCGACGGAACAGGGATTGCACAATCGTGATTTGACGAACCGACGCGCGGTATCGGTTGCGGGCCATCCATCCGCGTGCAGCGCGCTGAATAGCACGGGCAGCCTTGTCGGCACGCAGCTCGTGTCGCACACGGCGCGCAAACAGACCGCGGGCAAGGGCCTGGACGCGAAGCGCCGAGCGTCGCTTGGCGAGGAAGCGAACACGTTGCACGTGCATGCGCCAAACAGCTTGGATGCGAACGGCAGCGCGAGTGCGCCGCAGATTGTCGCAAAGCTTGCGGGCCAGGAATCCGCGCGCAAATGCCTGGAGCCCGATGGCGGTCTTGCGGATTTTGCGGTAGCGCTTGACAGCCACAAAGCGACGGAAGTTGGACTGGATTTTCACGGCGCACTCGGCAAGACGGCGCTCGCGACGGCGTTCCAGCACGGCCAGCTTGCCGGCGCGCAAAAAGATCTTCGTCTTGCCGAGCTGGAACTGCTCGGCGTCGAACGTGCTGTTCAGAATGAGCGAGCAGGCCTCGCGAATCTTGGCGACCTCCAGGTTGGCCTTGTTGTTGACAGCCTGCTGGCGCGTGAGGAAGGGGCGGTATCGCTCGCGGAACTCGGCATACGTCATTTTGCTCGGGTATCCCGCCGCGCTGATGCGGATTGTCTCGAGGACACCGCATGCTCGCAGCTGTTCGAGAACGTGAATGCGATCAAACACGAACGGCTCCTTTGCCATGTTGGGCTTGATGCATCGCACATAATGCGTGTTGGTGTGATAGATTGTGTCCATGAGCACCGCCAAGGATGCGCGGAACTGCGAGCCAACCGTGCTGAGCTTGGAGGCGTTCGAGCGACCCTTTTCCGTTCCCTTCAGGGCGGTAGAGGCGGCAGCAGCGGCGGCAGCCACACGCTCCTCCGAGAAGAGCATGGACAGGAATGGGACGGACGACGAGCGGACAATGGCGAGCAGCTCGTCAGCAATCTTGTCGCGATTCTTCTCGATAAAGTTCTCGACGCTGTACGTGACGCTGTGCGCGTAATGCTTGACAGTGAAGACGCCCTTGCCAATCTTTGGCACCACAAAGAAGGCGTGCTGCTTGTGCGCAGTGATTAGCTTTTGGACAAAGTTGTCGTCGGTGCCGTTGGGCAGTTTGCACTCTTCTTCGAGCAGATCGAGAATGCCCATCTTGGCCTCAATCAAGTCGAGGCAGGGCTGGTTGTCCACAAAGCCAATGAACGACCAGGCAATCTCCTCGCGAACGTACTCCTCCTGCTCGAGCTTGAAGACGTGGCGGTTGAACTGCTGCTGCAGGTTTTCGTTGGCGTAGTTGATGCAGAACTGCTCGAACGAGTTCAACTGGAAGCTCTCAAAGCCATAAATGTCAAGAATGCCAATGAAGGCGCGCGTGGTGGCGGCCACGCTCGTGTCCTTCAGCGACGTGTTGACGCGAGCCACCACCCAATCAAACAATGTGGCATAGAGCAGCTTGGAAAAGGCATCGCGCGTGTCGCTGGCCTGCTGTTGCGTCAGCGGCTTGGTGACGCGCTCCTTGCCCACAGAAATCATGCGATTCGTGAGCCACTTGGCAAGCTGGTCGGCCTCTGCACCCAGGAAGACGCACGCCTGACGCAGCGCCACGTCCGTGTCCGAGTCAATGACGCACGAGTCGGCGCGTCGAGACGAGACAATGTTCACGTTGCCGAGGAGAAGGATGGTCGACAGCAGCTGGAAAATGCCCTGCTGGTCCAGACTCGAAATGCCCACAGTGGTCATGGCCTTGCGCGTTTCGGCGTAATCGGCAGCGTCGTCAATGCTTTCCACGACTGGGTTGCCCTGCGACAGGTAGCGGTACCCAGACACTTGGTCGAGCTTCCATGCCAGGCGGTCGTCTTCCGAAGCACCGGCGCACATCTGGGCAGAGGTTGGTCGCGCAAAAAAAGAAAAGAAAAGCATGGGAAGGGGTGTGGTAGAGGTGGTGAGCGAATTTCAGACCAAAGAAACTTCACTGTTTTTGCTGGTTTAGCAAAACAAGTCCGCCATTACCTGGTAAAAAATGTGGTAGGTGCGCTCCTCTTTGGCGTGAAACACGACGCGAGACTTTTCAAGGAGATAGGTGCAGATCGACGCGCCTTTGATGCGATTTGAGGCGTTGAATTGGATCTGAATGTACTTGCCAAAGCGCGAGCTGTTGTCGTTGCGCGTGGTCTTGGCGTTGCCCAACGCTTCCATCAGCGGGTTGGACGCCATGATTTGGCGCTCGACCACCTGCGTTGAGTGTGCGCCGGCCGCCATGCTGCCTGCCGAGTCGACACCGCCGACCGTGGCCAAGTAGCGCATAATATACTTGGCGCTGACTGTCTTGCCTGCACCCGACTCGCCCGACACAATCACCGACTGGGACTCGGACAAGCGCGACATGCGTGTGAATGCCTCTTCGGCCACGGCAAAGAGGTGCGGATCGAGGTGGCCCATCGGCACGTCTCGGTACGCAGCAATCATGTCATTCGTGTACAGGCCCTGCATGTTTTGGAACGGATTGACGGCCACGAGCACAATGCCAGAGTACGTGTAGATGGTTCCTCGACCATAGCGGACATCGATGCAGTTGAGCACCGCTGGTTCGTGCAAGTAGCTCTGTGTGGTAACAAGCAGCGTGTGTAGGAAAGCGCAAAAAGGAAAAAAAAAAAAAAAACAAAAACAGAACAATCCGAACACATCCAAACCAAAAAGTTACAGTACGTGTGAGATTTCGTTTTTCTGCCCAGACAAAAATCCCCCAATGCAGGCTCAAAATCTTATTCGTAGCAACATCAACGAGAGAGAGTGTGTGAGAGAGTGAGAGTGAGACGGACCAAGTCGTCCTCCCCTCTGTTCCCCCTCGTGATCCCTCTTCAACAACTGCGCAAATTCTCAATGAGCGGATTCGCTGCATAACTTTGAGATTCTTGTCATTCCGCCATCACACAGACTGCAAGAACAAGCGAATCACGGCGGCTCGCATTTACAAAATAGAACACTCGGCTATATCAGTGTGAGTGATACGTCGGTGCTTTTGGTGGACGCGACATTGGGTGTACAAAACCCAAATGAAACGAAACTAAAAGGCTTTTTTTTTTTTTTTTTTTTTTTTTTTTTTTTTTTTTTTTCAATGCGTCCTGTTTCGTCCTCTCACACACTCAAAACCCGTCGTCGCTCCATTCCCCTCGGAGACACAGACTCCCTTCCACACACCACCCGAAGCAAAAAACAGCCACAAGCTGCGATGCACGTCCAGTTGCGAAAAAAAAACAAGTCCTACCAGGGTGGTCATGTCGTCGACGCCGTCGAGACGAGCTGGATTGTTGACGCACAGATCACCTTCGCGCAGCGGTCCGATGGTCTTGCGCTCGGCGCTGCCGCCGTCCAGCTCGACTTCGATCGTGTACAGCTGACTGTGAGCCGCCGCTGCCGCAGCGGTGGGCCCTCCCTGCTTGCCGAACGGAGCCAGCGCGCCTGCTGCGCTCGCTGCTGCAGCTGCCGCCGCCGCGTTCGCGGTCGATGCTGCTGCGCCCGACACTGGCGTCGCGGTGACGATGGTGGCTGCACGCCATCCCAGCGCCTTGTCGGCCACCCAGATCTGCGTGCCGGGCGACAGCAGATCGCTTTGCAGCGCGTCCGGAGTCGCTGGAGTCGAAGCCATTCCGAAACCGGTTTCAAAGCGGAATCAAAAAAAAAAGAAAAAAAAAAAAAAAGGAATGGAGGACGAAAGGATTGTTGCATTGACAGGAGCACATGATGAAGGTCAGGTATTCAATGAATGCATGGAGGAGAACATGGACCATACAAAACTTGATGCAGGAGAATAAATCCAAGCTCAGTACAGTCTCGCTTTTGGACGACGTGTCCGAATTTTTCCCGCGTTGTCAAGTTCTGTCAATCGTCCATCACTGAGCTGACATTTCAGGCTCCACATTTCCCCCACTATTCATTTGGAGATTTTGATTGTCAAGGCCGATCAGTCTTGCTTTTTTGCCGTTGACAAAGGCGATCCATCACAGGTTCATGGAGGGCAAATCCAGCATCAACGTTGCCATCATCGCCTATGGCTACGCCGGGCGCAAAATCCACGCTCACCTGCTCGCACGCACGCCCGGGCTTGTCATCTACGGCGTGATGGCGAGGTGAGGAGGCAGGGCTCAGCCCAGCAAAGGCGCGCGGCGGTGTCGCGGATTGATGACAAGTTGGGTCGGTTTCAATCTCACAAACCTCCAATTCTTGTGCGCTGCACCCACTCACAGATCCGCCGAGCTTCGCAACCAAGCGAAAATAGACCATCCAAGTTGCAAGACGTTCGAGACGTTTGAAGAGGTACAGTCACTACATTGTTTTTTTGTGTCAAAAGGCTACTCAAAAAGGGCTGACCTCACCTGCAATCGTCATGACGTGGCTCAGGTTCTTTCGGATCCGGACGTGCATCTCGTAGTTCTCGCATCACCTACTTCTCTGCATTGTGATCAGGCTGTTCGTGCCTTGCGAGGTTTGGCTTTGCTTCGGTGCATCGCTTGTTTGAGCTTTTGCGGCGTGTTCAGACAGCTCTAACAATTTCTTTGTCCCATCCTGCATCCTGCAGCCAACAAGCATGTCGTGACAGACAAGCCAATGTGCCGCACCGTGAGCGAGTGCGATCTGATGCTTGCCGCCGCCCGCGACTCGGGCAAGATGCTCAGGTTTGTTGCAAAATTCTTGTACTCGTACAAGCTTTTTTGTTTGGTTTTTGTCCGGATTGCCACGTTGCACAAAAATGACCTGGTCTCATTCTGCTCCTTGATGGTGGTCATGTCGACATCATCCATATCGATGGTTGCCTCTTGATGCTTGCAACAGTGTGTTCCAAAATCGTCGGTGGGACGGTGATTTTCTGACAGTGCAACAGGTGCTGGCGGAAAAGCAGCTCGGCGAGAGAGTTCGTTTTATGGAGCTGGCGTTTCAACGATTCGGCTTGTCTGGCAAGGCGTGGAAGAATTCCTCGATCGAGGAGGGTGCGGGCGCGCTGCTGGACCTGGGCGCGCACACGGTTGACCAGCTCAATCGGATTAATCAGAAGCCCATATCCACCATCTACGCACGCATTCTGAAGGTATGCAGTGTGGCTTAGAGTTGGAATCGTTAGGCTGTCGTGGAGTTGAATACTTACGAAGAGATGTTGGGGTTTGTTGCCACGTAGGACTTTCCGGAGGCTCCTGGAGTAGATAGCAATTCCATCGTAGGTGATTGCGCACATCTTGTACTTGCATTCATTTTGGCAGGCCGACGGAGAGAGAGGGACATGCGAGTCTCTGACGCTTTTGCTGTTTGTTACCCAGATTTTCGTCAACTATGTGGACGGCTCAACTGCCCTGCTCGATATTTCATCCATCGCCGCAAACCCAAAGCCTCGTTTCCATCTCTCCGGGCCGAAAGCCACCTTCACCAAGTATGGGCTGGATCCGCAAGAGCTTGCCATGGTTGCCGGTGACATTGACTCGGCGCGCGAGAGCCCTGCCAACTCTGGCACCGTCACCGATGGCGCCAGCAAAGCGGTTACTGGTAAGCTTCGAGCTGTTTGCTGAGTATGGTGGCGCTGTTACTGTTTTGGCGTTCAAGTGGTTTAACGCCATGCTGCCCCCCTCCTCTTCGCCTTCGCTTCTCCGCCTCTGTAGTCATTCCCACGCTTCCAGGACGCTGGCGCAACTACTACGAGAATGTGGCCGACCACCTTTTGCGCGGTGCCACACTGGAAGTGCCGGCTTCACAAATTCGCAAGAACGTGGCTGTTCTGGAAGCCGCCCAACTCTCCGCCCTTCACAACAAGGTCATCCCGTTTGCCCAAGTGTACGGCGTGACGGAGCGACAGGACTAGGCTTCAAAAGTCAGGGGTCTTCGATGGTCGACCAAGCGACACACGAATCAAGCATTGAAAAACTTCAAGGACTCGCTTTGCCTTGACCAAGCTGACTTTTTCGATTTCTGATTTCAGCTGCAACCTTTTCGTCCCTTCCGCAATCCGTTGGTCTAATCCGAATAATTTTCTGTCCTTGTTTTTGAAATCCGAATTTCGCGTTTGCAGTTGATTTACGGATTTGGATTTTGTCCAGGATCGCAGTCGGAAAACAGACTTTTCCGCTTTTCTTTTTGGTTTCTGCTGCTGAAGGTAAGAAAAAAAAAAGAAAAAAAAAAAAAAAAAAGAAAGTCACGTTCGGTTGATTCCTTTGCAAAGTCGATCGATTGTCGTTTTTGTTTGGTTTGTCTCTCTTTCGCTCTCTCTCTCGCTCGCTCGCCATGCGTTTTGCTTTGAGTACTCGACGATCGGGGGTTTGGTTTGGATGCTGAGGGGAAAGCAAGAGAAGCACATGGCAGAAAAGCAAAAAAAAAAAAAAAAAAAAAGCAGCGCCACGCGGGAAAAACTAATTTGACGATCGGCGCTCCATCTCGCTGCCCTTGCAGCGGCTGCTGCGGTGAAACGCAAGGCACATTCAAAAGCAATGCGATTGATCGATCTGACATCCAAGAAGATCGACGAAAAGCAGCAGAAGGCGGGGGGAGGGGAGAAAGGCGAGCGGTGCCCATGTGTTTGCCAAACCGCATCGGCGGTGCTGGGGCCAGTGTGCCATTGGAAATAGCATTGTCTCAGTGTTGCTGCTGCCGCTCTGGTTCTTCCCCTTTCAGCCACCTGCTTCCAACTCCCCCCCCCTTTTGTTGGACGATAGAAGTGTACTCCAAACACAGTGCAACAACACCACCCATCACCATTGTTGTGTTTGTCAAACCCCGCCCAAACACACATGTGAGCGTTGCCTTTGCGGAGACTGTAACGAGTACCTGCTGTCCCTTTTTTTTTTTTTTTTGGCGAGATCGCTGTTTTTTTTTTCTTTCTTTTTGCGTTTCAATGCTCTACCAATGTGTGAGCACTTTACAGGTGTCTACTGCTGAGCTTGTGATGATTGTTTCCCAAAAGGTCTTTTTGTTCGTGTGGCTATTTTGTTCTTCTTGCTTGATGATGGTTTTTCCAAGCCCGATCCCAGCGTGGGTTGCGCTTTTCTTCTTCTTGCCAATTGGTAGTAGCTGTGGCCAGTGTCCACAGTTCGTCCCCTTTTTGCTTCAAAAACCACACATGCGAAATCATCCGTCCACAGTGATTCATCGCATGGTTGGACTACCTCTTCCTTCCCTTCTCCTTCCCTTCTCCTTCCCTTCTCCTCCCCTTCTCCTCATTCCTGATCTCGATCTCTTCCATGTCTTCTTCTTTTTGACTTTCTGCCGCAAACGTGGAGCTCAGTCGGATTTTTTATTTGGTATTTTTTTTTTTTTTACTTTTCGATTCCCGCCATTTTTTTCGTTTTCATTCGCGCCATTTTTTTTTTTATTCGCCAAGCTCACAGTGTTTTCGTTTTTGTTTTTTAAAATTTGGGTCTTCCTCTGCTGCAGCGCCTCGGTCTCCGACACACACACAAGATCTTCCAACCGTTCTCCCCATCCATTGCCCGTTCTCCCCCCTCTCCCTCTCCCTCTTTCTGTTTTTTAACCAAACAAAAAAAGCACCTTCTTCTTCCAAAAAATGACCACTACTGCTGCTTCCTCGACCCCCGAGTTCCCCGCCGGCGCGCTTGTTCTCGATGACGGCACCAGCTTCCCCGGCTTCCACTTTGGCGCTGTGCGACCGGTTGCCGGCGAGACTGTCTTCCAGACCGGCATGGTTGGCTACGTTGAGGCCATCACCGACCCGTCATACCAGGGCCAGATTCTCGTCGTCACCTACCCGCTTGTGGGCAACTATGGCGTCCCCAGCCTGGAGGAGGCCGATCACAACGGTCTGCCGCTGCACATCGAGTCGAGCCGCATCCACGTTGCCGGCCTGATTGTGAGCGACTACTCTGTCCAGCACAGCCACTGGCGCGCACGACAGTCCCTCCAGCAGTGGCTCGAGCGCGAGAACGTTCCCGCCCTGTTTGGCGTCGACACTCGCGCCCTCACAAAGCGCATCCGCGAGAAGGGCGCTCTCCTCGGTCTGATTCTGGCGCCGCCCTCGCCGACCCAGCCCTTCGTCATGCCCGCGCTGCCCCTGCCCGCCTCAGAGTTTGTCGACCCCAACTCGCGCAACCTTGTCGCCGACGTGTCCCGCCCCGCCAAGACGTACTACCCCGTTGGCCACGACGCCGTGTCGGCCGCCAAGCCCGACAGCGGCCTGCTCACCATCCTCGCTGTCGACGTCGGCCTCAAGTACAACCAAATCCGCTGCTTCACCTCGCGCGGCGTCATTGTGCGCGTCGTGCCATGGGACTATGACATTTGCGCAGACAACAACTACGACGGTCTGTTCATTTCCAACGGTCCCGGCAACCCCGTGATGGCCGACAAGACGATTGCCAACCTGCGCAAGATTCTCCAGCGCCCGGCGACCGAGGCCAAGCCCATCTTTGGCATCTGCCTCGGCCACCAGCTGCTCGCGCTCGCTGCCGGCGCCACCACCAGCAAGCTCAAGTTTGGCAACCGCGGCCACAACATTCCCTGCATTGACTTGCGCTCAGACCGCTGCTACATTACCACCCAAAACCACGGTTTCGCCGTCGAGGTGGCCACGCTGCCCAAGCCATGGCAGCCCATGTTTATCAACGCCAACGACAACACCAACGAGGGCATTTACAACACTGAGCTCCCCTACTTTTCCGTGCAGTTCCACCCCGAGTCGACGCCCGGCCCGCGCGACACCGAGTACCTCTTCTCGGTCTTCCTCGACGCTGTGCGTGCCTCCAAGGCCCGCCCTGCCGGCACTCCCCTCGCCCCGCTCCCCGTGCCCCAGCGCGTCAAGGCCGAGCGTCAGGCCGTCCGCAAGGTGCTCGTGCTTGGCTCTGGTGGCCTCTCGATTGGCCAAGCCGGCGAGTTTGACTACTCTGGCTCGCAGTGCATCAAGGCGCTCAAGCAGGAGGGCATCTCCACCGTGCTCATCAACCCCAACATTGCCACCATCCAGACCTCCAAGGGTCTTGCAGACAAGGTCTACTTTTTGCCCGTCACGCCCGAGTACGTGCTCAAGGTTGTCCGCCAGGAGAAGCCCGATGGCATCCTCGTGACGTTCGGTGGCCAGACTGCGCTCAACTGCGGCATCAAGATCCGCCACGAGCTCGAGGCACTCGGCTGCCGCGTCCTCGGCACCCAAATCGACACGATCATGGCGACCGAGGATCGCGAGATTTTCGCCGCCAAGATGAAGGAGATTGACGAGCCCGTTGCTCGCAGCGCTGCCGCCAACACGGTCGCCGAGGCTGTCGAGATTGGCAACGCCATTGGCTACCCGCTCATTGTCCGTGCTGCCTTCACCCTTGGTGGTCTCGGCTCTGGCTTTGCCGACAACGAGGCCGAGCTTCGCGCGCTCGTCACCAAGGCTCTTGCCACCTCTCCCCAGGTGCTCGTCGAGCGCTCGATGAAGGGCTGGAAGGAGGTCGAGTACGAGGTTGTCCGTGACTGCAACGACAACTGCATCACCGTGTGCAACATGGAGAACTTTGATCCCCTCGGCATCCACACTGGCGACTCGATCGTTGTTGCTCCTTCGCAGACTCTGAGCGACCGCGAGTACCACATGCTCCGCAACTCGGCCGTCAAGACCATCCGCCACCTCGGTGTCGTCGGTGAGTGCAACATTCAGTTTGCCCTCAACCCCGACGCGGAAGAGTACTGCATCATTGAGGTCAACGCTCGCCTGTCGCGCTCGTCGGCGCTCGCCTCCAAGGCCACTGGCTACCCGCTTGCGTTCGTTGCTGCCAAGCTCGCGCTCAACATTCCCCTGACCCAGATCAAGAACTCGGTCACCCGCGTCACGTCGGCCTGCTTTGAGCCCAGCCTCGACTATGTCGTTGTCAAGATTCCCCGCTGGGACTTGAAAAAGTTTGACCGCGTCGAGACCCAGATCAGCTCTGCCATGAAGTCTGTCGGTGAAGTGATGGCCATTGCTCGCACCTTTGAGGAGGCGCTTCAAAAGGGCATTCGCGCCATCGACGACTCGCTCGACGGCTTTTGCGGCGATTCGTGGGCCAAGCACTCTGAGGCTGCCATCGACACTGAGCTCAACGCTCCCACCGACCAGCGTCTGTTTGCCGTCGCCCGCGCATTCGACCTCGGCTACTCTGTCGACCGCATCCACGATCTCACCAAGATTGATCGCTGGTTCCTGCACAAGCTCCGCTACGTCGCTGGCCTCCGCTCGCAGCTCTCCACCTTTGCTGTCAAGAGCATCCCGCGCGAGCTCATGGTGCTGGCCAAGCGTGCTGGTTTCTCCGACCGCATGATTGCCCGCGTCACGAACGCGCCAGAGCTGGCCGCTCGCGAGGTCCGCGTCAGCATGGGCATCCGCCCTGTTGTCAAGCAGATTGACACTGTTGCCGCAGAGTTCCCTGCCCAGACCAACTACCTGTACACGACCTACAACGCGGTCGAGGACGACGTTGCTGCCAGCGAGGCTTCCGTCATGGTTCTTGGCTCTGGCGTGTACCGCATCGGCTCGAGTGTCGAGTTTGACTGGTGCGCCGTGCGCTGTGTCCGCACCCTGCGCCGCAACGGCTTCAAGACCATCATGGTCAACTACAACCCCGAGACGGTGTCCACCGACTACGACGAGGCCGACAAGCTCTACTTTGACAACATTACGCTCGAGACCATCCTCGACATTTACGAGCGCGAGCGCGCCTCGGGTGTCATTCTTGCCATGGGTGGCCAGGTCCCCAACAACATTGCCCTGCCCCTTCACCGCCAGAATGTCAAGATCTTTGGCACGTCGCCCGTCCAGATCGACATGGCCGAGAACCGCTACAAGTTTAGCCGCCTCCTCGACTCGATCGGTGTCGACCAGCCCAAGTGGAAGGAGCTTTCGTCGCTTTCCGACGCTCGCGCCTTCTGCGACGCCGTGGGCTACCCCGTGCTCGTCCGTCCTTCGTACGTCCTGTCCGGCGCTGCGATGAGCGTCGTCCACACGGCCAACGATCTCGAATCCTACCTGGGCGACGCCGTGGCCGTCTCGCGCGACCACCCTGTCGTCATCTCCAAGTACATTGACCAGGCCAAGGAAATTGACGTTGATGCGGTCGCCAAGGACGGCCAGCTCATCATGCACCTCGTTTCCGAGCACGTCGAGAACGCTGGCGTCCACTCTGGTGACGCCACGCTCATCCAGCCTCCGCAGGATCTCGACCGCGAGACTGTCCAGCGCCTGGAGAGTGCCACTGCCGCCATTGCCAAGGCGCTCTTGATCACGGGTCCCTTCAACATCCAGTTTATTGCCAAGGACAAGGCCATCAAGGTCATTGAGTGCAACGTGCGCGCCTCGCGCTCCTTCCCGTTCGTCTCCAAGACGTCTGGCGTCGATCTTGTCGAGCTCTCGACCCTGGCCATGCTCGGCCTGCCCTTCAAGCCCTACCCGAATGCCGATGCGCCCAAGCTCGCGCACGTCGGTGTCAAGGTGCCGCTCTTCTCGTTCGGCCGCCTGCAAGGCGCCGATCCCATTCTTGGTGTTGAAATGGCGTCCACGGGCGAGGTTGCATGCTTTGGCCGCAACAAGTACGAGGCCTACCTCAAGGCTCTGCTCGCCACCAACTTCAAGTTCCCGCGCCGCAACGGCAACGTGCTCTTGTCGATTGGCTCGTTCAACGAGAAGCAAGAGTTCCTTGCCTCGGCTTCGCGCCTCGTCAAGGACGGCTTCAAGCTGTTTGGCACCCCCGGCACCTCTGACTTTTACTCGTCGCACGGCATCCCGATCGAGACCCTCGACGACATTGGTGACACCGAGGATGGCCGTGAGCGCGACTACTCGCTCACGCACTCTCTGGCCGAGGGCAAGGTTGACCTGTTTGTCTGCCTGCCCTCCAAGAACAGCTTCCGTCGCCCGTCCAGCTTCATCTCGCGTGGCTACATGTCGCGTCGCAAGGCCATCGACTACCAAGTGCCCCTGGTGACCAACATCAAGTGCGCCAAGATCCTCGTCGAGGCCATGCACCGCTTCCCGACTCCCGCGCTCGACCCGATTGTCGATGTGGACTGCATGACCTCCAACCGCACTGTCACCCTGCCCGGCCTTGTCAACATGGCCATCCCGGCGTCGGTCGACTCGATCAACCGCGAGGCCAGCGCATCGCTTGCTGGCGGCTTCACCACCGTCGGCGTCAATGCTGAGACAAACCAAGGCCACGTCGCGCTGACGGACGTCACCTCGCTTGAGCACTACCGCGACCAGATCTTCTCGTCGCACACCACTGCCCATTGCGACCTCGGCTTCTGGGCTGTCTTTGCCGCTGGCTCCGAGGCCAGCCGCCAAGCCGGCGCTGTTGACGTTCTCGTTCAGCTCGCTCCGAACACGATCGGCCTGCTGATTGACCTCACTACGCCTGCCACGACTGCGCCCAGCTCGACGGCCTCTGGCTCAGTCGCGTCGGTGTTTGCCACCCTCGACCTGCTCTTCTCGCGCTGGCCCTCCAACCGCGCCATCTTTGTGCGCGCCTCTGGCTCTGAGCTTGCCTCCGTCCTCTACCTCGGCGCTCTGCACAACCGCTCAGTGCACGCCACGCAGCTCACCCGCCTCGACGACCTGCAGCTCATTGTGCGCTCGCAAGCGCGTCGCGCCCAGCAGCCGAGCCTGCCGCGCGTCACCTGCGACGTCAACCCCTTCTTCCTGTTCTCCAACACCCTCACTCAGGAGCAGCGCACTCGCCACTTTGGCGCCTCCGCTGGCACCGAGGCCGATATTCGCGGCATTTGGGAAAACCTTTCGCATGTCGACTGCTTTGCGGTGGGCGACATTCGCGACACTGGCGCGCGCAACAGCAGCCTGGACATTTGCGCCTTCGGTCTGCAGTATGCTCTTCCGATGCTGCTGACCGCCGTTGCCGACGGTCGTCTGTCGATTGTCGACCTGGTGAACAAGCTCTACACGCACCCGGTTCGCATTTTGAACATTTCCCCTTCGTCCGACACTTCGGTCTCGGTTGATCTCGACGTTGAATGGCACGTGCCCGAGTCTGCGCCAATCTTTGCTCGCGCCCCGCTCCGTGGCAGCGTCCAGCGTGTCACCCTTCGCGGCGAGGCTGTCCTGCTTGACGGCATTCTGATTTCGCAGAAGGCATCTGGCTCGATTGTCCAGGCTGCGCTTGTGCCTGTCGAGTCTGACAAGACTGCCAAGTCGGTCACTGCGTCGGCCGCCGCTGGCTCTGGCGCCGACGCCGACAGCTCTGCTCCTGCTGTTGTTGCTGCTGCTGCCCCTGCCCCCGCTGCCCCCGTTTCCCGCGGTCTCGAGGCGTCCGATGCCGAGGCTGTTTCCAAGGCTCTCTTCTCTTCGTCGTCTGTCGGCACGATCGATCTGCGCTCCATGATTGGTCGCAAGCCGCCCACTGTGCCATCGACTCCCGCTCCCATTCAAGAGCAGCCGCACTTTGAGGAGGTTGAGGCTGCTTTGTCGACCACACATGCGGCTGCTGCTGCTGCTGCTGCTGTGCCTCGCGCGATGCGCCACATTGTCAGCGTGCGCGAGTTCTCGCGCCAAGACCTCCACAACCTGTTCCAGGCTGCTCAGGAGATGCGCGGGCTTGTCGATCGTATGGGCTCTGTTGACATTCTCAAGGGCAAGGTCATGACCACCCTGTTCTACGAGCCCTCGACCCGCACCTCGTGTTCGTTCCAGGCTGCCATGCACCGTCTTGGCGGCTCGGTGATTGACGTTGCAGTCGACCGCTCGAGCGTCCAAAAGGGCGAGACCATTGAAGACACGATTCGCACCCTCGAGTCGTACTCTGATGTGATTGTCATGCGCCACCCGACTGCCGGCAGCGTCGCCCAGGCCGCCAAGGTCTCGCGCATCCCGATCGTCTCTGGCGGCGATGGCGTTGGCGAGCACCCCACCCAGGCTCTCCTCGATCTCTACACCATGCGCGAGGAGCTCGGCACCGTGAACGGCCTGACCGTCACTCTTGTGGGCGACCTCAAGAACGGACGCACCTGCCACTCGCTGGTCAAGCTTCTGTCTCTGTACTCTGTTCGTCTTCAGTACGTTACCCACGAGTCGCTGCGCCTTCCCGCGGAGATTCGCAGCGAGCTCGACCAAGCCGGCATCTCGCAAGTCGAGTTCTCGTCCCTCGAGCAGGCCATCCCCCAAACCGACGTGCTGTACGTTACCCGCATCCAGCGCGAGCGCTTTGCCTCGGCTGAGGAGTACGACCGTGTCAAGGGAAGCTTTATTGTTTCTCCCGCCACGCTCACCCACGCCAAGAGCCGCATGATTGTCATGCACCCTCTCCCGCGCGTCGACGAAATTACCCCCGAGGTCGACTACGACCCCCGCGCGGCCTACTTCCGTCAAATGCGCTACGGCCTGTTTGTCCGCATGGCCCTGCTTGCCCGCCTCCTTGCTCGCTAAACGTCCCAAAAAGCGAGTGCAGCCATCTGTCTTTGTAGGGTCTTTTCATAGGCCCGTCTTATTCCATCTCTTGTTATGTCTCTGTCATTTTTTCGATGAAACATGTGTCTGTGTATGCGTGTTCTTGTTAGAAGTGTTGTTCCCTTGCTGCTTTGAGTGATTGCCCCTTCTTTTTTTTTTTTTTTGATTCGTCGTGGCATAAAAGCACTGCATCTTGTACTGTACTTTAGTCAACTGCCCATTCAAGTAGTTTAAATTATTAAAATCAAACAATCGAAACAATTGCATCCATTTCATTTCATTTGCATAATTTGATGTTCATTTTTTCTTTTCTTCTCTGAACAATACGATCAGCATAAATACAGTATCAAGATGTGAATTCAAACAACAACAACTACTACTACTACAGGTCGTGCGCCATCAGGTCAATGGCGCTGGTTAGTTCGGCAATCCGGATGTACATGATGATGGATGAAGCGAGCAGACCGACAATGACATACAAGAACACGGCCGTCAGCCAGCTGGGCAGGACGCGCTCAAATTCCTCGTCAATGCCGAGCGACGCTTGAGCAGAGCTCGAAGCCATGTTGCTGGCGGACTCCATCATATCCAGAGACTGAGTGCTGGATGGGGTGCCGAGCCTGCCGTTCCGCCTTATCGTCACGTGCCGAGTCACTGCGGCTCCCCACTGCAGCAAGTACGAGCGAATTCCCTCGTGGGATTTAGCCACAATCAAATCTGCGAGATGCACAAGGGGAAGAGGGGACAGAGGCGGGGGGGGGAGAACGAAGAGAGTTAGAATCAATCAATCCATCAGCAGACATTCATTGCAAGCTACTTTTTTACTTTGTCCGCGGATGTTCTTGAGAAATTTCACTTCACCAGCCACCAACGCATGGCAGGAATATCGCGAGTTGGCGCTAACGCAGTATCGCGTCAGATTTACAAACGAATCTCCCATGGGAAGGTCTGGTGTGACGGACGCCACTTCCAGACAAAAGCAACTACAAAACACAAAAAAAAGTTGTTTGGGATTGTCCATGTGAGAACGGGTTCAACAGGTCGTCAGAGTGTTTGCACATGACGCTTACTTTCGGTCGTGTTTCCAAATAATATGCTGGTTCTGGTGGCAAATCGTCGTTTTGGCCAGACCTACGATTGCGATGAAACGCAAACACGAGCGAATTGAGCCGCCGTCCGCATCGACAGCACAAAGAAATACCAAGAACATGCTCACTCACCAAAACCGCCAAGGCCACGTCCGACAAGCGGCATTGTAAACGTCCGCTTGCGGGATTCACTGAGCAATGCATCGCCAACGTTGTGCTGCCACGGCGTGGTGGAGACATTGTTAAAGCTCACTAGTGCATTGACCTCGACGTCGACCAGCGCTTCTGGCGAGCTAAATGCGAGTTCAAACAGTTCGCTCACGCTGCAGGGAAAATCTCGAGCAAAGAAGGCGACCTTGTAGTGGTCGGTACAATCACACCGAACGCGGGGAATTTCGGGACCTGCAAAAAGAAACCAAGATTTACACATCGAGTGAGTAGACGGGAACGATGGAATCAAAATCAAAGTATGTCGCTCGTAACGAGAAACAAATGCAGGAGCTGTCACCAGGATCGGTCACGGGTTCTGGCTCCAAATCTTCCTCGTCCCCGTCATCCTCCTCAATGGCAGCGGAAGCACCGGGCTTGGTCAAGGACATTGAGCGAACAAACTTGCGAAAGATGTTTGTATCGATGGAGAGTTGCGTGGCCAGTTGATTGAATCCTTTGCCCTATTGGTCGAGTGGAAGCGAGAGAAGAGGCGAGAAGAAAATCAAAACAGAGTGCAACGAGCAGCGTACCAAGACAGCAAAGACAGCACCAAATGCGATGACTCACCACAACGTTCTTGCGTATCAGTTTCTTGCCATGACTCAACAACGGCCGATGGCGACCCAACACACAGCCGTTTGTTTTGTTCCAGGGAAGATAGCACCTCGAGCAGCTGAAATGAAAACGAACCAAGTCCATGAGACTGCTGCGCTTTCGTTACCAATGTGCAACGTGGACACAAAAAGAGTCTCGTGCTTACACGCCACTCTTCTGGTGAAGATGAGGATGGTGCGCACACGCAGTGTCGCTGTTTTCGTCTTCTGTGTAGTAGTTGCGACAGGCGCCGCACTTGAACTCCAAATCACCCGGCTCTTTGCCACATGGAATGGAGTATTCCGCGTGGCACTTTTTATGGCACGTCGTCAGACACTCTGGAATCGAGGAGGGGGAGGAACAAAATCAGGTTGTGTGAGTGCGTTAGAACCAGCCAAGACTACGAGCGATGCGGAAACTCACTCAGACAGATGTAGCCTTGTTTGCCAAGCCCTAGAAGTGGCATGCGACAGTGATAGCATAGTTCAATGGCGTGGAAATGCTTTGCAACAAACTCATGACCTCGAGTGTGATGAATTTTTGCGCCAAAGGGAGCAGTGCGCGCGACCGAAATGCTTTCCTCGTCGCTTTCTGATTCATCCGGACCGCTGTGTTTGAAAAAAAAAACAAGAGAGGAAGAGGGGGGGGGCAGGAGAGGATGCATGAGCACACGCGAATCACAAAGCAAAGTCGTCTATTTACCTGTTCGTGTCAATCATACGGAGTGTGTAGACACCCTCGCGCATGCTTCCTTCAATCACGACTACGTCGCCATCCGCATCTTCGAGGTGGTATTCGTGATCTGTTATTGCAGAGGGTGAGCGCGTGCCAATCCTTCGCCTCCGACGCAGCCAACTTTGTCTCACCTCGCTTGATTTTGCATTGAGATCGAATCATCCGATCCATTGCTTCCGACGTGGACTGGGGGTTGTAGGCGATTCGCACGCGACCTGGAGGAAGGGGCGGCGAGGGGAGCTGCGGATCGGCTTCCAAAACGGGCGTCTGAGCGCGGCTGAGCATTGTTGACTCTGGCAATCCTCCGACAACGAGCTGCTCTGTCGACAATCCTCGTGCGACATGAGTGCCACTCGACGGCGGAAGTGGCAGTATCACCTCCAAGACGCGCTTTGGCTGAGACAGCGACGCTCTGAGATTGGAAGACTCGTTCCCGCCAGAGGTCATGGGAGCTGCTGAGCCAGCTCGCTCGACCGCCACTGCGTGCGTGATTGGGCTGTTCACAATATAAGGCGAGCCAGCATTCGTCGTCGCACTTGCCTGAGCGTGAGTGATGGTTGTTGCAGCAGAGCCAGCGGCGGCGGGCGGAGAAGTCGATGGCAAGCCGCTGAAACCGCTGCTCCCGCTGCCGTCGACCTCAAAGCGCAGGCCCGCGCTCGCTGGTCCGAGGATGGTCGGGAAGATTGGCGAACTCACGGCGCCCAGCGAGCCAGTGGGAGTTCCGTTTGTGCGACTTGAGGTGCCGCCCCAGGACGAACCTCCCGTTGTGGTTGGCGCCGACAAACCGAATCCATGGTGATGCGACTGAGCATGGCGCGCGCTGCCAGCGGCAATTGGGATGGGCATGCTTGTTGATGATGCTGACGAGGATGATGGTGAGAAGGGTGGTGGTGCTGGTGCTGGAGATCCAGAAGCACCATTGTTGTGATCATGCAGCAGTCGACTCATCTCAACCAAAATGAAAAGGACTAGCACAAGGACGTAACAGACAAAAGATGAAGAAATTGACATTGACCAGAAAAAAACCAACAACAAGCACTCAACATCCTTCACAGAGACAGACCAAACGAGCAGAATTTGAGCGCGAATGAGCGACATCGTGGTGGTAGTGAAAAAACAACCAACAAATACAACCAACAAACAAAGGAAACAACGACTAAGCGACTTGGCAAAAGCTACAATGCCCGCTTGTCAAAAAGCCACAGTCTTATGACCGTTTCGGTAATGCAGGGGTAGCTTTGGCTGCGACGGCAGCAGCGGTAGTGGTGGCAACGGCTGGAGGAGCAGCGGCGGCAAAGCCAAGGGCATTGAGGCGTTGCGTCTGCACGAGACGATACACGCCATAACCAGCGCCGACAAGCACGCCAGAGAATAGAGACAGCCGAACAAGTCGACTGGGCAGCGAGACGGGCTCTTCGGCAGTGCCGCTGCTCAATCCGACCAAGCGAGCAAACCCAGAAAGCACGCCTTGCACAGGCGGTGCCTTGGTGGCAAGATGTCTGCGTGTGAGGGGGAGGAAGCGAGAAGAAGCAAAAAAGAAAAATGAGTCAAAGAAGAAGGGTTGATTGAACTGCAACACATTCTCGCATTCTCGTCAGAGAGGGCAGCCAACGTACGGGCTCATGGCAACACTGGCCATCGTCACAAAGGCCTCGCGAGGGCCAGTGACAGCAGAGAATGCAATCGGCGGAGGCAGGTTGTTGGCTGTGCAAAAATCGGCTGGCGTGATGCTGGTGGATTGCGGAACGGCCTCCAAATCAGACCTTGTGGCAACAACCAAGCAAGGAATGGTGGGGTCTTCAATACGCGTCTGACGAGCAACAGAGCAGAAGTGAGAGAAATACCCAATGAGCGAACAGAGTGAGTGACTGCGGAACGTCAATTCTTCACAACAGCACCACAACAAAGGCACCGCCGTTACCTTCAGCCGCTCAACATAGGCGAACGAGTTCGGGTCTGTGCTGTCGTAAACAAACACGGCCAGAGCGCAGCCTTCCATCCGCTTGCGGTTTTGAACCGTTTCGGCGTCGGGTCCATTTGCAGGGAACTCTTGGAGCTAGAGTAGCAAGTCAAGATGAATCAAAATCAGTCAGCAGGACTTGATAACAACAACCAAATTAAAAAAAACCAACAAAAAACCAAGGCGCAAAAGCTTACCACCAAATACTTGTCGGCGCCTTGCACGCTGACGGCATTGACCGCTACGTTGATCTTGGTGGTGGGGATGTGGCGCTCGCGGAGCTCCTTGCCGCTGAATGAGCGAAGAAGGGAAGTCTGCACAAGGGACGCCGATAGTGAGAAGGCGAGTTGAACCAAAATCACTTCTCTTACAACTCCCAAACCAAACCAGAACAACAACACTTTGTCACCCTACCTTGCCAGAGCCAGTAGCACCGAAAACGTAGACCAAAAATACATTGCGGGAGGTTCGCCTCTTCTTCAAATCGAGACGCTTGCTGCGCGTAACCTTGATGGCAGTCTTTGTGTCTTCAGGGTAGCCGAGGTAGGCCAGATACGCCAACGTTTTTTGCACGTCCAGAAGGGTGCTCATGCTGCAACCAACAGACCATGAGTCGGTCAGCACAGGCCAGTCATTCCAAAAATCAACTCAGCAAACGGAAGCAAAAGCAAAACAAAAATAACGTACCTCCAGAGAGCAAGGAAGCCTTGAAGGGTAATCCAGCCATCCTTCGTTGTGACGGTGCACTCAAAGGGCTCGGCGGGGCTTCCAAGAGTGTGGGCAGGGGTGGACAGACCCGACCCGGAGGCGCCGGTCGAGGTTTGAGCGCCGTTTGTGTTGTACGACAGGAAGGGGTTTCCTGGGGATGTGGAGAAAAGCTGCTCGAGTTCTTGAGGACATAGTGCGCCATCGTGGTCCTGCAACCAGAATAAAAAAGAAAAAAAAAAGAAAAAAGAACAACAGACCACAATTAGGCAAATGCAACAAAGTCCCGCCCTGCAAATTGGAGCGTGCCTCTCGAAACTTGCCTTATCAAATGATTTAAACAGCGAGATGAAGAACTGATAGCCGTTGGATGTGAGCTCGGTCGTCGATTCGGCATCCACTTCAATCGGCGGGTGCAGGAAATCGTCTCGCAAGACGAGAGAATCGTCGTAGCCAAACTTGCGCAACACCATCCACGTGGTTTCAAGCCGACCGCGCTGGATGAACAGCTTGTGCAAGAACAGGAAGCCTGCCTCGGTCAGACCGGCTGCCGTCACGTCATTGGCATCGTGCTGTCGCACCACCTCCTTGACGCCGTCGAGCTCGCGCTGCTGTAGTGGTGCGCCAAAGCACTTGAACTGGAATGCATTCAGCTCCGAGTCAGAGAGAGCATTGTCCTTGCCGACGTCGCACAGGTGAAAGATGCGACGCAGCGCAGCCACGCAGTCGGGCTTGAGCTCGGAGGTCTTGGCGTCGTAGAGTGGAGCTGTCGGGTGCAACACTGACTTTTGTGCATAGTAGAAGACCTGTGTGAAGGGGGAGAAAGGGCCAGCGCGCGGGTTTTTCGGTGAGGCATGAGCGCAACCAAAGTTTCAAACACAGAAAAGCAAAGAACAAAAACAAACAAAACAAAAAAAAAAAAAAAAAACCCTGGCTGAGCGTACCTCGGGAATATTTTGAAGGGCCTTAGCAGAGCATTCTACGCATGTTTCAACCTCCTTGTACTGACGCATGATGGGAGCAACTCCGCGTTCCAGCGGATTTTGGTTTTGGTGCGGGTCGCTGCTGTTGATCGTATGGCCACCCACGTTACGGCGGAGGTCAATCTTGTTGCCGACGAGAATGATTGGAATCTTGTCCACGCCCACAATCTGACGCGAGAGAACACCGAGGTTGTGGTCAGCGGGCTCCAAGAGGAACAAAGCAACAAACAAACAAACTCACTTCTTGAATAAACCCTAGCCAGTAGGTCGTCAGACGTGTGAATGTTTCGGGCACGTTGACATCGTACACGACGCAAATCACATTCGCCTTGCGAATTTCGTCCCGCAGCACGTCGATTTGAGCAGGGTTGGCTGGAATTGCAAACAAAACAAAGCGTCAGTTGAAGTGTTTCATGAAGAACGAACGTTTTTCCCCCTTAGCTTTGGTTTTTCGTACAGGGCGAGTCGGCGATTTGGGTGGTGACTTTCTCTGGAGTGACTTCCGGTGGAATGGTGACCTCGGCGACCACCGCAGGAACCTGAAGTGTGGCGTAGGAGCAATGAAAGCAAACCAGAAGGCAAACCGAATCAGTTTCACAAACGGTCATCCGTTCAAAGTAGAGGCAGCAGTTACCTGCTCGACGAACTGTTCCTTGATCAGAGATGTGATGAGGGAGCTCTTGCCGACGCCAGCTACATTTTTAGTATCAGGGATCAACGAACAAAGTGAGTGAAAGTCAGCGAGTGCGATCGTGCAGAAGAATGAAATGGATTCAAGTGAAATGCACGACAGGAAATTGAGAAGAGTCCACTTGACTGCTGAGAATGAGCTGCAACGAGATCAAAAAGTCATCGAGAACGAAAACACAACGAAGAAAGAAAGAAAGAAAAGAAGGAAGAAAGAAGGAAAAAAACAAAAAAAAAGCTGTTGTTTCAAGTCTTGGCAAGTTTTTTTTTTTTTTTTTTTTTTTTTTTTTTTTTTTTTTTTTTCTCTTTGTTGGCTGTACTTTTTTTTTTTTTGTTCCAAATCGCTGGCTTTCACACGTTGAACTGGGCGCTGACGTCACATCCACCAACACAAGCTCAAAACGCGCGCCTTCGTTGATGCACCGCAACAGAGGGACCCCGAGGCCGGGGGGGGGGGACCAGAGGAGCGCGGTGGAGGACTGGCCTTTCAACGTGGGCAAAAGCCATTGAGCTTGACTTTTTGGTCCCTGCTCCACTCTCGCCCCCATCCCTCCCTTCGCTCATCAAGTACCGACTTTTCCCTCACAATGGCAAAGTCGAGCCGGACGGGAACAGGGGGACAGTTAGACAGGGCGAGATGTTGATCGCCATCATAAACCAGTCTCGCATTACGCTGCTCTTCTCTCTCTCTCTCTCATTGTCGCCTCCCTCACTCGCCACCCAGCCTCCTGCAATGCTAGCTGCAATCACATCCAGACGAGCCAGGCGGCGGAGCGGCGGAGGGGCAGGGGGTCAGGCGGAAACTCACCATCGCCGACCAGCAGAATTCGGACACTCTTTCTCATTGTTCGAAGCAAAAAGGACTGCGACGCCGACCACACACTTGTGGTGCTCACTATTGGATGGTTTATGACCCTTGCATGCTCTTCTCCTTGATCCGTGGGAGGCATTGGGAGGAGAGAGGCTTTTCTCATTTTTCGCGGCATTTTTTTTGTTTTCTTTGAACAATCGCGCTTCTGCAGTTCCTTCCACATACTACAGGTGAAGCAACTGCTTGGAAGCAAGATCAATCACTACATGCCCCAAGATCCGGAACGAAAGCGACGGACGGGAATGAGCTGCGATTTGTACAGCCACTAACAAAGCAAAAGAAACAGTATGGAAGGCATTCATCCCCACGACAAAGCATCCACTCACACACACCAATCACACACACACACACACACACAAAACCATCCCTTCATCGGGGAGCGTACAGCGCGACAGAGCTGATCTTGTTGTCGAGATCGTTCCAGTCCTTGGTCGAAAAGTCGACCTGCATGCCAAGCTCCTCGTAGGCAATCCACACGTTGACGACCTTGCCGCCCTTGACCGTGGGCTCGCCAAGACGCTTGACAATGTCGACATTGTTGTCCTTGAGGGAGATGCCATGCGGCAGCGGACCGCAATAGCCAGTGTAGCCCGAGACGGCTTCGCAATAGACGTGAACCGCGGTGAGCAGATTCTTCTCAAAGCACAGGGAAAGGCCCAAGACAGGATAGTTGTGGTAGTCTGAGCCCGGAAAGCGCGCGATGGTGGGGACGGGTGCGTGATACTGCTCCTGGCCCGTGATCGGGGCGCCGTTCGTTTTGTTGAGGTGCACGAGGTAGATGACAAACTGCAGAATCTTGGGGTCGCCCACGGGGAGATTGAACAGGGTATAAATGTCTGCGCCCGTGACGGCTTGCGGCGTGAAGAGCTGTGCGGGCGCTGCCGTCTGTTGCAGTTTCTTGGTCTCCTCGGCTTGCTCGCCAGAGTTTGAGCCCGAGGCGCTGCCCGTCGCGCTCGTGTTGATGTGAATGGCGCTGTTGCATTCGGTCTTGTGGCGAGGCCAATCCTTGACTTGGCACTCGCGGCTGCAGTAGTACGTCTTGAAGCACTTTCCGCATCGTTTGACCTCTGTCGGCAGCTTTTGGCACACAGCACAAAGCTTGTGCTTGGTGGGCGCCGATGAGTCGGCGGTGGTGGTGGTGGTGGTGGTGGTGGTTGACGACATTTTCGGGGGCCTGTGTGCTAGTTACAAGGCAGCAAAGTGGTCGTCGTCGGCGTCAATGTCGTCGTCGAGCTGGGATTCGTCGTCGTCAGCAGTGAATGCGCGATCAAGATCTGCAGCGCTGCTCGATGCGTGCCTGTCGTGCGCAAACGGGTGACGCGAGACGGCAGAAACGGTGGCAAAGCTTGGATTGGGAAGTAGCGGCGAGCGCGCTGCGGTGCCAGGAGAACCAAACGATTGATCGACCTGCAAGACGCCCGTTACACCAGCCTACCAAAAACAAACAAAAAAAAAACCGCGTGTTGCTTGTGAGTGATGACATGCGACAGACATACTTGTTTGGGTATGGAGATAGTAATCGAACTGACAATGAATTGAGACGGCCGGGCTGGAGTGGATCGCGGCAGACGCACTGGCACTGCGATAGCTTGCGCTGGAGTCTGCGGCTGTGCAGTGGTGGGGTGCCCTGAAGCAACAGTGGCAGCGACACCCGGCTGGACTTGGGCAGGGGCTGGTTGAGCGGCGTTGGCGGCCTGCTGCTGTAGGCTGGCGAGTGCTTGCGGGGAGACTCCGATGATGCGGCTGTGAGCACCCAATGAGGCAATCTGATCAAGCTGTTTGGCGCATAGACAAAAAGGCGGCAGACGAGTGAGTGAGCAACACGAGCAGCCAGTCGAACGAACGGCTTCATTCGCAACGCAATGCAATGCAATGCAATGCAATGGAATGAAGCCGTGCCAACAGCTCGAGGATGGACATCCTTACGCGAGTCACGACAAGCTCCTCGCGGTTGCTCAGGAAGTTCTGCGGAGGGAGTGAAATTCCGCCGTCGAGCACACCAGTGGATCCAAGCAAGAGGGAAGGGGCGAACGGAAGCTGAGGTGCAGCGAAAGAGCCAGCAAAGGACATGCAGTGACGACTGATCCAGTTCCAGCCGTTTTTTTTTTTTGTGTTTTTGGATTGTTTGTTGGCAGAGTTACTTGACGTTGATTGATGGAAGGGGGGGGGTGTGTTTGGAAAGAAAGATGCAAGGCGATGCAGATCCTGTCGGTCATCAGCAAAAACAGGACAAACAGGACAAAAAAGGGACAAACATAGATTCGAATGGTCCATTGGTCCGCGTTTGAGTCTTCCTCGCAGTGCTCTCTCGAACTCGACCTGTGATGAGCTGCGCAGTAGTCCCTTCGACCGTGTATGTGCGTTCTGCTGGCCTCGGGAAAACGAGCGCAAAGGGAAGCGTCGCGATTCATCCTCAATCGCTTAGCGTCCGTTTTTTTCATTCGAGCTTGTCCAATGCTGCGGCCATTCACTGCAGGTGGCAGCCGCAAGCATCGCTGGAACTGTAGCTAGTCTCTCGAAGGCATCCTCGAGACGCAGGGGGCCCTGCACTTCCTGCTTGAGGTGAGCCAATGAATAGCGGCATCATTGGTGGGATTTTTGTTGAGGCAGCGGTTTATTTCACACGTCCCTTTATTGCCTTCATCTGGCTTTCCCCCGCACCAGCGCTCACCATTCTGATGTCACCATATAAATGTTCCCCCCAATTGTCCCCCCCCCCGCTTCTTGTTGCTGTTGAGTCTGAATATTCCGCCGCTTTGACGCTTTTGATCTTTTGAACGACACGAATATGGCACCACTCTTTTTTTTTTTTTTGTTTCTTTGTTGCCTTACGCGACGCGACAAAGCAAAAGAGCCAGAGCACCGCGCGGTCAACCCCCTACCTCAAGCCAGCAATTCGGGTCGATGGCACGCTCTTCATTCTCACCGGCTCGCATGTGGCTGCTCTGCGCACTGGCGCTGCTTGTTGCTGGTACGGAATAGACGCGATCGAAATTCCGCCTTCTCTTTCTCTCCGCTCTCGCACACTCACTCACCTCAGTCCTCAGCCACATGAACAACGCACGCTTCATTCGTTCTCTTCTTCCCTTCCACACACACACACACACACACTCTCTCTCTTCCCACCATGCGCTTTCTTCTACGGCTTTTGTTTGCTGTTTTGTTCGATTTCGACATTGTGAGAAAAACTCAAAAAAAGCAAAAAAAGAAAAAAAAAAAAGCCAAAATGTAAACAAATAACACAACAAAGGCGTTTCGCTGTTTTTGGCCGCGAATCGCGCTGATTTTTTCAGTCTCGAATGACTCGCCTCACTGTCGATGTTGTACTCAAATTTAACGCGTATGGAATTGTGTTTTGTTTGGGCAGACCTCGCAAGCGGAACCTCGAGCAACGATTTTTTCAGCACCTTGGGTATGAATCGGCTTCCTGAGCGAGCTTGATTCTCTTGGCGCCACTCACCCAGGCACAACGTTTTTGCTTGTCAGATATCACGCTGGACCCACAAACGTCCACCACCGGCACAAGCTTCAGCGCCTACCTCTTTTCGACCACGGCGTGCAGTTCTTGCATCGGTGCGCAGCTCTATTCGTTTTCCAAGGGCCTCGCTCGGCCCACCCTGCCCTATGTCACAATGACCACAACTGCTGCTGCCTCCGCGCATTCCCCAAGTTACATTGGTCTTTTTGTGCGCTACCGATCCACTCTGGACACTGATTCATCTGGTCCTGTGTTCGGCGGCAGTGGTGATGTTATCGGGACCGGAATAACGAATGAAGATTTGTCACCTTGCGCCACCGTCTCTCTGAGTTACAACGACGACGACGACGACGGCACCATCACTATTGATCAGAGCAGTAATGCCGCTGACACGTGCACCCCCAGCGCCACCCCCAGCACTACGCTTTGGCCTGACTGCACCTGGCGATTCGTGGGCTGGGTGTCGCATGCCAGCCTCACTACAACCCTGACTGTTCCCTCGGAGTGCACCAGTGGTAAAACACTGACCACGCTTGATGCATATCGTCTTTTCCAGCGGTGCATCAACGGCTACGTGAACAACATGGGCGACGCTTGCGGTAAGCAGAACGAAGCTGCACTGCTTGCCCGTCGTCCAATTTGTTGTTTTTCCCGAGTTATGGTTTTGACTCTGAGCGTTCGCTGCTTTGACAGAATGCTCGAGCGGCTGTGTGTCTTGCCCTTCGACGGACATGGGAACACCGGTCACTAGCGACTCTTCTTGTGTTGGTAAAGTTTTTCGGTTTTATACTGTTGTTGTTGTTGTTGTCTGGGGTGCTTTTCTCGCCTGCATCATCTCCCAAATCAACTTGCTCACCTGCGAACACACCTTTGTTCAACTTCAACCTTTGTTTGCAGTTTGCGGCACGAACTGCACGACGTGCGACACCTCATCCCTTTGCACCCGCTGCAGCTCTGGTTCCCTTCTCCAGACCAACGGGGTGTGCGTGCAGTCCTGCAACGCTGGGCAGTATGCTTCGGAGGGCAAGTGTCTGCCTTGCGACTCGTCGTGCACCGAGTGCACGAGTACGGCAACTACGTGCACGAGTTGCGCGGCAAACCACGCTCTGATCTCGGGTCAATGCGTCGCCTGTGTGTGGCAAGACGTACCCGGCGCGCAGTGTTCGAGCCTGTGTGGAACTGGTACAATCCAGCAGCAGAACACTTGCCAGAACACAGCGTTCAGGAATGCGACGTGCAATCCCGGGCCTTGTTTTGTCGCTTGCACAACCGAATGGGGCGAGTGGAGTGCATGCGCGCGTAACTCGACCAATCAGTGCAGCTCGAGCCGCTCAAGCCACGTTGCGGACGTGGGATCGGAAGGGTTTCGGCTCTCGCTCGTCACTGGCTCTCCGTTCGCCCGAATCCTCGTCTCGACGAGCAGCGTCACAAGCAATGTGCTGCTGCAGGCTGCTCGTCAAAACACCGTGTTCACTGCCTTGTTGGCCGGCTTCATCCACGTCCCCGAGCCCGCGACTTACCAGTACACGGTGGATGGCCGTGGGAAGCTTTCCGTGGATGATGAGCCGATCGCCGCGTCACCGGTTGCTTTGTCGGCGGGCTGGCACAAGCTACGGCTCCTAGTTGATGTGAATACCACCGCTAGTTCGAGCTTTGGCGTTCAGTGGCACCAGTCTTTGAGCTCAGCCCCGGTTACATTCGAGTCGCTTGTGAGCATGTGCACTCCGTTGCCTCAGGAGACTGCTTTGTGCGAGTCGTGGCTTTGCAACGCGAGTTTGCCGCCGGGCAGCAGCAGCAGCAGCACGGTTGGTCCAGTTGATGTAGCGACCTCTTCCACTGCCGCAAGGTCAACAACAACCGAAGGACCGCTGGACGACGGTGACAAGCAAAACAAAGGCGCTGCATCTGCGTCTGCGGTCGCGATTGGTGCTGGTGTTGGAGGCGGCGCTGCGCTGTTGCTACTCCTTGTGGTGTCGGTGGTGTTGCTCCGGCGACGACGCCACCAGCAGCAGCAGCACAACCCGCAGTCAAACCGCGGCAAACCTATTGCTACCACGGCTTCGCTCGGAAGTGTCTTTGTCGAGTCGTCGTCAACCACTGCCTTGTACGCCAACGCGAGCCGTCCTCAGCCGTCCGAGTCTCTGTACTCGAGTCCCGAAGATGTCGCCACGGCTCGCGGCGAGTCGTTGTACGCGGCGCCAGGCGATGCGGCCACATCGACGTACTCGCAGCCCGCGCACGCAGCTCCATACTCACAGCCCAGTGGTGCATACATTCTGCCACAGGCATCTGGCAGCAAGCACGCAGAGGCGACTGGCGAGAGCTTGTACGAGCGGCCCAGCATGTATGCTGCTCCGAGCGACTCCAAGGCTGCCGACCTGTACGAAACTCCTGGCACCGCAAACCCATATGCCGCTGTTGGCGCTGCAACTGGCGAGGGCTACCAGCAGCCGCAGGATGGCGTGGCAGGGCTCAACAACAACAACAACAACAACAACAACAACAACAACAACAACAACAACAACAACAACAACAACAACAACAACAACAACAAGAGCAACGCAACATACGCCAAGGTCAACAAGCCGACGACTGGCGGGGCGGCAGGCTCCAGTGGCGCGCGCGATGTTTACGCGCAGGTCAACAAGAACGGCAAGCAGTCGGCTGCCCCGAACGCAGTGTATGCGCAAGTCAACAAGGACGCAAATTCGCCCACTGTCTGGCACAAGGGTTCTCCTGCACTGACGGCGGAAGAGTCGTTGCTTGTGAGGCAAAAGGGTGACTATGAAGAGCTTCCAACCTTGGTGAGCAGTTCGGCTTCTTCGGGTGCTGGCGCCATCAGCAGCAGCAGCGCTAGTGATTACGAGGAGCTTCCTGGGCAGTAATAATAGTTGCTAAGAGTTCGTGTTGTGAATGGTTTTTGATCTTGGAATGTTCTTGTAAAAACAAAACACAAACATTTTATTACATCAAAGTACAACAGGATGGAATTAAAAGAGGGACAGACGGATAAGAAGCTTAAAAAGTATAACAAAACATGGAATTAAAGGAGGAGGGGGACATAAGTAGATTCGTTGGGGCCCATCATAAAAAAAGTGTGTTGGACTTGTTGGTGAGTAAAATGCTGTAGCATGTGACGCATCGTCCCTTGACGTGGCAGATCTAGAACAGAGATCTGACTGGCAAAGGCAGACGATTTCCATCTGTACAAGCAAGCTCACACAGACGGAAACCACCTGCGTTTGCCAGTCAGAGCTCTGTTCGAGATCCGACACGACAATGAACGATACTAGTAAACTAGGGTCGCAATACAAGCTGCTGGAAGGTCAAGCCTCGACACAGAATGACTGTGTCAAAAAGGAGGCGAGCCGTGCAACTATGCGGGGGGGGGGGAAGAAAGAAGAAGATGTAAGAAGAGAAAGACAAAAAGTGGAAAAGTCCACCGCAAAGTTTGCCGCTCTTTTGTCGCTTGACACAATGAAAAAGAGAAGGATGATAATACCGTAAATAGTTAGAATAAGGAGAGATAGGTAGGGAAGAAGAGGGAAAGGAATGACTTAAAGAAAACCCAAAAAGCGGATGGAAAAGAAAGAATAAACTTAGGGAGTGTGGAGGGCTGGAGAGCCGTACCACGAAAGCGCTTCGGGATTGTAAGGAAGAGAAGGTTGTTGATGTTGTTGTTGTTGCTGCTGCTGCTCGGGTTGCGACTGGACTGCGGCCAAAAACGGATACAGCTCGTCGTAAAAGCCCATCGGACTCTGAGTTGTGCGGTACGCGTTGTCGCTGGCGTTGCGCAGGAAGCACTCGACACAGTCAAACACGGAATGGCCAGAATGCGGATCCGAAAACACGATGCTGTCGTCAAAGATGGCGTCTTCGGCATCGAGGAATGTGTGGTCGCCGAGGCCGGTCAACAGGCTGGCCATGTCAAACGGGCCAGCACTTTCATCGCCGCTCGAGTCGTCGGTTGACGCGAACGAGTAAGGTTGTGCAGCAGCAGCAGCAGCGGCGGCGGCGGTGGAAGAATCCGACCAAGTGGGATAGGCTTCAAGCCACATTGGAGGCTGATTGATGGGCATCATTGTGATGGTGGAAAATACCGCCGGATTGTAGGATGCTGTTGCCAGATCAGCGCCGTCAAGCTCGGGGTGGACTGCTTCCGTTGGGGCTAGAAAGTCAGAAGCAGCAGCAGGAGGAGGAAGAGCAACAGCTGCAGCAGAAACAGTGGCGCGAGGAGCGCGCGTGTTGCGGGTCGTGGGCGTTGCCTCCGTCCATGAGCGCAACGTGGGATCTGTCAACCACGCGTCGGGATGTGCCTTGCGATGAAAGTTGGTGCGCGTCGCGTCGCTCTTCTCCTTGAAGCGAAGCCCGCAGTTTTCCACCGGGCAAATGTACTCGAACGTGACAATGGCGTGATCGGCCAGATGTCGGTACCGGTTGAACGCCGGCATCCCCGACAAGTCGCGGCCGCGCTCGCAGTTTGGCAGCGGGCAGGTCGTGCAGTATGTCTTGAGCGTGGTGCGGTGGGCATCGCTGGTAATGTGGGCGGTCAGCGCGAGCGCTGCGGCCAAGTACTCTTCGACCGTCGTGAATGGCGCGGGAGCCCGATCCGGGCAGTACGGGCAGCACAATGCCCATGTGTTGGAAGTCTCAAAGAATCTGTGATGATGAGAACGAGGGGGGGGGGCACAAGGTGGGTCGAGATGTGAGATTTGGAAAACACAAATCCCAAAAACGTGGCAGAGTGACGTCATGCTCGGAGTGGAAAAAAAGAAAAGAAAAAAAAAGCAATCCCTCACACGATCCAACACAACACGCGATCTGCAGTCCAGGGTGCATCGACAGAGTGACGACATGCACAGACCAAGCTGATTTGGGAGGCGCGGGGGCGGGGGGAAGAGAGGAGAGTGCTTTACCGGAGTGCTTGTTTGGTCTCTTTGGCTGGCCGGCAATCGCACGAGGCAAAGACAAGGCCGACGGACGCTCCTGGCTGCTGCGCGGCAGTGATGCAACTGAGATCGTGGCGGATGCTTTGTAGTTGTGTTGCAGGAGCGCCTGCGGGCGGAGCTGCCATTTGGATGTTGAAGAATAAATAACAAGAATCAAAAAAAAAAAAAAAAAAAACTAACAAAAATAATAATAAAAAATTGACTGGAAAATGAAGGAAAAACAAACAATCAGAAATCCAAAAGAAGCAAGTGGAAGGAAAAGAAAAAAAAAAGTACTCCAACAATCTGATTTGACTGTTTTTGTTTGAAGCTCTGCCTAGCCCTGATGCAGAGGACGGATCGAAAGGGAGAGAGAGAGAGAGAACGAGCGAATCGCGCGTTCTGCGAGAGAAGGACCAGATCGCAAGCTCTTTCTGCCTTGCAATGATCTCTAGTACTGCATGGCGAAAGAAAAAAACAAAAAAAGACGACTGGAATACGAAACAAACAACAAAGGACACCAAAAAGGCAAGTCAAACAAAGAAGAAAAGAGTACTCCAACAATTCCATTTCTTTGCTTTGAATCGTTGTGCTCTCTCTCTCTCTCTGCATCAAGGCTCGCAAATCACAGATCGCAGAAGCAGATGCCGATCTTTTGTATGATGTATGATGGACCCATGGTTGGAGTGTCGGAATGGCGCGACCAACATCGAAAAGAATTGTTTGATTTCGGAACGTTTTTTTTTTTCATAATCGCACAGGTTTTTCATGTACAGCGACCACGAAAGAACAAACAAAGCCCAAAAGAGACCAAAGCTACACCAAGAGAGAGAGGGAGAGAGAGAGAACAACAACCACACACAACAAACGAGAGGAAGAGAAGACATCAAAAATTGTTAAACACTCCAAAAAAAGCACAAAAACCAAACCACACTGCCCTCACGCAAGCTCAGCGCTTAGGCAAATGGGTTGTGCTGTTGGGGAGGTTGCTGGCCGAAGGGATTGGGTTGGCCATAGGGGTTTGGCTGACCGTAGGGGTTTGGCTGGCCGTAAGGGTTTGGCTGGCCGTAAGGGTTTGGCTGCTGGCCGAATGCAGGGGCGGGCGCACCAAAGGCGGGGGAGCCATAGGCGCCAGCAGGAGCTCCGTACGCAGGCGCGCCAAAGGCAGGTGCGCCGCCGAATGCGGGGTTGGCGCCAAAGTTGCCAGTCAGGCCAGCGGTGACAGTGGGGCCAGAGACCGGGCGCGACGAATCGGCAAGGAGAGGGGCAGGCAGGCCGTTCGCGTCAAAGCCGCCAGTGCCGGGCTGGCGCATTTGGTTGATCGAGGGCTGGTTGGGGCGTCCCTGGTTGCCGAAGGGGTTGCTGGCACTGCCGCTCATGTTGGAGCTGGCGCTTCCGCTCTTGCCGAACGGGTTGCCGGCACCAGAGCCCGAGTTGGACAGGGCGTCGAGGTTGACCAGGCCGGCATAGGGGTCGGAGGGGCGTCCGGAAGAAGCAGCAGCACCAGCAGTGGGAGCGGGCTGCAAGGCGGCAGGAGCGCTTGAGCCGAAGGGGTCGAACGACATGTTTGGCTGTTGCTGACGCGGCGCCTGGCCAGCGGGGAGCGACGAGCCGATGCCGCCGAGATCGAATGGGTCGGCAGCATTGGGCGCAGCGCGCTCGTGGTGCAATCGGCTAAAGCCGTCAATTTGGTGAGCGTTGCGGGCAATGTTGGCCATGAGGGCATTCGGGTCGCCAGCAATCATGCGTTGCTGCGGTTGCTGTTGCTGCTGCTGCTGCTGCGGCTGGGCAGCGGGTGCGGGACCCCACGGGTCGAACGAAGCGGCCTGAGCAGGGGCCTGAGCGGGTGCAGCCGAAGTGCTCCACGGGTCGAACGACGCCTGCTGCTGTTGCTGCTGGGGTGGTTGCTGTGGCTGCGAGGGGCGTTGCGAGTATTGGTAGGGCTGCTGGTGTTGGGGAGCAGCGGATGCCGGGGCGGCAGCGGGAGTGGCCCACGGATCGACAGCCTGCTGGCTGGCAGGGGCAGAGTTGGCAGGGGCGGCGGAGGTGGCCCACGGGTCGGCAGAGGCAGCCGGGGCGGCGGCCTGGGCACGTTGGCGGGCAAAGGCCTCCTCGCGCTGGCGACGGCGCTCCTCGCGTTCCTCGGCTTCGCGCTTGCTCATCTCGAGGGCTTGCTGAACCTGGCGGTCCTCTTCGTCCACAGAGCGAGGGCCACCGTGGCGGTTGCTGCCGCTGCTGCTGCTGCTCGAGTGGTCATCGTAGCGGCGATCGCGATCGTGGTTGCCAAAGCCGCCATCGTCGCGGTGGTCCATGCGCTTCTTGAGGCCGTGTGCCTTTTCGCGCTCCTCCTTCAAGCGCTCCGGGTCGTTCAGCAGCGACGCCAGTTGCTTGGCACGCTCGCGAACTGCAGGGCGGGAAGAGTGAGTTTTTTGTGGAAAGCAAAGAGAGAGAATTGGGAAATCAAACAAAAAAAAAAAAACAAAAAAAAAAAAACACAGAACACTCACTGTTCACTCCCTGATCCTTGTTCTCCTTGTCAATGTACTGGAAATCCTTCAGGGTGGTGATGGTAATCAGCTGGTCCTTTGCGGAGGCAGCAACGCGCTCGCTTCCGTTCTGCAAGTTTCAAAAACAAAAGGGAATGAGTGCACGTCCACGGTCTTGTAAAAAAAAGGCGAGACAACCAACCTTGATCAGGTATTCGAGAAGCAGCATGCTCTTGTAAATGTGTCGCCAGTTCTTGCCATCGTCGTTCATGCGCTTCCAGACCATGTTCATGATTTGGGGGAATTGCTCGCTGAAGGGAGAATTGCACGAAAAACCATGTCAAGCCGAACACAGTGAGACAAGAGCTTGCTAGGCTGCACGAATCAGCAGTGCATTGCAATGATCCCTTCGCAGTCAAAATGAGAGCGATGCTGGAGAGAGCTTACAAGTTGTAGGTGGCGTCGGCAATCTCCGACAGCAGAGCGTTCGGGGCGCCCCACGGGTCGTTTGACGTGGCCGTGCGGACCTTGATCTCAATCGGAGCATAGTTGTTCGCGGCATGGCGACTGAAGGGAATGGCAGCGAATCGCAACGAATCAAAAATCAAAGCGAATGGTGAGCAAACGATAACAGTGAGGACGAGGCTCCACATTTTCAAACGCACCCCACTGTGTGTATGAGTAACCCACTACATCGGTCGTACTCCAAACCCGACATCCAACACGAACACCCAGGATCGGCTGCCAATGCAGAAAAACACAGGGAAGAAGAAGCTTTTTGCTTTTTTTTTTTATGCGAATCGTTGACCGTTTCTTTTTTTTTTTTTTTTTTTTTTTTTTTTTGAATGACACAAAATCGTTCTCGTTCTGGGTTTTTTTGCACCGCTCGCCCTCGCCATCGCCACTGGGCAAGATGACTAGTATCTTTGCCATTCCCAATCGACAGCAAAACACTCGGTCCAATCGACTGAATGCAGCGGGGAACGAACGTCAAAAATCGAACCAAAAGGAAAAACAAGAAGGAAAAAGCAAGATCTGGGTCGTTTTCAAAGCCGGCAATCAATCTGATGGAGAGCGCCGCAGCACGAGCCACTTGTGCGCATCACCTGCCATCTGGAATGAGAAGCCGAAACCCATCAACGCGACAGTCGGCGTCGTTCGAGCGAAACAACGGTCGAACGTTCAGCCTTTTTTTGTTTTTTTAAATGGAAAGGGAGTTTTTTTTTTTTTTTTTTTTTTTTTTTTTTTTTCACAAACCCTGCCAAAAATTTGGCTCGGTGGAAGGTGCGGGTTCAGCCTGCCAGTATTGGGGAATCAGATCCAAGAGCAAGGGACGATGGACAGGGCAATGGAGCGAAGGCGCGATCGACCGTCCAAACGCACAGCCACACCAAACAAAACAAAAGCCGACGAATTTCAAAAATACCCAAAAAAAAAAAAAACAACTCGTTTTTGATGTTATTTGACGTACAGTTGCTTGAGCACAGAGCGGCCTTCAGTCATTGTTCAGGAATGGAAAACAAAGAAGAGTGAGGAACGTAGGAGGACAAAGCAATGTTGTGAATACTTGCTGTCTCGAATCGAGAGTTCGAATTGTTTCGTATGGATCATAATCGTGTCTGAGTTCTTGTGGTTGTTGTTTTTGCTCCTTTTGTTTGTTTGACTTTCCTTTGAGGCTGAGCTCCTTGTGCTTGTGCCCGCCGATGGCCTCGTCGAAACCGTGTGCTTTGTGGGTGGCTCGGGACGCCGTGCTTGCTGAGGGCTCTTGAAACGGTTGATTTGGGTTTAACATCAACTTGTCGTCACGTTTGACTTTAGTGCAACACATGTAATGTAGACAGCAAACAAGCCAAACAACAAGCAAGCAGCATCCGTAAAGAATGCAACGACAAGAGGCATTCGAAGATACATCTTGTGCGCCAAAATTCGGCGTCAAAAACACAAACCGAAACCGGAGTAGCGCTGAAACTCACGCATTTGGAGATCAAGTGCAGCACTACAGCCCGTTGGTATAACCCACAAGGATGATCTCATGGTCGATCTGGTACACTCTCTTGCAAAGACCACCAGGTTGAGCTGGAAGGTAGACCATCGGAAGTCCTGTACGCCTTCCGGTACTGTAGACCGTCACGCCAACGGTGGCACATCCTGTCGCCACCATGGAGTCGCGCGTTCCGGCTTTCATTGTAGAGAAACACATCACCATCCATGATCAGCGGACGCTCAGCAGGTGCCAGGTTGTGCTGGAGCACTTGGACGCCAAGTCTCGGCTGGATGCGCGCCGAAACGGTTGGGCCTTAAGGCCACAACTTCCGCCTGGTCCATGTGGTCCGTCGGTGTCGATTCCGTGGTAAGAAGAAGAATCAAAAGAAGAAGAAGAATAAGAAGAAGAAGAAGAAGAAAGAAAGAAAAAAAGAAACGTCAAAACATTATGAAATTTCCGCCGTTTCTGTCTGCTGTAGTTCCTGGTGAAGCTGTCGCTCGAGTACACGTTGCCGTTTGCCCCGGAATTGATTCAAAACGTTTGCGACGGTATCGCGCTCGCTTTGTTCACTATTTGGAATACGGAGGCAGCCCCAAACGGGCTTCCACTGGGTCAGGAAATCAATCAACGCGTCAATCGTGTGGTCCACAACATTTGGGTCAGTTGTTGGCCAGGGGACTTGGTCGAGTGGAACTCGTAGTTCTGGCACCTTGCCAGCCCATTTCCAAGCATGATGCAAATCCTGTGTTAGGTTATCTTCAGTGACCCGCATGAGTTGCGAGATATAGCCACGTAATGTGGAAGTGGGCCCTGGAGGCTTGAAAGACGCAGTGGGGTGTTCGTATGTCGCCATCCCAAACTCGAAGGACGACAAAGACTGGAAGGCTGGAAAATCCGAAAAAAAAAAGGGTTGACATCACGTCGATCCAGAAAATCACCACCCTTCGATTTCAACGCAGGCAACCCCTACTGCAGCCAGTGAAGGCAGGCACAAAGTGTTATGATCAAAGATCGACCCACGAAGAAACGAGTAATGGGTTGATGATGAGAGTGTGTTCACTCGTCGCTTTCTCTTGTTCCCTATTCTTACTCTCATCATCAACCCATTACTCGTATCTTCGTGGAACGATCACAGAATATTGGCCTGAGACACTGAAACGATTGCTATTGGATTTAAACACAGCACAGTATATCAACATGTCAACAACGGCAAACTCAATTTCAGTGCAACGCAGGCAATGTGCAGCAAAAAAGAACAAAAAAAAAAACAAAAAAAAAAAAAACAAACAAACAAACAAACAAACAAACAAACAAACAGCCGTAACTGTGCGCCGACATTGCGGCGCAGGTTACTTCTTCCTAAGTTCACTGGCAATCCAGGCAACAGTAGCAGCCACATAGATAATGGCGGGGTCGTTCTCGAGGTCTTGCTCATTAAGGCGGAGCAAATCAAAAGTCCATTCGTTCCCGGCCTGCCCCACATCAACGTTCTCGTTCCATGCGGGGCTGGGAATCATATCGAACAAGGGAGCCATGGCAGTCTCCCAGTCCTGTGCTGTCGAGGCATTCTGAGCGGGGCTGGGGAGCATGTCGTTCGGGAGGGGCTGGTATCCCTGAGACGGGCACAGGCCACAACGAACGGCAGAAACTGCAACACCGATTGCCCAATCATTCTGGTTTTCAGCGTCCACCTCAGAACCAACGGTCGAGGCGGGGCTGGGGCCCGTGTAGCCGTACGACCTAACAGTGCTCTCCGCATCGTCCTCGAAATCCTCAACATCGGACTCGTCTTCGGGCTCGGTTTCGGGAGTCACAGGGCGCTTGGTAAAAGCGCGCGACGTGCTTTGGAGCCGACGGGCCTTGGTGGAAGTGCTAGCCGCAGGCTTCGAGGGGGCGGCAACGTGAGCAGGAGACTCGACGATGCCCATCCCAAGCTGGGAGGAGGAGGAGGAGGCAGCTTGACCAATCGGGGACTTGGCAGAGCGATTCTTAGACTTGGAGACAGATTGATCAGTCCGAGACTTGCCGGTGCCAGCCTGGTGCTTGGAAGAGGAGGCCCCGTCGATAGCAGAAGGCTCGTTGGTGCCAATCGAACGCGAGGAGGCTGAGGCAGCTTCGGCTGTCGGAGTCTGCGTGCTGTAACGAATCAGCACGATATTCTTGGCGACAGGGTACACTAGCCTGAACAATCCTCCTGGTTGAGACGAACGGTATATCGTACCACCATCGGCCGTTTTGTAACCTTTTTCGAAGTGGTTCAAGCCGCCACGCCAGCGCCTATTGGTGCCAGTTCGGAAGAGAAACACGGCACCATTGAAAGGCTGAAAACCTTTAGGGTACTCGTCGAGAACTGGGTAGTCAAGCGAGAGCAGAATTGCATAGCAAAACTGTGGGTTGAAGCACATGGACTCATCGATCGGCGAAGCACGTTCGGGTTGCTCAGCGACGGGTGGCTCAACTCCTACATGCTCGGCGCATTGATGAACATCCAAAGGCACCGGTTGCTGAGCCGCCTCGCTGATCGGCGAAGCAAGCGAATCAGGATTTGATTCTGGTGGGGGCGGCACAGCTTTCAAGCGCTTTGCGTGTCGACGAGCTTTCTGACCCTTGCGTTTTGTTCTTGGCACAGCTGCGCATTGAGAAGCCTCGCCAGATTTGGGCTCGTTATTCAAAGCAGCTGGCAGGTTCGGTAGTTCGTGGTTGCTGAGCGTGGGGAGCTTGTGCGAGAACAAGTGCTGGAGCGGATCTGGCCCGACATTGTCCTGCTCATCTGTGTGATTGTTTTCGTCTTGCTCCTGATTGGGTGTGAGATCGTCCTGCAAATGCGCGGGATTGCCTTCTTGCTCTTGCTCCATGGTCGAGGTTGTACTGTCTTAAAAAATGACAATCGATCAAAACAATCAGTATCGTCAAATGCGTTACCTGTCAGCCAACACTGAAGCACTACAACACGAGAGAGCAGTTATCGGTGGTTGGAGGGGAGGGGAGGCCGGGAAACGGGCAGGAAGAGTGAGGTTTGTGACGCCGCTGATCGCATCAGAAAAGTTAGCCGTGCATTGATTTTTTTTAATTTTTTTTTTTTTTTTGCTAATTATCTTTTTTTTTTTTTTTTTTTTTTCGTTTTTTGGTTGTTGTCACGGAGAGGAATGCCAAATTCCAACGCGTTTTGTTTGATTTTGCATCACTGGCTGGCTGGCATTGCTCAGCCCCATTTTTTGCAAAGGGGAAAGAGAAGAGCATGAACGCAGCGCAAAAACGCAAAAACGCAACGGCGGGGGTAGTAGGACAAGCGACGGGGAGGAGCGGAAGGAAGGAAGGAAAAAACAAAAAGTGACAGAAAAAAAAATGACAGCGGCAAGACGTGCCTTGTGCCTCCCCCCCCAACACAGGCAGCAGAGGATGTGCACTCAGTGACTGAAAGAGCGTGTTGTAGAAGTGCAAGAGGAGGAGAACGTTATGGGCGGAGGAGGAGAGCGCAGAGAACAGAGTGCAGAAAGCAGAGAGCAGAGGAGCGGCAAAGAGCGCTCAGGCGAAAAGCAAAAAAACCTGACCCGAGCGCGGTTTTAGCGCACGCTTCAGCCGCAGGCCATAGCTAACTGCAACGCAGTCGGCAAAAAGTCGCCAAGTGGAAGAGAAGGCATGCAGGAGAGTGTAGTGGGGCTGCAATCATCATAATAACCAACCTCAAAGTCGAAATCCAAAAGTGGGACTGTCATCGAACTGAAAAAATCCGACAATAAGAAAAGGGGTCAATTCACGTGTTCGAGAGCGATGCGATGGCGAATGCTGCTGTGACCATAGTCATGGACAACCAAAAATGGCCCAGAAGCGTGCCGCGTTCACCGGCTGCGAGTCAACAAACAAATACATCCACACCCCTCGCTTTCAACGCAGGCAACCCCCCTTACTGCAGCCAGTGAAGGCAGGCACAAAGAGAAGCGCAAAAGTATAGATGTTGTGTGCATGTGCCCATCTTTTCACCAGCTCTAGATCTATTTTGATGACGCGAATCGTTGCCAGTCCCTTTTGTTTGTTTCTCAATTTTTGTGAGTCTTGAAAAACACCCACCCAGCAACACGAGCCCATCGCCCCTCTCCCCTCTCCCCTCCTTCGCTTCCACTTGGCGACTGGCCGACTGCGTTTTGTTGTTAGAGTTTGCCAGCTGTGGGTATCGTGCTGCTGCCTTGAGGCAAAGTTGTGTCGCACCCCGCTGGAGGATTTTTTTTTTTTTTTTTTTTTGGTGATCCTGAGCCATTCTGGCACTCCTTTTGCAATCTCGTCCTGCGTTCTCCTCCTCCGGCGTTCTCCGCCTCTCACCTTTCTACAACATTCACTTCCAATCAACAGTCGCTTCCAGTCACCAACCTCGCATTTCCCGCTCCCAACACGAGTGGAAGCGCGTTGTCGGAGCGACAGGATTCGCTTTTTTTCTCCTTTCTTGCTTGTTTTTTTTTTTTCCCTTGCTCTCTCTCTCTCTCCTTCGCTTGTCCTTGTGACCCATGTCTTTTGCTTTGCTGCGTTGTTGCGTTCATGCCCATCTCTTTCCCGTTTGCAAGCGACGCGGTTGAGCACAAAGCAACCTCAATTTTTCATTAGAACAAAACAACCAAAAAACACAAAGATAAAAATCAATCAAAAAAACAGCATACAGCTAAAGACGCAACCTTCCATCCACTCACTCCACTCACTCCCCGGGAGCTGTCTTTCGTGCTGTCGTGTGCGCATGCCTACATACAGTGTTGGCTGAGAAGCGCGACACACAATTGCATCGTCCTCACAAGAAACAAGAGAACGGAGACGATCATTGATTCTTATTGACTTTTGGTTCATGATTGTTTTGTCAAATGTAGGAAACAATGTCCGAAACCTCAACCGAGATGCTGGTTGCCTCTACCGAGATTCCGGTGGCCCCGACCCAGAGTATGGCTGCGGTTCTAGAAGACATTCCGTGCACCGCCCCACTGGACTTTGTGTTGCCTGTTGTGCCCTATCAGCTAAATGCTTTGCTGGATCAGTTAACGCCTGGTGCGTTGGGTTTCGACCCCATTCAATTCGCTCGAGGTATCAAAGTGCGCACCGACAACCTGACACAAACGGAGTGTTTGCAGCTCAAACACGGCTCTGCCTTTGTTTTCCCCAATGGAGGCAAAAACACCAAAGGACTTGGCGTGGACGTCAAGAGGTGGCGCGACGGGAACCGGTACAAGAAAGCGCACAATACCGCGACCAACATTCCGACCATCAAAGCCATGGTCTATCCTCCGTTTTACCTCGGAGGGTTGTACAAGACCCTGTACCAGATCGACGATCAACGAGTGCTTGTGCTCTACACCAAGGGGTCCCCGGCTGCCTCCGGCCGCAAGCCTGCGACTCGCACCTCGCCCAAGGCCGGCAAATCTCAGTCTCTGCGCAAGTCAAGCGCCGCTCCCGCACACCCTCTGACTCCGTCCTCGTCCTCAGAATCATCAAGCTCGGACTTGGACTCGGACTCGGTGACAACCGTTGATGCCCCGCGCATTGTTGGGTCGGACATCCACTCTTTCCCGAGCCCCTCCTCTTCGGAAGAGCTGAATGTCGGCGCGGCCTCTGCACGTCTCGCTCGTGCAGACAATGCCCATCATGACCAGAGTCTTGGACTGGGAATGGATTTTGCGAACTTTCCGAACGCAGTGCTCCGCAGCCTTCCTCAAGCTGGTGACATTGGCATGCCCGACTTCTTGAATAACGTCCCCAGCACCGCATCGACCATTCGTTATGATGTGGGTGCTGAAGCCGGAAATGACAGGACTGCTGATTGGGTCCAGTTGAGCTCGCAAGACCGCGCCGAGGTCCTTGCGGACGACATGGATGATGCCCCTCTGAGAAAAATGTTTTCCGATGAGGAGCTCCTTATGCTCAATATTGAAGGCGATTGGTAATAACCAGCGCCGCGCCGTGGTTGTTGCATTCTTTCAGGATGCTGTTTGTTTGTTTGGTTTGTTTGTTTGTTTGTTTTCTGCATATTGCCTGTGCTGCACTGAAGGTGACCGTGACTTTGCTCATGAGTTGATGCTGTCATCCCTTTTGTGACCAAAAATCCGCATGCCAAAAATCCAAAAGCGTTTCAACAACATGGTTTTGAGACGTCGGGTGAGCTTGTTGCGACTGCTCAGCGAGGCCACCCCTGTATGAGCTTAAAGCGGGTGGACAAAGCATTTGCATCGTCCGAAAATGGAAAAAGAAAAGGCTGTCTATCATGCCGAATCTCCCCTCCCCGTCAGCACAACTCGGCGTTTCGACAGGATTATATCGTTTTCAACAATGTGGGTCAACAACAACATCAATGCTCATCAACGAAAACA